AAATACAAAAATACAAAAAATACACTGAGTTTCAAACATAATAATATAAAATTAAAATTATCAGTATAAAATAAGTAAATAAATAATATAGGAGGAGAAAAGAGAAGGAAGAAGAAGTTGCCCTGGCCAGATCATATATTTTAACAATTAAAATGATGTTTAAATAAAAAGATCATCCCAGTCAGAGAAATCCAGTGAAATCTCCCACATGAACAATTTCTCTTTGAGAGGCTATTTATGCACAAGAGTTGTGAGAGGCTATTTACGCACAACTCTGGTTAGAATAAGCTTCGACATTGCCACTGGGCAACTGGTTTGCTCAAGGGGTCCTGGGCTGGCAGGGTGATTAGTGATATTTCTCTAACACCTTCCAGCCCATTCCTTGTGGACTGCTATTTGAGACCTCTGTCTTACTTTGCCTCTTGTCAGAAGACATAATCATCTGTCTAAAGTTATTGCTAGATGACCTTTAAGGAAGGAATCCTCTTAAGGCAGTGTACAAGATTTAAAAAAAACAAGCAAAGTGAATACAAAAAAATGCATCGAAATGCTTCAAGAACATTTTATTCCATACTTTGTTGTAAGCCACCCAAAGAGCTTCGGCTAGAGAGCAATATAGAAATGAAATAATAATAATAATCTATACAACAGAGATTGGTAATTATTATTATTGAAAGCATTAAACATCAAAGGCCCCAAATTAAGGGAAGGCCAGCAAAAGCAGGTGGCCCTTCAAGAACTTTCCTGACACACATAAAAATGGGACTTGACAAACTTCTGGTGGAAGCTGATTCCAGCAGTGTGAGGCTATCACCAAAAAGGCCGTTTCCGTTGTATTTACCCATCCTGGAAAGTGATTGTTTTTATTCTATATAGCAGCTCCAGATTTAGGACGAAGACTTATTCTGTCCAAAGATAGTTTCCTCTACATCTACTTTCTTGTGGATGCCTCTGACAGTGTTGGTGAAGACAACTTCAGCATCTTTAAAGAGTGTCTAGACATCATCATCACCAGGGTAAGTTTCTACTGATCTCACTTGCTGAAGTAGGGCCAGACTGACTTGCTAGGTGCATGACTGATTCCCAGTTCCATACAGCTTTCATTGCAAATATAAGCCAATTTAGAATTCATTTAATGGGTGCGGAGAGTCAACCTGACATTACTTGAATAGCCTGGCTGGTAAAAATGCCTGAGTTTTAAATATTAAATAAGAGGGGGCATCTTTACTGGGACCCCAGTATGAAGTGAGATGATGTGTAGCTCCTCAGCCTTGATTCCAAGAAAAATTCTCTGCAGCCTAGCAATCAGTCTTAGTAAAAAAAGAAGAAGAAGAAGGAAGGACGGACGGACGGACGGAAGGAAGGGCTCCCACTGGCACGCATGTGACACCCCCCCCCCATTAATTGCCTGGCAGGGATGGTGGCCACAGCAAGAAGATGAGAATGCTGTCAGAACTGCAGTTCCCAGGGTTCCTTGTGGGAAAACCACAGCAATTAAGCAGCTTGAGTTTATACCGGGCACATGACTTTCATGGCACATGAGAAAAAGCATCCAAAAGCAAGTTCTGAAGTTTCACTGCAGGGCCAGATAAAAAATTAATTTGCGTTTTTGCCTGTCTAGGCTAATGGTGTATTATTAACTGATTGTCCTGAGAATGAAGCAAGGAATTCCTGAAATCTAGCTAGAAGGAAACTCTTAATGTGGCAGAGAACTTTTGGTGAATGTGATTTGCTAGTGGGGAAAAAGCTATTATAAAAGACGCTTAGCAATGGGGGAGGGTATTTACGGATAATGTAGTATGCTTAAGTGCCACAGAGAGCCACCATCTTAATTATGTGTCCTCTAAGCAAGGTCTCTGCAGCTCTTAAGGGCCCGAGTAGGGGAAGCAAATAACCTTTCCTGGAAGTCAGATTGCCCAACTCTACTGGAAAGCACAGTGGTGTGTTTTAGGCCAGGTCAAGCTGAACTACTTTGAAGACCAACAGATCTGAATCATGTTTCACATGAGAGAAGAAATGGAGCACTCTGGAAAGTACATACAAATTCTTTACAAAGTATGACCATTCCATAGCGGGTGACCAAGGATTTCATTGTAAATTGGTGATGCAGAAAAAGCAAAGAGTAAAGTGCAGTAAATAGTTTGAAAATTCCTTATTTATGGAATACTGATCAGAAGGCAGCTTTACAAAAAATTCCAGACAAATGTATGTATTTTTTGCTCTACAAGGCCAAAACAAACAAACAGAAAATCTCCAAGTGAGGTAGTTTAAATATTTATTCAACCAAAGTACAGTTGCTGGGGGAGAAGCTTTAATTCTATGATCCCAACACTTTTTTCTTTCCTTCCTTTCTTCCCTTTCCTTTCTCTCCTCTCCGCATCATTGGTTTTGTGCATCTTTCTCCCACCTCCTCCTCCTCCTAGCTTGCCAGCTTTGATGTTTTCATCAAGATCTCGGTCATCTCTTATGCCAGCCAGCCGAGGGTCATTGTTTCCATCTACGATGATACAGCTGAAGACCCAGAAGTGGTTCTTGAAATGATGAAGCAGAATATGAACTACAAAGGTGCAGAGAAGCATTTCTGAGGCCGATCAGCAGCATGTGCAGAGTTCAGTTTGAAATGCAGGGCTCAGGAAATGCTCTGCTCTTTCATTGTTCCCTTCATGAGGGAATGGTCAGGCCAGCCTTTGTCTCTGCTCCTCCACTTTCCCTACAGGATATCCCTGTCCATCAGCACCTCTGTTTTGTTTGGGTATCCTAACTGAGCGTGCCTTCAGATGATGCTGCAGTAATAGGCTGCATTGGCCAGGGTGACTTATTTTATAATGTTAATGTGTTTTATATTTTTAGTGTTTTATATTTTAAATGATGTTTTGTAAGCCGCCCCGAGGCTTTGGCGAATGGGGCGGCATAGAAATTTTTAAATAAATAAATAAATAAATAAAAATCTTCTATAACCAAGCAGGGAATGATAGCTCAGTGTAGCAGGCATACCTTGCGTGCAGAAGACCCCCCAGATTAGCCCCCATAGCTCCGGGCAGGTGTAGCAAAGCAGTTTCCCTGTAATCCCAGGAGGTGCTGCCAGGCCGCCTCAGTAGTGCTGGACTAGATGGCCCAAGGGTCTGACTCAGTTTAAGGAAGCTTAAACTGAGTTTAAGGAGTTTAAGGAGTCCTACATTCCCTTCTTGTGCCAAATACCATTTTCCATCCCTCTTCCAAGAGCAGCACCACTTTTGTCCATTTTCTTGTTTGATATCAGAAGCTGAAAAGCCTTTTAGCTCCCTACACAGGTGTATAAAAAGTTTCTTTGGGTCAGTCTCAAAATGTGGCCCTTAGAGACTAAATTTGATCTCCAAGGGCCAAATTAGGTATGATGTTAAGCATATTATTATTGCCTGTCTTTATCCCGTTTCTGGGGCATTGGATTGAGAAAAGGGGTAATTTAATGCCAGGTTTCCCACCACTTTATAGCCTTTATAGTTCCAGCAAGGTCAAGAGAATCCGTAGACAGGGGGAGAGGTGTGTTACCTGTTGGCCCTGGCCTTCAGCAGAACTTAAGGCTCAGGGTTCATAGGCACAATCAGAAACTTGTACACTTGGCGTTCCCAATTGCATATACTGAGCTTGTGCATGAAGAGCCCCTTTATACTTTCCTCTGAACATGTCCCTGGGCACAATCCCACCCTCGCTAGACATCACATGCACGTCTATAAGAAGACTGTGCAGTTCTGTGCAACTTTAGATAGTTGGCTGGGCCCTGCTGGCCAGTGTAGGCCTCTTTTGTCTCAAATTGCGTAGAACTGCACCCTGAAGTGGCTTTTGGGCAATAGCACTATTTGTGTTGCGTTTTCCCCTCGCTGCCACAGTACCTCTGTTGATGTGCTGATCTTTTAAATGTGTAATATATTTTATATGCACACGTGTGTTTGCCCCTTATTTTTTGTACAGCATCTCATGCTTTGAAGGAGATAAGGTGCAGGCAGATAAAGCTCATTACCAATTTGCGTCCTCTTGCAGACCATGGCAATGCGACAGGAACCAACATCTGGGAAGCAATACGTTCTGTCTACACTATGATGACCAATGACCAGGCAGCTTCCGGAGAGCAATGGTTCAATGTCCGTCATGCTATCATCCTGCTCACAGATGGTGAGGAGAAATGGGGACACTAAACTTGTCTGGGGGAAGATCTCACATGAGCCAGAGCCTGGATTCAGACAACATGATCTGACAACACCCAGGGGCTGATCATTGGTGGAATGTGTGGCTGCTGCAGAGCTGCTGGTTGTTGTTCAACAGAGGTTACCGTGTTGTCAGAACCCAGCTGAGATGCTGAACCATGGTGAACAATTCACAGTTTGCAGCCCAGCAACAAACCGTGGGTTTGTTTGTAGTTAAGGCTTATGAGAATCTCTAGGCAAAAGCCCATCAACGTGCCTGCTTAGCCAGCAAGTGGTGGAAGACTAAGCCATGCATACGAACAGAACCCTCCATCCTGATGACCCTTGGAAACGAGCAAGGGAGAGGGGCCTTAGCTCAGTGGTGGAGCACATGCGTTACATGCAGAAGGCCCCAGATTCAGTCCCAGCATCTCCAGTTCAATGGATGAGGTTGCAGTAGAGATACTGGGAAAGTTCTCAGGGTTCTCCACTTCCTTCCCACACACACAATTACCGCCCCCCCCCCCACACACACACACTGTTTCCTTGCCTTAAACTGGTGGCAGACTCCTTAGTCCACAACTTAAGACAAAACTTTTCCTGGATATTTCCTGGCAACTAGCATAGCTACTTTTACTTATCTTAATGTGATATTTTATTGTCTCCTTGCTGCTTTACTGATGGCCTTTTTGATATTTTATCGTGATTTTATCTCAAAGACTGCTTTAGGATTTTTATTTTAACTGAATAACACTGCAGACTCTTATGAAATAAATCATAAATGAGTAACAAGGGGCAAGAGAGGGTTTTTCTTTCCCTGCAAGAAATCTTTGGGAGGCTGTATCTGGTGTGGTGCTGACCCAAGACTCAGAGCTGAACTACATCTACCTTAAATACAGAGTGTATAGAGCAGTGATGGCGAACCTGTTAGATCAAGTGCCCAAACTGCAACCCAAAACCCACTTATTTATCGCAAAGTGCCAACACTGCAATAAAACCTGAATACTGAGGTTTTAGTTTAGAAAAAACAACTCACGTCCAAGCAAATATCCATCCATCCATCCTTGGCAGAGCACTGACCGGCCATGCGAAAGCTGGATGAGATGTGGCTAATGAGTTGTGGCTTGTGACATCATTGCCTGAGCATGCGCATGGCCCCTATGTGCGCTCTTATCTGATGCTCGGCTGCTGGGGCGATGCTAAGGCGACTTGGCTCGCATGCCGACAGGGAGGGCTCTGTCGCCACCAGTTGCCACCACCGGTTGCCACCACTGGTGTAGATCCTTTTGTCCCTTTAGGTTAGCATTTAGGACTCTGACCCTGATTAGGGCCACCACATATAGATAAGATAGAGGCAGGTAAATTCTCCCACCCAATCACTTCCCTTTCTAGATACCTGCCCAAGGAGCGGGGGGAAGAGAGCGAGAGAGAGAGAGCAAGAGAGAGAGCGCATAAGGGCACAATTGTATGTATGTTCAGAGAAAGAAAAAAGAGTATTACAATTCCCAGCATCCACTATCCAGCCAGTTGGAGAACATTCTTCTGTTTTAAATATGCATGCATTGGATTTATGCTGAAAGATGCATAGGAGTGTGCCTTCGACCAATGCGTGGGCAGATAGTCAGACTTGACAGAAACCAGTCTTCGTGTCAATCAAAGACCTATTTTGAATTGCTTTTGAATGCTTTGCACTGTTACCAGTCTATCATATGAGACAGCTTCACCATTCCCAGGGTCAGGCTGCCCACGAGCACTGCCATCCTCTCTTCCCCTGCACTGCCTGTGCAAGAGCACCACTTTTGTTTGTGGAATGTGTGTGCCATCTCTTTCCTGGGCTGGCAGAGCAGCCTTCACTTACGTCTTCGGGAATGCCGACTGGTTTGCCCTGGTACAGGGCGTAAGACTGACAGCCTCTTATTTTGTCTCTTTCCCCTGGTTCTCGTCTTAGGAAAATCCAATATGGGAGCTCCTCCCAAACTTGCTGTACAGAGTATAGAAGACTTTGTGAATGTGAGAAAAAACCGGAACGATTATCTGGGTGAGTCTTATCAACGGACACTCTCTGAGCAATTGTTACAGGAAATCCAACCTGCCTTAGGAAATAACACCCCCCTCCCCACTGAAATCATTTGCTTTGTTCTGAATCCCGGTTGGGAGGGAAGCATCATGGTGGGAGAGCTGGCATAAGGGTCTCTACCACACGGCAGCGGTTTGTCCGACTTGGGGAAGGGCTGTCGCTTAGTGGGTGGGCATGTGATTCATATGCAAAAGATCCTCCTGCACTCAGGTCCTGCTTGCAGGTTTCCCCGAGGCAGCTGGTTGAGCACTGTGTAAGCAATGTGTGGACCAGATGGGCCCTTGCTCAGACCGACCATGGCCCTTCTTATGTTCTTCGGAAGGCACCCAGCTCAGCCAGTGCCTGGAGAAGATGCCCGCTCAGTCCGTTTCTCCACACAGAGGAAGCCCTGAACTCTGCCTCTCCTCTGCATGGAGAAAGGCAAAACAGGCAGAAGGGAGTACGTGATGTCAGGGGAGTCAGAGGGGCTTTGTGCTGTAGCCCTGCTGTTTGGCTTGGATAAAAGGCAAATGAGGTGGGGGGCTGTATGGAGGGGTACACAATTATGCCTGGTGTGGAGAACGTAGAGAGGGAGACCATTTTCTAGTGCTCCTTTGAAGCTGAACCCGGGGTCTTTGCATGAAGCTGACGGGAGGAAGATGCAGGGCAGGTACAAGGAGGGCCTTCTTCACACTGCACCCTGGAATTCACTCCCACAAGATGTGGTGATGGCTAGAAATTTGGATGGCTTTGAAAGAGGCTTGGACAAATTCATGGAGGGAAGGCTATCCATGGCTACCAATCCTGCTGGCTGCCTCCATTATCAAAGGCACTAGTTGTTGGGGAACATGGGTGAGAGAGTACTGCTCCACTCCTGTCCTCCTAGGGGCAACTGACTGGCCCGTGTGAATACAATACCAGACTAGATGGACCCGAGCTCTGATCTGGCCAGGCACCTATGTCCCCTGGCATCTCCCAGTGGGGCTGCAAAAGATCCTTGTCAGAGACTCTGGAGAGCCGATGCCAGTCAGTGCAGGCAGCATACAGTTACATGTACTCCAGCTCACACACAAAAGTAATTAACACAAATACTCTCATGAGTAGAATACCCAGAAAAGGTGTTGCTAACAATACTTTAAATTTACTGGCAATGAACAACAAACCACAAAATGAAGAAGTAATGCAACACAGTAAACATTGTGAAATACAAAAATATGCTTTCTCATCATTCCAGGAAGTCTCCTTTGCTTAAGGAAATCTATTTGCTATTATTTATTTATTTAAAATTATCTTAAGGCTGCCTTCATGGATGGAGACCTCTTGTCTTGCACACAGAGCATCTGTCATGGAATCTTTGCAAGGGATTCTGCAGCATATCGTGCAGCACATGGTCAGCCCATACAGAGCACTAGGCAAGGCCTGTTGAACTGAAAGTGCATCTCTTAAGTACTGAAAATGCGTACTGTTGAATACTGCAACACATCATGAGTGTGGGGGGTGAGGGGGTGGAATTGGTATCAGCTGCTCCTGATAAGATTCTAAAGAATCCCAGGTTTCTGCACCCAGCCCAAAAGGCGCCACCAGAATTCCCCACACATTTTCTGGAATTCCTGTATGTTCCTTAAAACTTACTTTCTCTGGATGTCAGTCAAATTTGGGCAAATTGTTGAGCAAAGTGACATCTTCCTTCTCAGAAGGCATTTAATGCATTGCTTCTTGCAACTCATCCCTGGTTGTATAAATTGTTGAGCTTTGCACCCTCCAGGTAATGAGAATTGTGGAATATCCTTTCTTCATTGTCAGAATGTCCAACAATGACCTTTCCTGCCTTGGTTTCTAGATGTCTACGTGTTTGGGGTTGGAAGCATTGATGTGGACTGGCATGCCATGAATGAGATAGCATCCAAGAAGCCAGGCGAAAGGCATGCCTTCAAGCTGCAAAACTCTCAGGAACTCAAGAAAGCCTTTGAAGACATTCTGGGTGCGTATGATCTCACACATGTGCATGTACCGAAGCCTGGGACAGTGCAAGAGGAGCCAAGGGCAGGGGGTGCTGAGCACTCTGTCTCCAGTGCATCTGCCCTTTGTTCAACTTGCTTCCTCAGCCGATAGCCGATCCCACTTCTGACTTTCTGGATCTCAGCATTCCTGCTGCAGATCAGCTGTGTACCTCCCAACTTCCGGAATCATAGAATAGTAGAGTTGGAAGGGGCCATGGAGGCCATTGGGTCCAATCCCCTGCTGTTGCAGGACACCAAGTTACACCATCCCACTCAGATGGCTGCCCAGTTTCTTTTTGAATGCCTCTGGTGTGGGAGAGCCAATAGGCAAGTGAGAAGTAGACAATAGAACCCATTGTCTATCTTACACAGAAGCAAGGTTCTGGGACAGCCATCTTCTGTGTTCCTGGGTTGTCCTGCTCAGACCTGGTGGCAGTGCATGGCATCCCTGTTCCACTCCAAGGGATCCAGGTGAAAAGGCCACTGATGATAGAGCCAGTTCTGGGAATGAAGGATCCAAATGCCAGTAGATCCATCCAGGCTGAAGGAAGGGTCCTTGCTTCCTCTCAGAACATACACTGTTCTTTTAAATGCCCCATACATTTTATATAGTGATTGTGTACACTGACTCCCATAATTTCCCACATGAAAAAACAATCCACAGGACCATATTTCTAGCAGGAGGGTCCCTGCATGTGAGATCTCTCACCAGATATGGGGAGATGGATTCTTCTAGCATAAGGGGTACCTGTGGGTGTGCTGGAAGGATTATGTGGGCTGCGAGACTCAGAAGGTCTGTAGGAAAAAAATCAATTAATCAAAAGCTGTCCTGAGGCTTGTGCAAAGGACGGGGTAGAAATGTTTTAATTAAAATTAAATTAAATTAAAAATCAAAAGCAGAATATGAAAACACTATGTCTTTGTTGAAAATGAGTAGAGGTTTCCCCCCTCCCACTTTTCCAATATTCTCAGACCCCAGAGATCTGGACGATATATGTGGATTGGCAAACTACTCTGACAATGCCAGATGGGATCAGAAGAATCCGTGGCATGTGCTGCTCCAGAGCGACGTGAGTACAGCCCAACCTTCACCTGCTTGCCCCAAGGCCACTACAAAATGTCTAATTCCTGCTCCGGGGCCTAGAACAGCCTTTTCCAACTTGGCATCCTCCAAACAGTTTGCGTAGTAACAAATAACTAACCACTGGCTATGCAGACCTGGGATAATGGGTGGTGTAGTCCAAAATAGCTGGAAAGATCAGCATTGAGGAAAGCTGGCCTAGAGTCTAAACCTCTGTTTCTTGGCCCTGTGTTGAATTAACTTAACCACTCTTGATATAGCTTCAGGTAGACTATACTTGCCGAGGTGCCTTGATTTCGAAGACATGGGTTCTGACCTCCGCTCACTGCTTCAACAAGTTGAACCACACTGCCAGCTGGATGCTTACTCTGGGTAAGCTGTGAAGGAAAATGCAGACGTGATTGCATTGTGTTTAGTTGTAGCGGAGCTCTGAGGCCATTGCTAAGGCTCCTTGGGCCCGCTGGAATACGAAATAAACAGGCTTCATTGGATAGGTTGCAGCACAGGTTCACAGAAGATCACTTCTGTGTCGCCACAGCCATATAACATAACATAATATAATTCAATTCTACCATGCCCAGCAGACCAAAGGCTCCCTGGGCAGTTTACAATTCAAAATTGCAATAATTAAAACACAAGATAAAATCACAAGCATGCAATCAATAAATGCAATAATACAGTAAAACAGTAATCCACCCTCTGCCATTTAGCGCTGTTAAGGTCCAGCTCTTTTGCAATTAACTAGGAGCAGAATGTAATATATCAGAGGTTTATTTTATTTTAATTAGTTTTGGATATAGTCAGTGAGTGATTCAGCTGATGCCTCTATAGCAGTTAAAGTGTTTTGGCTTCTGTATGGTGCCATGGAGATTTACGGAGTAGAAGACTGAATGGGTCTCTGCCCCAAGGAGTCTGTTATCTAAAGATGGGGAAAATAACAAGGAAGGCAGAGCTCAGTGTTTAAAAGGGGAAGAACGTGTGATGGCATCAGTTGTGCATGCTTCGGCTTGCTACAGGTGGGGGCCGCAAAGCTGTTCCCGGTAGCAGTCTGCAGCTCCTCTCAGCACCTGCCAAGCTCCCTGCCCTTCCTGATTTTGCTTTCATTAAGATTTTTGCATTTTAAAAAATGAGTTGGTATATTGCACAATGGGACTCTGTCCTCTAGAGCCATCTTTATTTTCCATCCAAACGTGTGGTTTTGTGTTTATGAGTTCAGATGCCACTGCTGACTTTGGCTCATTGGCCAAGTTGTGTTTCTTTTAGTCACAGCAGTTGCTTTCTGGGAAAAGTAAAATGGTGGCAGAGGAGGTTGCAGTTACAACAAAACAAAAGGTGGAAGAACTGCAAATAATAACACTGATACCATTTTTTAAAAATATATTTATGTACTCTGCTTTTTTCCTGCAACAAATCCAAGGTGGCCTACATCGCCATCCTTCTTCTCTCTAGTTTATCCTCACCACAAAACCAGGAGGAAGCTTAGGCTGAGAACCAGCACCTGGGCCAGAGGCAGCCTATGGGCTTCGTGGCCAAGAGGGGAATACAGGAGGGAACTTCTGAATCCCAGCCTGACATTCTATCCACTGCCTCACACTGGCTCTCAAGAACGTGAGGTTTTGTGTTCACCCTGGCAACCATTTTATGAATGGGCTAGCACCCATGGCAGGCATTCTGTGATTGTATACACAACATTCTCTCCAAATTCCAGATATGTCCACTGACCCAAGAAGGTTTGACACCCTTAGGAGAAAATAAGGCCCAATGACCACAAGTACTGAACAGAGATGTATAGCACTATGCTCTATAATGGCTAGGATCCTTGTATGTTTACTCCAAACTCATTTTCCTTCAGCAGTCACCTGAAAGAGCCCATCACCTGTGCTCAGTCTCATTCAACAGTCAGGTTTACTCAGCCACCTGCAGTGCTGATGAAGCATTTTTCTTCTTGCAGGCTTAACCCATTTTTATTGTTTTCTGTTCAAAGGGAGCATGACTGATTAGAGAGGAATTGTTCCTGAATTAGTTAGCTTCTTTACCCCTGGGGAAAACTGTGGGCTTTTTCAATTTCCACTTAGTGTTATTTCACTCTGGATTGCTTTTGAAAACATGAAATATGGTAACCAGGTGACCAGAAACAAAAGCTGCTGCCCGCTCCTCCCTGAAAGGAACGGAACACAGTCAACAAATGCCAAACAGTTTTATGCTCTCCAAGGCCAGATTCATAAAGGCATAGAGTTAAATCCAACTTCCTCAGCCTGGTGCCCTACTGATGTTTTGGACTCCAACTCCCATCAGCCCATCATCATGGCCAATACTGAGGCATGCTGAGAGTGGTTTCCCAGAATACCTGGAGAGCACCAGACTGGGGAAGGCTGAAATAAGCTGTGCCTCTCAGCTCGCTGCTGCAGTGCAAGACCTGAAATGGATCAACTTACAATCAGGGTCTCTTAGAACAACTACAGACAGGCCTAATAGGTTACAGCAAAACATGCTGGAAGGATTCTTGGCACAGCTATAGAGAAGGGGTGGGGGGGAAGCAGTACTGATAAGTTATCAGCATCTCTCTGTCCTTTAGCCAAAGCTGTCATCTGTGGAAAATGCTTGGTTGGCAAGGGAGTGGAAGAAATTATTGGATGAGTTGAATGCAATGTGCAGTTTGGCCCAGAGATTGGTGGCCCTTCTGGCCTAGTGCAGGCTAACTCATCCCTCCCCGTCCTGGTGCTTCCAGTCATGCTGGCTAAGAATGATGAAAACTGTAGAATGACATGTCTGGAGGGCACTCAGGCTGGACATGTCTGGAGGGCACCAGGTGTGCTGTGACCAACAGGCGTTCTTCCCGAGTCCCAGCCAGACATTTTGCCCACCTGGGGTACCTGCTAAACTCTGTGGTGGGCAGCATGTGAGCTGCATGTGTTCTTCCCTGGCCGTTTTTTGTTCTGCTTGTAGTTTGGGTTCCCGGGTTTGAAATTTGCCCCCTGGAAGCACTGAGGTTACCACCCCAATTTTAAAGGGAGTGTTACCTTAGGACCTTCTTTCATACATGAAGGAACCTGTGGACTGGGTTTTCTCCACAGAGGAGCTGAGGAGTTCCCATGCAGAGTGGCTTCCACCCTCTCAGTGTCCCTGGAAACACATGAGAAATTACAACCAGGATCACTTAGTCCTTTGTGAGAACCAAGGATCACGTCACAGTAATCACTTCAAAATGGGTTCTGAGATGGATTCACTCTGTTTTCTTCCTCTAGGAGGAGGAGAGAGCAAGCTAAAAATAAAGAGACGGATTGACCATGAATTGTACAATGTTCGGGCTAAGATGGATCAGGGCATCACGGAGTTCTATGACTATGACATCTCCCTTCTTGAACTGGAGAAACCTGTGCAATTTGGCGGGAGAATCAGGTAGTGTGCCCTCACAGACAGGATTAGTTGGGTAGGAAAACAGAATAAAAGAAGGAAGAATTTGAAGTTACACTTGCTTAATCTGAAATTTTAATGTTGATTAAAATATTGTGTATGTTCTTTAAAGTTTCCTTTAAAAAAGAAGAGATCCATTTCTGTGTATGCTGCCTTAGTTATGTCACACTAGTTACACTTTAAGAGAGCTGTGGGTGTACTTGTGCTCTGTAAATGCAGGTTACAACAGTTGATCGCAGGGATTTTAGCAGGCAGGGCAGTGGGAGAGGTAACTGCACAAGACTGAAATAAGTAGCTGGGTTCACACGACATGCTAAACCACCAGGGTGTTGGTTTAGCCTGTTGCCTGAACCTCCCTACCTCTTGAGTGGTGGGGGGAGTTAAAAAACAGGTTGCTGCTCTCGCTGATGACAGCCAGCAAAGGGCAGCACTTTCTCCAGCTGTCCTCAGTATTCCTCCCGTGCTCCGATTGATGCCAGGGTGGGAAAGAGGGCTTGCTTGCAAGCATTTCCTCCTCCCCCTTGCATCAGTCAGTGGGAAAGCCATGTGTCACTCACACAAATCCTCTCAGGGCACAGGGAGGCAGTGTGTCACAGGAGAACCAGCTGTTTGGCCTGGCCTTCTCTAGAGGAAGTGAGGCTGAGTGGCTTGATTCTGCCCACCACTGCCTGCCTTGCAGTGGCAGTGAGCAAGAACGAGCCAATCTGCTTGCCTTCCTTGGGTACCATTCTGTGTCATCTGGACCTGCTCGGCAACAGTGGAGGATCGCTGCTTTGGCCTCATACAGCAGCCTTCCCCAGCCTGGTGGCCTGCAGATGTGATGGACTACAGCAACAGAAGTGAGTAGAGGAAAATGTGCGTTTTCCTGTTGACTGCAAAGTCACAGAAGTCAAGGAAGAGTAACCTCTTCTGAGGCCAAGAAGTTCTTTATTCACTCTGTAAATTATCTTTTAGGGTACAAAGAAGGGGACGGCAGAGGACGAGATGGCTGGATGGAGTCACTGAAGCAGTCGGTGTGAGCTTAGGTGGACTCCGGGGGATGGTGGAGAACTGGAGAGCATGAAGGAATGTTGTCCATGGGGTTGCGATGGGTCAGATGTGACTTTGCTAAACAACAACAATGACATTTACCTCCAGTTTAGGGCACTTCTCTCTAGAAAGGTCAGATTGGTTTCCCTTTTACTAAGCTTTAGACAGGCAGTTTTGTCAGACTAATTATTTATTACATGCATATCCCATCTTTTTTCTGCAAAATACCCAAGGTGGCTTACACAGTCCTCTTCCTCATTTTATCCTTACAACACCCCTCTGAGGCAGCTTAGGTTGAGAGTCTGTGCCTGGCTCAAAGTCATCTAGTAAGCTTCATGGGACTCAGAGGCCAGTTGGATTCCACAGCCTGTGTAAATTATGTATACTTACATATTTTCTGGTTTGCTCATCCTGGGATCAGCAAAGAACAAGGCAGGATTCTAATCTCATTTTCCTTTATTGTCCTTACTGGGGCCTTCTGGCATCCTTCTGCTTCTCTGGGACAAACTCCAAACAGGCAGCAAATATCTTTCTATTTTGCAGGCCAATCTGCCTACCTTGTACTGAAGGTGCCAACAGAGCCCTGAAGAAGCGGCCGGGAACCACAACATGCAAGGATCATGGTGAGCACATCAGGCCAAAACGGAGTCTTGAAATGAGTTGCAATGGTCAGTGCTTAAGGTCTTGTCGCTTGTCCTGTGCCTGGTTCTCTCATGCAGCTGAATGAGGTGGCAATCAGGCAGAAGAGCCCAGAAGTAGGTAGGATTCACTGAATCTTTTCAGATGAGGAGTCACATTTTTCACTTGCTCAGCTACATTTCAAAAATTAAAAGAACACTGCGTTTGAAAGACTTAGCACAGTTGGTATGCAGCCGTTCTCCCTGATGTGCCAAATTGTGTTTGTTCTTTGTCTTTTTTGTTGTTGTTTGTTTTTTTGTTTACTTACAAGAAGGTTGGTAGACAGGAGAGTAATTGAAGATGGTGCCCCACCTGTGATCTGAAGTGATATATACTATGCCACTTTTAGGATTCTACCACTTCATTTTGCTGCATGTATAAATTAAACCTTGAGACAGTGCAAAAAGAGAAGCCTGAAATAAAAGATGTGGCCATGTTTATATGCTGCCTTTCTCCAACCTAAGGCAGGTCACAGGGAAGCTTTCAGTGTATTGAGGTTTCCCCCAAGTACACACTTTCCACATGGCAGCACCTTTCATCAGTGCTTACAGCTATGGTGTCGTTACCGGCTTGGCCAGCTTCTGTGCCTTCAACATCTTCAGGTAAAAACATTAGCAAACGATGATGCTTCCCCTCCATGCCCTAAAAAGAGCTTCCTCTGTTGATAGCTCAGCATTATGACACTGTCAAAGGCAGAAGAACAAGAAGCCAGGGCATTTTTTTCCTTGAACAATTGACACCCCAAACTGAAAACTGATGAAAGTCAGCCTGGCATAGCAATTAGAGCAGGGGGTCCTCAAACTTTTTCAATAGGGGGCCAGTTGAAAGGTTAGGGTTAGGGCCGGTGAGAAGGGTGGCTGGGCTCGCGGACTGGTGAGACATCATCAGGTGTGCGCGAGGTGGTGTTGGGCACGCGCAGCAGCAGTTCACTCACTCGGAGATCTCACAGCAAGTTCAAAACCATCTCCGAGCGAGCAAGCCACCGCCTCCAGCCCGCGCTGCAAGGCAGCAGCAAGCACACGTGGGAGGCAGGCGGCGGAGGCTTGCTCGCTCAGAGATGGTTTTGAACTCGCTGGGAGATCTCCCAATGTGTCCAAAACCATCTCCAAGTGAGCAAGCCACCAACTCCTGCCTGAACAGCAGGCGGGCGGCAGCGCAGGCCGGATGAATGGGCATGGCGGACCGGATCCGTCCTGTGGGCCGTAGTTTGAGGACTCATGGATTAGAGTGTTCAGCTGGAACTTGGAAACTGATTGAGTAACTTTAGACGAGTCAATGACTTTCAGACTAACCTATTTCAAAGGGTTGTTGTGAGAGCAAGACAGAAAGGAGGTGGATTCCTCCTTGGATTCCTTGCAAGAATCAAAAGAGGCAGGATCCAAATGTAATAACAAACAAAAATAGACATTATTTATTTCTTGGACAACTGGGAAGAAACCATAGCTCTGCCTCTCAGGTCCAATACTCATACCCCTAGTTGGAAGGATCAGGCCACAAGTGATGGGAGGGGCCCTTCTCTGGCCAAGGCCCTAGAAAGCTGCTGCCACTCAGAGCCAAAGTGGACAGGTGGGTTGATGAATAGGCTCAGTGGCTACAGGGCAGTTCCTTATGCCTCTTCAGGTAGCTGGTTGACTATGGCTGTTCCTCCAGGTAGCAATAATGCTTAACTCACTGAGGGTTCAGGTTGGGTTCTTGCTCAACTGTAGGCAGTTGTTGAATCATGGGTTATTGTGTTGTGTAAACCCAGCCATGCTAACAAGTCATACTTCGTTAACTGCAAAGAACCCATGAAGAAAACCCATAGTTTGTTGTAGGGTTGTGAACTGTGGGTTGTTCGTAGTTAACAAACGATGGTTTGTTAGCATTCCTGGCTGCAGACAACACAGTAACTCATGTTTAAACAGTAACCTACATTTCAGTAACAACTCATAGTCAGTTGTCTGAACCCAGTCACTGAGTAATGTATGGGTAGTGTTTTGGACATTACAGAGAGATGAAAGCACGACATAAAATACTAAGGATGCAGTCCTTTGCATAGCTGGCTGGGCAGTGCTGGGAGCTGTAGGACTCTTTTGGCCTAAATTTGCCAAGAATTATGCCCTAAGTATTAAGGGGTTTGAAGGAAATCTATTGATGCGGTTTTTGAAGAACACACACCCATATTTCTTAATATGTAGCCTCCATACTTTGGAATTGGTGTATTATTCCATCATTACTCAATAATTCTATTATAGCTTCATATGAAGGGAAACTAGAAGGGTGAATCCATGTAATAAAGATGAGATTTGTCAGAAATACAAAACAAGTGCTATTAACAGAAGTTACTGGATCCTGAGGTAGCAGCATCATTCTGGGCCTGGGGCTTTGTGGGAAATTTGCATAGTAGCTAGGATCAGTCACTTGGTACTGTTTGGTGTGTGGCTGTCGGCTGCCACCAGTTGAGTCCTACTAACAAAGGATGGGCCCTCTCTGAGGCCTCTTTGCCTCAAGTCCCCTGACCTGGAGTTGGCTGTGTTTTTCAAGCTGCTCGCTCTGTCTCACAACTTCCACTACCAGTCTGGACATGATGGAGGACTAAGATGGGTGGAGCCTACAGATTTGCTGGGCCGTCCATGCACCCCATGGCTGGAACCCTGGCTGTGCTCTTGGCTAAGCCAAGGTCAGATTAGCTTGGCTTTCCTCCCTGTCCCTTGGGCAAATCACCATTCCTTGTTGAAATTAATTTTCAAGAATTACATCACAGAAAGTAGGACTGCTTTAAAGATTACTGAGATGATGCCTTCCATAACCTGGTGTCCTCCTGAGGGTTTGGAGTGCAATACCCATCAGCCCCATCCAGCATGGAAAATGGTCTGTGCTGATGGAAGTTGTCTTCCAAAAACTCAGGAACAGCCTCATGCTTCCAATTGTTCTCGACTACAACTCCCAGCATGCCTGAGTCTTGATCATGGAAACAGTGGCTGATGACAGTGAGCATCCCAAACAACTGGAAGGCACCAGGGTAGGAAAGATTTTGGTACCTAGCCACTTCCCCCACCCCTAAATTCCACCCAGTGCACAACTGCATGAGAGCTAAAAGAAGAAGAAAATCAAAATTCACATTAGTTTCAGCTGACCTAGAGGAATTTTGGAGCACAAAGAGCAACCAAGGAAGGTAGTTCAGGGTCAAACAAAAGCCCTTAAAATGTACTGCTGTGTTGCTGTGTAAGCAAATGGCACAACCCAACTTTCCTGGAATATTGTGTGTGTGTCAGTGAGGCATATGCCACTCTTGGGCCATCACTTATGCATTCAAGAACCACTTCCCCTATAACTTTATTTTCACATTGCAGCCACAAATGACAGAAGTTTATGAAATTATGCATAGTAGGAGAATTTACTCAGTTACCCAATGAAAATGTTTTCCAATAAATTCAGATCAGATAAGAGGAAGCAATTCATAAATTTCAGTGTTCTTTGCATAAAAGTATCCCTGTAAGTTGCAAGCTAGTACATTGGAGATAAAGGTTTAAGCCCAGGCATCTCCTAACTGTTCCAGTTTTCTTCTTGCATGAAGTTACCTTTTTTAACACACCAGGGAACAGAGGAAGGCAACAAAAATGGTCCAGGCTTTGGAAACACTGCCCTTTGAGTAGGGATTGAGAGAGCTGGGCATGTTCAGCCTTGAGAAAAGAAGGCTGAGGGGGGACATGGAATCCCTCTAGAAGTACCTGAAAGGCTGTCACAGAGAGGAAGGTCAAGATCTCTTCTTTCTGATCCCAGAGTATAGGACATGGAATAATCAGCTCAAGTTATGACAACCCAGGCTCAGGCTGGACATCAGGAAAAACTTCCTCACTGTCAGAGCAATACACCAGTGCAACCAGCTGCCTAGAGAAGCGGTGGGCTCTCCCGCACTAGAGACATTCAAAAAGAAACTGGACAGTCCAGTTTCCAACTGGGGTTGGACCCAATGATGCTCTTGGCCCTTTCCAACTCTACTGTTCTGTGATCTTCCCCCCAGGTTCTACCTCAGCATCCTTGGGCAGCAGTCTGGGCCCATCATCAGCACCGATGCCTACACTAAGTGCCAAGCTAGACAGCAGGAACTACAAGCCACCCTTTAAAATTTCCCTTAGTGTTCCAGAGCATCTGCTACAATGTTAGAACTTTTTAAGTTGGATGCCTGAGGCTAGAAACGATCTTAACTTTGTCAGTCACTCTCAGAGCCCCCCCCCCTTTTTTTGGCTAAACATGGTAGAAATGCAATAATCGAATAAATAGATACATAGATACATACTTTGCTTTGGGCCTCCTCAAACCTGATCCCAACCTGGTTCCCACCGGTGGTCTGAAGAGCACTGGTCCATTCTACCACTGTGAAGTATAGGCCAGGCCAAGGATAGCTGGCCGCAAATAGTTCCATGAACCAGACTGTAGCTTTTGATTTATTTATCTTTCCCTCAAATGAAAGCCCCTCTTGGCATCGGGCAACATCCCCTTTCAAAACGGGGTTTTCAAACTGCATCTCGAAAGATGGGGTTAACAGTCATTCAAAGGAAAGTAGATTGTTTCCTACTTTATGAGAGTGAAGAGAGTGAGGAAACTGGCCATCTTCAAGGGGCGATTTACACATGACATAAAATGATAGGTCAGATGCCTACTGCAAGTTTGCGGAGGGGATACTCCATTTGATTGCTCCCTTGCAAACACATCCTTACAAACAGAAAACTTTCACATCCAGGAGAAAGTCAAAGTCCAGTCTTTTGCCTTCTTTTCTGATTTTCTCTTTGCAAGGAGCTTTCCTTTTTTATGTGATGAAGTTTTGAAAAATGGCAGCACCCCTGGCTGCAGTCTGAAGTGGTCCTGTCCATGCTGCCACCTCATTATGCTCTTAGATCAGTCCTGACAGAAAAGGTTTCCTGGGCTCAGTCAGAGCCACCATTCTTGCTGTGCCATTCAGTCAGTTCCTTTTAAGTTTCATATCTAAACTTTTGATGCCACTGGGACCAAAAACTTTGTTTGCCTCGATGCCACACGATGGGTCAATGGCAACACTGGTCCCTCTAAAGTTGGATGTTGACTCCTTGGGGGTGGTGAACTAGATCGCATGCCAGAGCCTTGTTGGTATTGGCATTCAGCAGATGGATTTGTCCACCAGCTAAGAATGCTCACGCACCACCATCCACAGATTCTGGAGAGTTATTTATCTGCATCAGAGACAAATGTTTACCAGGTTTTAATCCACCTCAAAATCTGTGGTTAGATTCTGTTACTTTTCTTTGGCACTGGAAAGAAAGGACTCAGTCCCAGAGTGTATCACTCATTAGACTTTACTCCTGTTCCAGAAATCCCTTTCTAGGTCACCTTTCTGCAGCTGAAACCAGTTGAATGGATTGGCCTCCCTCCTCCTAAGAGAACCCAGGAATTTTGGTATCTAAGCTCGCCATCATCTCTGCCCCCCTTCTTTTTTGCCTTGTAGAGCTGGAGCTGCTGAGTTTTGAGAAGGTGCCTGCTCAGTTCCTTTCCTTAGACAACAAGAGGATGAATGTACAAATCAAAACAAGGATGAGTGTAAGCATGTTATAGAAAATAGGATTTATGTAGTCCTTAATTTGATTAGCAGGGAAGGGGTGAGAAGGATTTTCTCTTTGTAGATTAAGCAGATGTTGCAGATCAACTGCCTCCATGGAAATTGGAAATTGAATAATGAAATGGATGCAGAGAACAACTCTGCACAACCATCTTCATGAAGAGAGAGGACTGGCAAAATTATAGGAATGAAAATGCTGCATTCAAATTCATTTCAGGCTAGAAATCCTGGCTTAAACCAGAGAGCAATTGAGCAGCAAGCTGGCTAATGCAGCCCTTTCATATCCATTTTGCTTCTCCTACCTGTATGAGCAGGCGAATAAACCAGGCATGGCTACCTCAGCATGACATCTGAACCCATTGCACAAAGCCACCATGTCTGGTTTGCCTTCTCACTCATGCAAACAGGAGAAGTAATGCAGCTACATGCTCTAGTAGGTGGCTCATTCATATTGTGGTTTAGTAAAACAGGATGTATGCCTTAAAATGGTATGTGAATATAACCATTGTCTCATAATGTTCTGATAAAGCCATCAGAAGATAACAATTTCAAATTGGAGGGAAATCTCTAGCAAAGAACAGGCCAACATGTTTTAAACTCAGGGATTCCTGAAAAGCGGGCACTTGTTACTGAACGAATTAGTGATGCCAAATTCACCTGGATTCGTTCATCCATAATATTTTGCACAAGACTTCTGTTGTAGCCACGTTAATCTCCTGCAGCAGAAACCACAGAGAGTGTTGTAGCACCTTGAAGGTGAGGGGCAGAACCTTTTGCATTTTTAGATAGAAAGTCCCCTCCTGATTCCAGCATTTCCAAGCCAGCATGGCTGGGAGAGATCGCTGAAATGGTATAAGTTTTTTCTGTATAAACTTGCACGCTCACATATTTATTATGTGGTTAAGCTGCCTCAAAGATCTTTGTTGAGGTAAGAGTGACATGCATCCTGGGGGGGGGGGATGAAACCTGGTCCATTTGTACTTAATGCCTTGATTTTCCCTGTGTGCAACATTTCACAGCTGCAGTGCTCCCGGTAGCAATTCTGCCATTAAATGTGTGAAATTGGTTGCTTCCTATAGCGTCCCGCATGCATTTCCGGAGCTGCTCAAGAGGATATGATATATTCAGAAGTGTCTGACGTCTCTGAAGTGGTGACAGACAGATTCCTGTGCAGTGGACAAGACAATCCTGTGGAGGCTGCCACTTGCAAAGGTTGTTTTGCCTGCATGGGAAGGGCAAATGTATCTTGATTAAGTGGAATGGAAGGGGAATGAAAAAAGATGATGTATAATTCTGAAGAGGTTTCTCATCCAAATGAAGCTGTATGGGTTTCCTGGGAATCAGAGTGTTAACAAAAGCCAGTGCAGCATAATATTTGAGCATGAGGTGACCTGGGATCTAGTCCTCATGAAGTTCTCTGGGTGACCTGGGGCCAATGGTTGGCTCTCCCCCTAACCTAGCTCATAAGGTTGTTGTGAGGATAAAATGAAGAGGAAAAGAACCATGTAAGCTGCCTTGGGTTCCTTGCAACAGAAAGAAAAGGATAAGATGTAACATTACTAGTACTAGCAGTAGCAACAATGATTAGGATGAGGCGGAGGTAGATGTTACCTTCACAACTGTGAGATTCCTTGCCAACATTGAATTCAGATGTTGACAACTTCCATTTAAAGAACCTTCCTCCAGATCCAACCCATTGCTAGTCCTTGTTGCTGTAGGGTAAAATATCTCTGCAGTGCCTTGTGAAGTCCAGATGCCAAAGCAGTTTGGGCGAGCTTCTTAGGGTGATGCTCATTGTGTGTTGCTATGTGGAGGCCATATAAAACATTCCGCATGTGACGGCTGCTCCATAGAGCTGCTATCATGTGTACAGAAGCTCCCAGGAAGAATGTCCACTGGCTTGGCCTATTCTATTTAACATGAATGGCCAAACTTGAAGACAAGTTTAATGAAGTTCAGGTAATGTTTTGTCTTCCAGCTTCCTTGATTAATGCGGCTGGGATTTCCAATGAATTGTGGAAGACAAGGCAAAATATTATTAGAACATTCAAAGTGCAAGAAATCTAACAGTGTAGCACATGCAGGAGAGACTGGTTTTGTTTATTTTAAAAGCAGAAATCAAAAGCTGGATAGAAATTAGCTCTTCTAGATTGTTACTGTGTTATGGTTATAGATTAGGAAACAATTTCCTAATATTCCCAGATTTATTCTGGCCACCTTATCAGAAATTTACTGGCTAATTTAAGAAGTCTGAAAAGAAAATTTGAGCTATCCCCGCTGTGAAATAGTGGTTGGGATAGATGGTGGGGCTTATATAAGCTTTTAATTCCCTTTTTTTCACAGGTGAATCTGGAGGTTCACTGTTTGTGGAGAGGAAGGAAAGACATTTTCAGGTAAGTAAGCTCTGCATGGAGAGCCAGTGGGGTGTAGTGGTCAAGAGCATGGGACTGGGACTCAGACGACCTGGGTTCTAGTCCCCGCTCACTCATGGAGCCAACTGGGTGACTTTGGGCCAGTCACAGACTCTCAGCCCAACCTACCTCACAGGGTGGTTGTTGTTGTGGGGATAAGATGGAGAAGGAGAATGATGTCAGCTGCCTTGAGCCCTTTGTAGGAAAAAGGTAGGATATCAAATAAATAAATAAATAAATGTGGACCTTCAGGTTTTCACAATAAGCAATATGGTTTTGTTTATATTCACAATGTTGGATTTAGACAAGCAGAGACCCATGTTCAGATCTCTCGTCAGCCAGAACCCCTTGGGCCAATCACTGGCCCAGCTCTCAAGGGGTCACAGCACGTGTAGGCAAGCAGCCATTTTGAATATTTGGCCCCAGTGGGGGAGGTGGCATGCTACATCATATCATCTGAGCCCTGTTGTTAAGCAGCCCTCACATAACCATGGATCAGACCATGGGTCATTTGAGGCTTGTTCAACTTTCAGGAGAGCCTTGCCACCTGGGTTTGAATGATATGACAAATGATGGCAACTCCCCTACTGGGGCTGGAACATTCAAAAGGCTTGTGCCCTCACATGCTGCAGTGCAGCCCACTATTACTTAAATAAACCTTGGTGGGCTGCACTCATCATGCAAACCTGGCTACTGGGTGCATTCATACATCCCATTAACCCACCTTGGTAATAACCCATGGTTGGTTAGTTCTATGTGAAGCAACTCACAGTTAGCTCAACAAATGATCAGACTCAACGTGGATTTTTGGGTTCTCCTTCCCACTAGGATATCCAGGAGCCACTTCTGAAGGATCAAGTTTTCCTCTCTTACTCATTGCCATGACCCATTTGGGCTCACTCTGGCTTTTTTCCTTTAACTTTTTTTTAAGATCATGTAAGCTATCCATAATGCCAGCTTTTGCAAGCCCTGTTGTGGAGCTACAAGTAACCCTTCAAAGCTTCTCCACAGCTTTGTAACTGTTTCTTGAAAATATCATGAAAAGTTTACAAAAACGAAAGCAAATAGAAATTATTATTTGTACTTGTGCAAATGTGAACTTTGGTAGTTGCGTGGATTCAGGGATGGAGAGCCTCAGGTAGGAATTGTGCAGAAGGGATGCCTGGCAAAATCTAGCAGGTACCCACCCTGGCAGTGCTCCTCAGAAGCAGCAGGTAAGTTCCCCCTTTTTGTTACATTGGATGACTGTCAAAATGTGAGTTATCCGAAGTAACTAAAGGCATGAGTGAGCCTGAATGGTGAACAGGGTGTCTTTTTGGATTTATACTCACATTACAGTAGCATCCTCATGTTCCCTTCCACTTAGTTCTCATGAGGATACACATTTTGCATCTGGGTGCTTGGGAAAGTGCAACTGTGTGTCCTACCACCCTTTCCTATCGAAAAAGGAGTTTTCACAGCTTTGATAGCTTGCTGTCAAAGCTCTGGGTCTCTTTAAAATAGGGGGCAGGGGGTAAGTGCGAAATGGAGCTTTTCAACTGGAGTATACACAAAATGTTCAATATGGGTAAAAAACAAACATTTTTGCAACATGCCTCTGGGGCGCTTTGAAGGAAGTGCTCATAGCTGACGAGATGGGAGTCACGAGCTTAAGATGGACAAAGTCATGGCAAGTCCCAAGCATCTTGTGGCAGTGGAAAGTGAGGAAGCCATTGACAGCTGTCCCCAAGGTCCAGTTGGCGCTGTTGGAGCAGTCTCTCTGGTGCTCACACAGAAGCCCCCAGGAAAGCGTATCAAGGGTTTTTGCCACTCTTGTCATAGCCAGTTCTGCATGCTCATGATGGGGTCTGTTTATTTGACACAACCCATTGTGGCTACAGTAACCCATAGTTTTGCGGGGCCACCCTGGGGAAATTGGTTGGAGTTTGCATGACACAACGATCAATCCATTGTGGTAGCAACCCACACTGGGTTGTCATGTCACGTGCATCTAGGCATTGTCTCTTAGCCTAACCTACTCTTCTGGGTTATTATGAAGGTAAATCGAGGGGGTGTATGTATGCCACCCTTTAGAGGAAGGGTGAGAGAAAACCAGAGTGTGAGACTTCTGGTACTCGAACCAGGTTCTATTCCACATTCAGTCATGAAGCTCACTAGGTGACACTGATCCAAACACTCATTCTCAGCCTCTCCTACCTCACAGGGTTGTTGTGAGGATAAAATGGAGCTATGTAAGCTGCCTCGGGTTCCTCACAAGAGAAAGAAAGGTGGGATATAAATGTAATGAAATGTAATAAAAATAGTATGTACTAATAGGAAACAATACAATGTGGAGGACCTTGGCAGAATTGGACCCAAAATGAGAGAAATGCCAACATGAAAAGATCTGACTGGAAATATCAATAAATACTTACTTGCCATGTCAGATCCAGGTTGGTATAGCCCAACATTTTGTTTCCAACACTAATCAGCCTCCTGAGAAACTCACAAAAAAACTCGCAATTGACATAGCCATTCAGTGTCATTCAGTGTCATTCATATCCGCTCTCTGGCTGCCCAAAGTGTGTATATTGCCTCTTTTTTCATCATACAGCATCTCTCACAAAAATCCACTTTTATGTTTTAGCAGCCTATTTTAATTTGGAACCCCAATTTAGGGAATCTTTCTTTTACTCTTAAACAATTAGGCATCGGAAACTCGTCTGAATATGACAGATTGCCCAGAGATTCACCAGTAGATCCTGATCTACTCTCCTCTTCTGCCCACTTCTTCTCCATGGGGCTGTTATAACATTCTGGGTTTCAACTGAGTTCTGTCCTGTGAATTTTAGAGTTTTCTCTCTAGCTCTTGACCCGCCTCCTTTACCTCTCCTGGCAGGTGGGCGTGATCAGCTGGGGAACATATGACCCATGTAAAAGGAAGAAGAAAACACAGAACAAGGAGACGATGCGAGATCCCCCTCCGCACAAACATAAACCTCGAGATTTTTATATCAGTCTCTTTAGTGTGCAAGACTGGCTGCGACGACACCTGAGCGATTCCCTGAAATTCATCCCTATGCAATGAACCACAAATATACATTCACAGTTACCCAGAATTCTTCCCAACACTGTTTGTTAAGGCATCTATCTCCATAATGCATATTAAAAACATAATTATCCGATGTCTCTGTTGTTTGTCTGTACTGTTTAGACACCCAGTTGAAAGATTAGAACTTAGTTTATGCCAGAATTGTTCAGTTCAAAGGCTTGAGTTTCTTCTGTAGCTGCTGTAAGTAGAATTAAATCAGTGGTTCTTCCCTGTAACAAGATCCTTGTGTGATGTGTATTCAAAAGGGAGTCCTATCAAGCCAAAGGTCGCTTGCAATGTTGATTAAAAGCTGCTTCCTTAGGGTCCTTCCCATTTTGTTGCCTTCTATTGGGCAGAACAGTGGGATTACTGATGGGTAGCATATTGAGGCACAATCAACTTTCATTTTCCTGAATGGGGATGTTCATGTCTGCATGAATATGTGCATATAGATTTCCCTCCGTATTTCTTGTCATTGTTCTATACTGAATTAGCTCTATTATATATGTTGTTTTACATATATATTGTAGAATTGTTATTGCTATACAACAATGGCAAGGAAGAAGCATGAGGAAATTAGTAATCAATAAATCAGGAAATGTGCTGGGCCTCTTCATTCATGCTGCCATGATTAACAGGAAGCAATAAATGCAGCTGCAGCTGCAAAGAGAAATCTTTTAATTAACGCTTGAGTTGTTCTGAGCAGCTTGCATAGTACTTTGGCAAACTGCCCTTGCAAGCTAGTGCTGCAATTTAGTTTTAAGTTTAAGAAAGATAAGAAACTCTGTTTGGAAGGGCGGGGGTACAAATGAACAGAAGGACAGCAGAGGAAACATGAAAAGGTAATTACATCATCTAGAGTCACTGAGTCTTTTGTTTTAAGTGCATATGAGAGAGTAATTCCAGGTTAAACTACTATGTAAGCAAGCTCAGAATCTAATTTTAATCTTGGAGTACAGTCTTAATGAATGTGAAGCAGAAATAGTTAGGGTACCTCTTAGCATTCATTGAGTGCCACTGGAGAACCATAATGTGAAGCAGAAAGGAAGTTTTGGAGGCCCAAAGCTGTAATTTAATGGCAACCTTATAACTCATGTTAAAAGCAAAACATTTCCAGGAAGGTTCTGGTACTGAGAATGTCCTCTCATGGCAATGTTTTCCTTCCTCTGTTTCCCCATCTTTTAGCAACTTTGTTTAATATGGCAGACAGAAAATAGGTTTTCAGGCAACTCTGTGGATTTGTCTGCCCAGATAGAACAAGAGTTAGGAGAAGGCTGTTGATCCCCTTCACTATCCGTAAACATGGCAAGACACTCAGACTTGGGACCCATCAGGGCTAGGAATATTCAAGTTACAATAAGGGCATAGCTGTTGAACCAGAACAATGGATTTTTTTCTTTCCTTGGGACTAGACTTACCCTGGGTCATCCAGGGTACAGGACAGAGAATAACAGGACCAAGTTACCAGAAGCCAGATTCTGACCAGATAGCAGAACAAATTTCCTGACTGCCAAAGTGGTAGGATAGTAGAACCAATTACCTAGAGAGGCTCTCCCACAATGGCAGCATTCAGGATGCAACTGGACAGCCATCTGAGGGAGATGGTTAAATTTGGGGGTCCTGCACTGAGCAGGAGATTGGACCCAATGGCCCTTTTGGCCTCTTCCAACTCCTATGATTCAAGGTCCAGAAGCTGCCGCTGGGGCTTGCCTAGCAGTGCACATATTACATGTGTTGAAGCAATTATACCAGATTGCTGCCTGATAGTTACCTGTGTGGTGTTGAAAAATGAATAATTTGGGGGTAGGTTGTGAACAGATTGCCTCTCCCAGTGTAGATTGGTGAAATCGCTAAGATAGTCAAAGGAGGTTGTACCTTGCAGATTGTAATCTGGTGGCAACTCTGAAGTGGGCTTTCTCCATGGTGACACCCACCTGTTGGCATTCTCTCCTTGTATTTGGAAGGCACCAACTGTGGTGTGTTTTAGGCATCCACTAAAGACCCATCTTGTCAAGCGATGCTCATGGGGTTTACCAGTTTGTTTGTTTGGAATTTTAATCATTTTAATCATTGTGCTTTATTTTGATATACAGTATATTGGATTTTCTGATTTTGTAAAATGCTTAGAAGTACTTTTAAGTGTGGTAAGTGATATATAACTTGATTAAATAAATTGAAGTGAGCAACTGACTTTTGCTGTTTGGTTAACTGCAAATCTTGATCCCCATGTTCCTGCTTCACTATACATCCATCTACCAACATGGCTAAATCTTTTAATTCTGTGGCCCACAAAGCTACACCCACTAATTTATCAAACTGTCTTCTGTGTATCAGTGCTCTGTTTGGAAGGACAGGTGCAAGCAAGGCTGCTTAACATGTGTTTTTCTGTCTACTCAGCAATCCTTCCTGCAATTTGGTAATTGTCCTGTTTTAGAAGAACTGAAACTTCCTACCATGGTCTTCTCACCCACCCTCAAGTATTTAGCAATCACTTTCCCTTCATTGTGTAAAAAAATGAGGAAGTTTCATGGTTTAATGCTGGATCAATACTGTAATGTTAGAAAAACAAATACACGGAGGAGCTGGGATTGGGTCATGGCTGCAAGTAAATGCTTGGGTCAGGGAGCAAGTTCGTTTCATCACTTACAAGACTGGCAGCTTGCTGATCGTGGCCTCCAGTAATCCTGTAAAATCAGTACATCGTGAACTCATATGTAATGTGTCTTAAGTGGGGAATTTCCCTCCTTGCCTTTTTTGTCTTCTTGCCTTCAAGCCATTTGGGTTTCCCCCTATTTCCTTCCCTCGGGTGCCTGGATTTCTGTGCACCTGCAGGGAAAAAAAAATATCCTCACCCCTCCCAGCCCTGCTATTGCTTAAGCAATGCTATTTCCCAAAACTCAGCTGTTTCCTCGGGGTGGGGTTAGCGAAAGCCTATCTTATGGGGAGGAAAGCCAACGTTTCAGAAATAGCAGGACTGCAGTGGTGCCGCACCATAGAAGCTACAGACGGGCTGGAAGGCAAATAGGAAGAAGGACCAGACATGCTGCGGTTTGACCCACTTTTCTGCATTCTCGTTTTCCTTCGGGCAATTTATACAGGTAAGGTAACATCTCACAGTGGCAGAGGGCTTCTAATGCCTCGAGCTCCTCTCGGAGCACTGCACTGCCTAAACATACTCAGGGATGCCTCGAAGCGAAAATCCTAGAATCACATTTCCGTTTGAAACACTGCTAAAATGTTTCCTTCTAGATACTCTGGGTCAGAAATGAAACAACCGAAACAAAACTTTGAGATCCTTAATTTTTTCTGTGTGAACATTGCATTGAATCCAATATTAGACTGATTTATTGCATTATGTTTAAGTAGGAATAATTGCATTAAGTAGGAATATAATTGAATGTAACATGTTGCTGTTAAATATTTGCTTCCCCCCCCCCCCCCCCATACAGTAGTACCTTGGCTCACAAACTTAATCCGTTCCAGGACTCTAGTCCTGACCCAAATTGGTCTTGAGCCAAGTTAAATTTCCCCATAAAGTTCAATGTAAATAAGGTTAATGCATTCTGTAACTATTTTTTTAATCAGAAAACTGTGAAGCAAAGTGACAAAGAACAACAAAGATCATGGCCATTCCCCCACACACCCCAAGCATTTCTGAATAGACTTATATGAGATTGTACTTTCATTTTATGTGGAAGTATTAAATAGAAGATATTTCTGTATTACATTTCTATACTGCCCAATAGTGGAAAATTGTTCACAATAATTCAAAACATAAAATACAGTATAAAAATTTAAATGTTTGAAATTACAGTTTAAAATAGAAGAAAAAACCTGAGTAAAACTTAGTAGCTGTAAAAGAATTTGAAATAAAGCACAAGATTTAAAACAATTAAAATAATACTATTTAATAGCCATGCAATGATAGTGGTATCAACAGCTGACTTGTATTGATTTCTAGTTTCTGACAAAGTACCTGATTTTGTATATGAAGTCTCCCAAAAATAATCAAAAGATTATTCAGTAGAAGACTGATTTTTTTCTGAGTTTAAGAAAATATTCATGCTTAACATTTGAATAACAAATCAGGCAATTTGCAGATTGCATTTCAGCCTTGTTCAGAGACATTTTGATGTCACAGAATTCCCATATGAAAAAACTCATGTACAGGAATTGAGGGCGCAAGTGCAATCTACCTTAGATAATCATGTAAATGCTTCTTTACATGTACATCTGCTGGGGAGTCATAATTGGCTGTGACCCAGTGCATGCACTCTGGGCAAACTATATCTGTATATTTGACACGCACAGTGATTGGGTTCACATGGCACAACAATCCATCATTGGTTGCTATCTGCAGTTGTTTGTTGTGTTCTGTGAACTCAGGCCGATTTCTTCTTACATGGGCAACAAGCTATGCCACAAGCCATGAGTTGTTTTAAGGTTTGTTCTGGCCACAGTAGGTTGTCATATCTCTGAACCCCAACCCACAACAAGAGTGGGGGGAATTGGCTAGCTGCAAGGAAAAAGTCCTGCTACTCTTGCCATGGGGCTACTGGGTGAGCCCCACTGTCTGCTGCCCCCAAAACATCCTAGCAACATATTCGCCCCCATTGCAAGCTGTTTGTTTGTTTGTTTAAAATATTTATATGCCGTCCTAATTCACAAAAAGCCTCAGGACAGCTTGTTTTGAGCTCACTACAGATTTTCTTCCCATCTAATTTTCTGGATAATGTAAAAGTTGTTTTAATCACTGTGAGCAGCCCCCTCATAGTACCCCAGCACTTTCCTAGCATTAAAAAAAATCTGCAAAAGAATGTGCACAACATTTTTTCAAACTACAGTTGTGCTGCTGCACGGATTCAAAGCCTTGTCTGGGACAACATCCAGTGGAGTGTTAGTTGCCAAGAGACAGCAGGTACTAACCCTGAACATTGTCCAGAGGAGGCTCCAAATGCAATTTCTCCCCACTTTGGGGTTTGTTTGTTCTGTGACCTCTGTTAGAAGGTGAGCCACCAAGAAAAAGCAAAGGTGCAATTGAGCTTTAGATGTGGAAAGGGCTTGGTGGGATTTGACATCACTCTGCAGCAGCATCCTCAAAATCCCCTGTCCCTCACCTTTCAGGTCCCACCAGAATATACATTTTTTTTCTTTGTCCCAGGCCTTTAAGTGCTAAGGAACTTGCAAATGTTTTCTCCCTTTCCCCCATTCCCTTTATTCCAGAGAAAAGGAGTTTTGAGCGCTTTGCCAGCTAGCTGCCAATTTTTGGGTTCCTACAAAAAGTGTGTGGGGGCAGGGGGATGTATTGGGCCATACACAGATACATGTCTCAGTCCAGAACCACCCACTTGCCATTCAAAAGCTGCTTTTTAAAATTGTGCAAAAAAGTAAGTAAAAAGTTTGACACCATGGGCAGTCCCTCCAAAGTGTTGCTGGGGCCCTTTGAAGGGAAAATTGAGAACATAATCTTGGGAAGGGAAGGGAAGAGGAAAGAAATATAGCAAGGGGGGGAGACATTTCTCCTGTGGTGTCCCCTGAGATACTTGCAGGATAAGTGAAATGGGAGGAGGAAGCCAACAACCAACAATGACCCCACTCATCTTTTACTTGCACGAAAGAGCATGGATTAACCATTACACTAGGTACACTAAACTACAGGGTCGCTGACAAAAACTGGAGCCCCTGCAATAGTTTGGTAATTTCCCAATGTGAAGAATATGTCAATATTGCACCATCCCTCTCTGGATGGGAGTTGGTTCCCATGAGTGCAGTAAAATGCCACATTCAGATTTGGGAGGTATGCATTTTCTGGATGCTTGGCCTCAGGCTACCTCTCATCCTGCACTGCAAATATAAAGGGGGTCATTTTTATAGATAAACTGCAAGTCACATGCCTTGATCTATAAAGCCCTGCCTCATAGATTTCCAGCTGAATGACAGCTAGCTATGTTTACTTATTACTGAAGTGAAATGCACTCAGCATGTGATTTAGAGTCCTGATCTTGATTACTAGTTTACCTAATCCTAGGCTGCGTGTTGGCCTTCAAAATACGCTCGGAGGATGCACCTCCCCTCAGTGACTGCTCCTGGTCAGAGCGTTTCTCTGAGGATAAAACAGCCCCTTCACTCAAGTTGCACCGCATGACTGGGAGAGCAGGGCTGCGCCCAGTGGCCTTGTGCTCCCGTTCACTCCTCCCCCATGGCCATTCATTGTGTGGGCAGGACAAAGGAAGTATGCTCTATGTATGTAGGTTCCCCCCATGCCTTGCAACCCCATGCCACCCAGATTTTACCTCCCCAAAAACATGCGTGGGGGCGGTGGCAGGAATGCATAGATGGTACCCATAGGGGCAGCCTCCCCCCCGTGTTAGTCGCAAAACCTTCCCAAACTAGAGGGAGAACTCATATATGGACTGAGCTCAAAGTTTCCTCCAAGGCAAGACTGTTATCTTACAGCAAGATACGGGAGCAGTGTTTGGATTCTAAGTGTATACTGATTTTTTTTAAGGTGGTTGCAGGCAAGAAGTTGTGTGCTTCAGATTTCGAGGAGACACTTGTGGCTCCTTGCCACGGTTCCCCACCCTCGCCGCTACCTATTTGTTTTCACTCTTTCTGTGGGTTGCCTATATCACTGTCCAGAAGGAGAGGATGAAACAAATGGAGGCCCCCACTCTTTTCCTCTTGTCTCTCATCACTGTTCACATGTGTGGAGAAGCCAGATGAAGCAGCAATGTTATGGGAGGAAGAGGAGATCCTGGGGGCCCACTGTATGTCCTCTACTGGGTCAGACTGCTATAGATTGGCTTAGTGCCATTTTCACTTTACTGCAGTGGTCTAGAAGCCTGACAAAAGTCTTGCATCACAGGGGAGACAACAAAACATTATGGATCCGCGATAGAGACTGCTAATTTTATTTGCTACTAGGGTTGCTCTGGCATGTTTAATTCAGGATGATCTCTCCAGGCAAACTTAAACACACAATTTTATGCATGGTTAGACAGAAAAAAGCATACAACTCCTAGCATTCCATCTTTTCCATTAAAAAAAATAAGCATGTATAAGACTTAAGTTTCTGAATCTGCACAGTGGTTAGAGAGTGGTTTTTTTCCTCTGCAAAACTGCAGTTGACTAAGTTACATTTTGTTAGCTGTAGTTCTTTGTCAACAGCAGTTCTGTGGAGAAACTGAACACTCCCTTTGAGATGGGCACCTCTGAGCTGAGAGACTGTGACACTGATTGCACACAAAGTTCCAAAAAGTTTAAAACTTACTCATATTTGTAGTGAGAATAAAGACCTTGGCCTTAAAGGTCTAAGACTAAATAGTCTTACATTATGTATTTTTAAATGGTTTGAAAAAACAGCAACATGCAAATAACAATTCCACAGCGGTTGTCATGATGGTGGTTGGAATAGGCAGGAAAAGGGGAGTTTAGCTCTGTCCTGCCTGCCTTTAGTTGTGACAAAAAAAATATATGCTCCCCTCCAAAGCCTCTATTTGCACTGTGGAAGGAGATTGAACACACACACACAGAGTCCTAGAATAAATGGCAGTCGAACCATTATTTTAAATACAGTCATACTTGGAGATATTGTGGGTTTGGTTCTGGACCACTGGAACAAGTCAAACATAGCAATGACTTGGGTCACAAATCCTGTAGAGGCACACCTCAGACATTCTGCAGGTTGAGTTCCAGACCACTGCAATAAAGCGAAAATAGAAGTAAAGTGAGTCACACATCAATCTAACAATTGCAGGGAGCAATATCTGCAAAGCGCAATAAAGTGGGGGCAATAAATAACCTGTAGGTAGAAGTCAACTTGGCCCCCAGCCTCCAACCTTGATGAATCTTTTTTCCTGCCAATAGGGGGAGCCCTGTGCCGCCTTTTTGGAAGCTCACACAGTTTGAGGGAACTGAAAAGGCCTGTTCGCTTCCCTATTTCAGACTGGCCTTTAGGGTAGAGCTGTCAAACGATTTGGAAAAAAAATCCCCAAACACAAGTTGAGCAGCTTTTGTGCCTTAAAAAGTATATAATTCTATAGAATCTATTCGGTGAAATTTTTCTATGCGTGGTGAGGCAAGTCTTCCCTCATCTGGTGCCCTCCCCACGTTATGGGGGCAATTCCTAGCATTCCTGCTCATGGCCGTGCAGGTTGGGCCTGACTGGGGTTGTGGGTCAAAGACGAGGAGAGGGCCAGGCCGGGGAAGGCTGCTGCAGGCGTTGTAGCTTCCCACCCACACGGGATACTGCAATGCAGCCTTCTGTGGCCATTACAAAATGCCAGCTGGAGACTGAAAGAAATTCTCTTTGAGGGGACTGGGGAAAGTCTTGAGATTTGGACTGTCAGAGGCGGGTTGTGAGAGACCTGGAGCGCAGGGCCAGCCCGATTAGGCAGAGTAGGGCAATAGCCTCAGAAGCAGACAGTGCAAAGCGGCAGCAAGGTGCGAAAGAGAGACCCTGAAGGGCACTGCCCATGCACAGTGTTGAAGAGAGGCTCCTCTACTGGCCCAGCTGGCTTTTCTCCACAGAATGGATGGGCGGCCATCTTGTTCTTGGCTCGAGGCAGCAGAGTGTCTTGGGCCGGCACTTTCAGAACGGACACCTTTTGTCTAGCGCAATCATTCAGCTCCATCCACTCCCATTTGTTACTTAGAGACTTTTCTTAGAGAATTGTATACCTGCCAGAGTTATTCCTCTTGCTTTCTCCCCTCCCTGTTCAGGGAAACCCAGCTTTTCCCCTTCTTGTCTGTCAAGTTGCCCACCGGTTGCTTCTCTTTCCTTTCAGAAGGGTGGGTATGGGGTGAGCTGCACCTCACTGTATTTTGGGGCTCTGGCAATCTTCCCCCTCACTACAGTTTGATCCCAGGCCATGTAGTTATCTTTTCAGCTTTGGGTTATGGATAGGGAAAGTGCATTTACATTTGGAGGCACAGGTGGGATCCAATCTACCCCGCCCCCTATTTACCCTAACTGTCCAGTTCTGAACCAGTTTTCACCCCTGCCTACCCTCTGAGCTAAATCTGAGCATGCTCACTTTTAAATTAGTGGCAGCACTGGCTAATTTTGTTAATAATGTGCTCTATTAGTAGCTTCTTAATTTCTAGTCTTTAACCTTTGTGATAATTTAATTGTCAGTTTGAGATTTCAGATGGATTCTAAAACTGTTCCTTACTAATGTATTGTTGTGTTGCCAACCTGCTATAAAGTGATTCTTCCCATTATATCGCAATGTTATGTGGCTCAAAATCATCAGCAGTCTATGAGTGATGAATTTCCTAGGGTGTTTGGCAACTATTCCCAGTAAGAGCAACAATGTCTTATGTTTCTTGTCAAGTGCCTTAATTATGTTTTCTGGAATGGATCTTTTTAATGGATTTTGTTTGCCCCATGTTGTTCAAGCTACAGTAGCTTTCCCAGATATCCAAACCATTTCACATGAACAATGAATACAGAGGACAGTGAGCTACTTGGATTAAATAAAAAAGTGTACCTAGGTCTCTATCAGTTGAGCTGCTAGTTCTTTCTAGATCTTTGCCACCATACCACAAACCTTTTCTTCCTGGTTATAAAGGAAGGAGTAGAATTATGACCTTAAAATCATAGGATCATACAGTTGGAAGAGGCCTACTAGGCCATCAGGTCCAACTCAATGCAGGACTCAAGTCTCACATCCACATTCCAACCAGGCCTGATACTGCTTGGCTTCCAAACTGAGGCAGGATCAGGCAGTTTAGACTATACAGAAGCTTGCTGCAGTTTGAGTAAAAATGTATAATCTGGCTGGTTCTACATGTCATTGTCTACATATCTGTTCTTAGTGTTGCAAGAGATTGTACTATCACCAAAAGAATCTCTGAACCATGACCTGAGTAAATAGCTTGTGCCCTACTACTTGTGAACTGAACTCTTTTAACTGCTTTTCCTCCAGAAGCTAATGATGCCTCCTGTGACCCCAAAACAGCAGAAATTATAGGAGGCTCCTATGCTCTGCTGCAAAATGGCACAGTGTTACAGTATTTCTGCCCGAATGGAACATACCCACACCCTACAGACATACGGACTTGTGAGTATAACGGGCGATGGAGCCGCATGACCAATCAATATGGCAGGAACATCGCAAAGGCCAAGTGCGAAGGTATGAAGGCAATTGTTCATTTCTAAACAAGGAAGTCTTACTTTTCAAGCTGATTTGGAAGTGACAGTTATGAAATTTTGCAGTCTGGACATCATAACCTTATAGGCCCTGACTCTTTAGATGGTAATATGTCAACATCTGGTAGGCCAACTCTGTTGCATCCAGGTAGTCTCCTGGGAAGTCATTCTAATGTGTCTCCCTCTGTTCAGAAACACCACTGTCTGGAAGCTGCATCATGTATCTTTGCAAACGGAAGCCTTTCCCAGTTTGATGTGGGCTGTATAGTTTGTGCGGCTGAGAAGTTTTAGCACAAAGGGAAATGCATTCTGTATAATCCATCTGCATGAAATGTTTGTATTTAAAACAATCTTATCCTGCCATTTATTGATTTGTTTGGCTGGAACAAATATATTTGTATACTCATGCTTCATCTTGAAGGCATATTACATATAAATTACATTACAAATTATATATGAAACTAGAAAAGAATAACCCATAGAAATAAGGGACATGGTAGAACTGCAAGATAAAATATGAAAACCTTTCTCAAACCTAAAAGCAGACTTAACACTCTACAGATTTTTTTTTAAGGTCTTCACCTTGTAATGAAAAAACATTAAAGTTAGCACTGGGGTTGGGAGCTCAGAGATTGTTTCCAGATGGAAGGTTCCTGCCACTATGAATAAAAAGCCATTGTGCAGCAAGTCTTTCGATTTTTCTTAATACATTTTCTGAGATAAGAAAAAAGCAGAAGTGGTGGGAAGATACAGGAGGTTTACAAGAGGAAAACAACATGTATATCCCCTGTGAAATTCTGGGGATGAGACGGGGTGATGGTGCCATAGAAACCAGGATGCAGCAACTGAGGAGGCCATGTTCCCAGCCAGTCATCCTCCAGGGTCCCGTGAAGAAGAGCCTCAACAGCAGAGCTAACTATCCAGGTAGATTCATGAAGAGAAGTCGGTTCTGATACATAAAGTTCAGTGGTCCCAAGCCCTTTAAAGGCTAAGAGGAGTCCACATCAGCAAACAAACTACAAACCTGTCCACCAGAGGTCTCCAAAGCAGTGGTTATACAGAAATGCAAAGATAAAGAGTGTTTCCTGATAAGACTTTTATTATGCAATCGCCATGTCTCCTTCATGGAATATCGGAGGTGCAGTCCAGCCATCATTGTATTCCACTTGCACCTTCCTTTGTTTTTCCACCACTTCTTCCATCGTTTTTCAAAAAATGTATTAAGGATAAGAAAATTGAATGTCTGCACAGAATCCTTGGATTGGGACTACTAAGGACCACTAATTGGGACCACTCATATATGTGTGAGCCACCCAGAGAGCCTTATGGCTAATAGGGAACCATACAAGTCTAATAAATAAATAAGGAGGCATTTGTCTAGAAACACCCAAACTATAGAATGAAGCAAACTAAAATCAGCAGCTTCAGCTTTGACTGAGATGTTATATGAGAGAAGGGCGGGGATTATAGCTTGCCGAATTCCTGGGAGAGCAGAGAAGTTTTTACCTGGGTGTCTCAAGGATGGGTGATAGGTCAATATGTTTGAAGCAAGCATTCTGTAATTAGGGTGTCACAGCAGGAAAGGCCTTGGTAGCCACCCAGTCTGACATAGAGGTTATTGGTCTCACTTCATGGTCTGGAGGCAGATGAGGCAGCCACTTTGTTGAATCTAAGCACACCTGGCTATGATGAGTGCTTGGAGGGAAGGCCACCTGGGAAAAGCATAGAGCCATTCAGAGTTCTGTGAAGAAGGTAGAATTTAAATGTAATAAAAGAAATAATTAAGTTGATCTAAGATGGAAGTGACATGATCAGCCATGAAGCTCATGGGTGACCTTGGGCCAGTTACTATTGCTGTGTAAAGTATGAGTATCTGTTCGTGTATGCATATTATCCCGAGCTGCTTCAAAGAACAGCAGGATAAAAATCAGACAGATATTATGTATGCAGGCTTTGTGCTCTTTGTAGCTACATCCAACATGACATACATGCACTTCTTGTTCAATTGGACTTCTCCTTGCTCTCTTCCAAATCTGTTCTGTAGACAGTGACCCAGGCAGTGATGTGCATTCCAGAAAAAAAGCAAATCTGAACATATTCAAATTAGGTTAATTTGCATAGGAAAACATTCATTTTGCTTCAGAAAACTATTCTAATGTCTATAGATATAATTAGCATGTTTATTCAATATTTCATCGGCAAAACTTTGAAAAAGTACCCCATTTTAAATAAGCTCTGACACAACATATATAGGAATTTTTACTGGAATACTTGTAAAAATTTCAACACTATAGTATGTGCATCTTTTACATAGTTTATATTGGGGGGGGGGGGAACCAAAGTACAGTTGTAATGTTAATTAATTGTATCAACCAAGGAACTATGCACGAACTGTGAACAGCACTTTATGTATTTCAACAAAGTTCAGCTTTCTTCCACTAGGGTTACTGGGGTTCCTCTCAGTTTTTTGTCACTATTGGTTAGCTCCATTTCAATCTGGAACAGAAATGTATTGCAGTGACATATATGTATCCTTTCATATACTTGCTCATGATAATCACCTGAAAAAAACCAATTACAATTTTCCAACTGCCAAGCTTGCCTAATATGATATTTGAAACTAGCATATATTTGCATAGCACAAGAGAAGCAAGCACTCCATAAAGCCAGAGTTGCAAATGTTGCAACAGTGGTGCCCACACATGTCTGCCCGACATTTGGCAGAACACTCCGTGCCCATATCAGCCTTATCAGCCACCTGCAGACACACCGTGGACAGCTCACAACCCGTTAGATGTCAAGGTCCTCATCGAAAACGATGGACGAACATCATATTTGTTTATACTAACAAACTTGTAAAACTGAAAAATTTTCTGCAGAAAAATAAAGCACTGGATTTTTTTCTGCTTCATATCACCATCCCCAATCTTCCAGAGCAGATTTACAGGGGAGGGTGTCAGCCTGCAGTAGGGGGAAATCTGTTCCCCGAGTGATGTGCATTCTGCTAGCAGAAAGAAAACATTGTGTGCAACCTTTTAAATGTTTTTAAATATTTTTAAATATTGCAAGGGTGAAATCTCGTCTTACTCAGCTAGGCCCGAATGTTCCCAAGTTCAGAACAAGGTTGCATATAAGCAGCTCCTTGATGCTTTTCAAACCATCTATTTCCTCAACTACACATTATTTTATTTATTTATTTAGAAATTTCTATGCCACCCCATTTGCCAAAGCCTTGGGGCGGCTCACAAAACATCAATTAAAATATAATACACTAAAAATATAAAACGAATTAACAATATACACATATCCTATTACCACATAAGGCCCTTTCAGATGTTTGAAGATAATACATCTATTCACTAACCATGCTTGGAGCTGGGAGTGGGGTAGGATTGTGGTGACAGGTGTTGCCCACTCAGATATTTTTATCTGACAGTAAAACAAACAGTGGCTACAGATTTTACCACACATGCTGTTTTCACATATTTTAACCATCTCGTGTGTGACAGACTCCCCCTCAGCACTTTCTGGGTGGTACAGATAACTGAACTGATGTGAAATATGGATGTTCTCCAAATATGCCAGTATCAAATACACATTTTTAGTATTTAGATATACCTAAAATGGGTCCATGTTTGTGTAGGCTTTGATGCATTATTTTTATACTCTCTATACTCTCTTGAAAGTTCCCAGGCTTACATATGTAAGACATATGTAAATCAGTTGAGCAGGAAAAATGCTGACGTGTGCATTTTAACAGCTGTTTGATCTGCAAGAGTCAATGTTGCTGTGATGTGCCGTCAAGTTGTCTCCAGCTTATGGTAACTCTATGAATGAAAGTCTTCCAAAATGTCCTGTCTATGACAGTCGTACTTAGCTCTTGTAAACACAAGGCTGTGGCTTTCTTTAGGGAGTCAATCCATCTCTTATTTGGTCTTCCCTATCATTTTCTGCCTTCATCTTTCCATTTCAGGAGTCAGTAGGGAAAGCTTTTTGTCACCTACAAATGCCAATTACAGGACCTGGTAAGGAGGAGGAAAAATATGCCAGGCTCATACATCTGAAAAAACCTGACATTTATGATCCCTTGGGGCCCTTTTGCTTTTCACGGTGATTTTACTACATCAAAAATGATTGTGTGAATTGGGAATTTAGGCCTTCATGCTTTGCACTTTCCGGTATTGGCAACCCTGCACCTTTCCTTTATGGACAGCCATGCACCTCACAATATCAGGATAAGGTACGACTGTGAGGCAGAACCTTAGTTGCCAGAGATGCAACGTGGGATAGATAGACTGTGACTGCTAGATTCTGTGTATTTACGTTTGCTATTCCTTTCAGTCATCCACTGCCACCGGCCTCTAGAGTTTGAAAATGGCCAGTATGAGCCCCGTCAGCCATACTACAATGTAACCCAGGAACTGAGGTTTGAGTGCTACCAGGGGTACACACTGCGGGGGTCCCAGAACCGCATCTGCCTCCCCAATGGGAAATGGAGTGGAGAGACAACTATATGTGATGATGGAGGTGAGCCTGTTTTCAGTCGCAGGGAAGATCCACCAACTCTTTGTCTTTGGGAAGGAGAAAGACGATAAAAGACAGTCTATTTTCCCTCATTGTTTGATTCCGACCTACCACCCTTTACACATGATCATTCATCATAAGGTTTGCAAGAATTGTTCCAGATGGAGCCGGGGAAACCCATGTGCTCTGTTTCTCTGCAAGCTAGTACTGATAGCAGGATAAGCCCTTGAGACTTGGAATTTCAATTTAAATTAGATCAATTTGTACAGACATTTCTTCTATAAGTCAACATAGATGCTGCAAGAGGTGATCTATGAATGTGTGATTACTGCTGCATTTCAGCTTTCTATTATTGAAAAGTGGCCTAGCTGTATTAACTTCCTTTGCCACATGGGTCAGAAAAGAGGGATTTCTGGATTACTGATAGAACAGAGAGAATGGATAATTAGATAAGGGGTGAGATCAAGCCTTCTACCTTTGGGATTTTTTTTGAACAGTGACAGATATCTTTACTTCATTGTGTCTTTACTCTTACAGGGATATACTGACAGTTCCATAATTGTGTAATCTTTTCCTCTAACCAGCTGGTCAATGCCCTAACCCTGGAATCCCAATTGGTGCCCTAAAAACTGGCACTGAATACCGAGTAGAATACCGAGTGGCCTACAGCTGTGACAGGGGACTCTCTCTCATGGGATCCAAAGTACGGACTTGCAAAGAGTCAGGAACCTGGAGTGGATCAGAACCAGAGTGTCGATGTAAGCAAATGGTGTGGGGTGGCATGTGGGACTTGAGATCAGTGTGGGATAAATCCTGAGAATGTTGTCTGTCACCTCGAGGAGCATTCCTGTTTAGGAAATATTTTATTTAGCAATAAATATACTTCAGCTTCTTCTTGCATACAGGGGTCCAGTCAGAGACGTGATTCAAAGATAGTGGCTAAACCAAGGTACAGCTGTCATTATTGAGCTTCAGGCCTATTGATTGATTGATTGATTGATTGATTGATTGTATTTACAGGCCTCCTTTTTTTCCTGGAAGGCAGTTTATGTAACCCTCTCTATTTTATCCTCACAACAATGCTGTGAGAATCAGTGAGAGACCCAAAATCACTGAGTGATCTTTAAGGTTTAGTGGAGACTAGAACCCAGATTTCTCAAGTCCTGGACTAATCACTGGACTACACTGGCTCTTATGCATTCTCTCTTTTCCTTGTCTTGCATGCTCTAATTTCTTCTGTCTTCCTGCTTGAATAAACCATAGTTTGCCACAAGATTTGAGTCAGACAGTCTGTCTAGAAAAAAGAACTGGAAATCTAATTCAGATTATGATATCTGCTTCAGTTTTGCACGAGTATGAGGCTGTAGTTTGGAAAAAAAAATCACTTGTCCAACGCATGGCATGATTTGCTCAAACCAGGGAGGGAATTCAAACACATGAGATGAGGAGATGAGCTGCCCTGCAGGCAGCAGGGAGGTGTGTGAAGGACAGCATGTTAATCCAACGCTCACATCAGTAAGTCATGGTTTAATTCTCACGTTTGAACTGGGTGAAAAATAGAAGGGAAATTGTCTGGTAAGATAAGAGACCTTTTAAGCTGCATATCGGATTCTGCAGAGACCACAAGACTGATTTTGAATCCCAATCCAGCAATTCAGAAAATAATTCAGTTCTCAGACCAGTTCAGAGGTTTCTCAGTCTGATCCATTAATTGAATGAAGCTTTGTTCCTGCCATTAGTAATAACTGAATATCAACAAACTGCTATAAAGTTTTTGGTATCTGACAGGCATGAGTTAAACTTGCAGGTTTAGTAGTCTTTAATAAGGGAATTGTGCCAGAAGAAATATCAAACATATAAATGCTAAGTGCATTTACATTTAAACATTTTTTAAATGGACTTTTAAAAGTCTTGGCAGATTTCAATGAAATTTACAGAAATAATTGTCCCTTTTAATTGAAACAAGTCTGCTACATGTCAGATTAATGGGTTTAGGGGCTTTCATGAAAGAGCAGCCCAATATTGTTGCAAAACTGAGATCATGAGGTGTGTCTTTTCCTGTTTTTTTCTGCTACATAACCTCTAGGCATTGTGGTATAGAATAAACAGTAAACAAACAAACAAAACCCAGTTCTTTCACTGTTACAATTTAATACCACATTTCCCTTTCTCTATCAAAACAACTTGCTGAAATTGCATTTTATACACAGAAACAAAACTGGAGAGTCACATTATCATCTAAAGAACCTATAAATAACCATGATATGGAATGTCAAACACATGCTAACTGCCTCATGTAGAAAAGCCCTTGATCTGCACTGCAATATAATATTTTAGCATTCCTGCCCCAAAGCACTAGGGTTGGAGAACCTTAATTGCACCATTAACTGAATTTAGGAGCTAGAAATATCATTTACAGAACAGCACCCCTTCCCTTCTCTCACCTGTCTCCCTACCCAGTTGTTGTATTTTTTAAAATTAAAACAGCTTGCAGTGGGGAATATATCATTTTTGCAGACATGCTATCTGGATCTTAGTATCCCTCTCAATCTGGATTACTAATGAAGTTCAGATTAAAACTGTGTGATCTGAAGGCACCCCTATTTGGTTCAGACATCGCATAGATCTTTCCAAATCAGCCCAATTTGGTGCTAGGTTCAGCCAATTCCCATGTGTACCCCCATCAGCATCTCTCTCATCCAGGGATCACAGAAATAGTCGTGGTCAGCCATGTGGGTAGAATTAATGATAGTTCTGTAAAGAAATATGCAGTACTGGTAATGAATTCACCTACAAACATAGTGCTGGTGTGGCGTATGGCTGAAACTCACTGGAATTATTTGTTCATGGGGAAGACCTGCTAGAGACATGAAAGCTTGAAAGAAAAAACCTAGAAATGTTTGGGGAAAATGTGTTTTTTCCCAGGGAAAAAAATGGGGAAAATGTTTTTCTTAAGTTTGTCTTCTTTTCCTGGATCTTCACATCTAGTACGTACAGAGAGCTGGTGTGGTGTAGTGGTTAAGTGTGTTGGGCTGGGGCTCAGGAGGTCTATGTTCTAACACCATGCTACCATGAAACTTTGGGCTAGTCACTGCCTCTCAGCCTAGCCTACATCACAGGTTTGTTGTGAGGATAAAATGAAGGGAGGAGGAGAATTGTGTAAGTCACCCGGGGTTCCTTGCTAGAGAAAGGAAGTTGGGTTATAAATGCAATGCAATACTAAGAGAAAATGAGACTAGGACCATCATTCCATGCTAGAGCATGTGCTAGCACAAATAGGACCCCAGGTTGAACTTCCGTTATCTCTAGTTTACAAAGGGGCTGGTAAAAGATGATGGGAAATGCCCTTCTCAGTCTGAGGCTTGGAGAACTGCTGTCCAAATAGATAAAACTATTCTAGATGGGCAAATATTTTGGCCTGCTATATGGCAACTTGGCCCCTATGTAGCTGTGAGGGGCCAAGAGAGAAAAGGTCCAATTGGATTATGGCAACCCAGAAAAGAACACATTGCTTCAGCCTCAGAATCAAAGTGTCAGGCCTCAGGCTAGGGCCAGGCTCAAGACAGGAAGGCAGGTTCCAGGGCCAGGCTGGGTTGGTTCAACTGGGCTGTAAGAAGGTGCATGGGCCAAAGCAGGCAATGGTTGGTTACCAAGGCAGCAATAAGCCGTCTGGAGGGCAGAAGCAGGTGTACAGCCAATTGATGAAGCAGCTGGGATGCAGTTCCAAGGGAGCAGGCTGAAGACGTCAGCCATCCAATTGGTTATATTATTTTGGTGGAGGAAAGGACAAGCTCCCAGGACTCAGTCTCATCCCACTTGCATCTCCTCGGCATTGTATCCTTCCCCTTCCACGGCAGAGCTGTTAAGTGCTGGCAAGGCACAATCAGGTAGAATCAGATTAAAGCAGAGGCACCACATAGCACTTCGTATAGTACTTTGCAGCCCTCTGGTCAAGATGCTTTCACAAGTAAGCCCCATCCAGCAAAGCACGTGACTTCCCTTCTACTCTCCCTGCCATGTTTCCTTTCGCACCTATCCTGGTTTGCACCAGAATTTTATACATTCAGTTGTAGAAACAAAATCTTACGCTGCTACTCCTAATTCTGTCCCCATGTTCCTTCTCAGCTGCATTTTCCTATGACACTCCAAATGAAGTTGCTGCCAAGTTCATATCATCCCTCACTGAGGTTGCGGAGTCTTCAGACCCTGATAAAAGTACTGGTAAGTTTTGTGAGTGAGAGAAGTATAAAGTGTGGTACAAGGACTCCCTCTCCCTGGCACTGAACAAAGGACACAGTAATATTGTTAGATTCTCCCCGCTTCCTCCAGGACAGTGCTAATGACACTGGATTCCTGTTGAGGACAAAGGACTAGAAATTTTTATTTGGTTTGTTTTTAAATCAACTCCTTTCCTCAAAAGTTAAAGAAGGTTAACAGACACTTTTCTCAAAAAGAAACCACAATTTTAAAAATGGGTGTATGCAGTGTTTTCTTTGTTTACAAATATTTATGCACAGTTTTATTTATTTATTTATATTCATTTTTTAAATGTCTAACCCAGCCATTAACCAAAAGGACTCTCTGGGTGGCATAAATTGAATCTAAGTGGAGGCAAACAGCTGGTATTCCGCAATGCAGAATATTCCACTGATTTGGGCAGCCCCAACTTGTCTATGCCTCCAGTCTTAGCTAGCTTCATTTTGAAACACAGTTCTGTCTTTTTCTTTCTGTGCCTTTTACAAACTGCCAGTTGCTGCTTCTTACACACACCACCTTCTCATTATATCTGGAGGGATGTCACTTTCTCTAACTGCATTGAGCTTCTCTTTCAAAAACACTGAAAGATCCACGCAAGTGGGATTTGCAGTGACACATTTTGTTGTTGCTGTTAGTTGCAAAGTCATGCCTGACCCATCATGACCCCATGGACAACATTCTTCCAGGCTCGCCTGTCTTGCACCATCCCTCGGAGTCCACCCAAGCTCACACCCACTGCCCCAGTGACTCCATACAGCCACCTCATCCTCTAAGTGACATGTTATAAACATAAAAACAGAGTTAGTCAGAAGGGGCTCCTGGGCCATCTAGTCTGACCCCTGGCTCCAGCCAACTCCACTCATGACATTCCTGCCATGTGCATGTCCAGCCTATCCTTGAACACCCTCACCAATGCGGCTTGAACCACCTCCCATGGAAGCCCATGCCGCACCCTGGGGGTCCTAACTCTCAAACTGCCATCCAAACTGAACATTGCATCATGGAATATTCCAGATGATCAACCATTCTGTCCCTGCCAGGTTTATGGAAAGGCACCATAGCTCAGTGGCAGGATGCCTGCTTGCCATGCAGAAAGCCCCGGCTCAGTCCCTGGCATCGCCAGGTAGGGCTGCTTAAAATCCTGGGTGTTCCATTCCCACCACCACCGTTCTGCCATCTTTCTGTGACCACTGAGCATGCTTAGTCTTAATTTGACTGTTTTGGGGGACTTCCTCTCTCAGTGCTTCTTCACTGGTTTTTGTACTTCTGCAAAGCTTGGGGTTCCCCAAGACAGTTCCTGCTTCCTTCCATTGTGGGTTTGGGGCCATTTTGGTGTTTAGAAGTGAGCACTGGAAGCAGAGGGAACCATGATGAGAGGGGACCTCCATAAACCAGATTGTGACCCTTGGCCCACAAGCTGGATATTGGACATCCCTGGCGTAGAGGCTGAATGAGAAATCTACCACTGACCTCTGCATCTACTCTCCCTACAGCTGTTACAGAGAAGCGTAAAATTAAGATTGAGGCAGGTGGCTCACTGAGTATCTACATCGTTCTTGATGCCTCCCGAAGCATTCAGAAAGACACCTTTAAGAAAGCAAAGGATGCAGCGATCAAATTGATTGAGAAGGTATGGAAGGCTCAGAAACATTCTTTGCTCTCCTTGCCCCAAGAGGTCCATATGGAAAGTATACATGCAACAGGATTGTCAACAATTGCACATGGATCTAGTATATGGGTGGGGATTTGCAGGGCAGGAGCCTATGCCAATAGGAGGGGGTGAGGTGCTTCACTGGTATCGGGTTTTGGCAAAGGCAAGGCTCCAAAGAGTCCGGTTCTGGGACCCAGAGAAGTGTGCTGGTCAGTCCAGGTGGAGCAGAAGCAGGTACATGGTCAAAATGAGGCAGGGTTTGTATTCCAAGGCAGCAAACACGATTCCAAAGGGCTGCAAGCGAGCACATAGCCAACATCAGGCAGAGATCAAGTCTATAGTGGCAGATGTGGATAGTGGTGAGGCAAGAACTATGGGAGCACCATTGCTTGAACCAATCCAAGCAAAACAGAGGTGGACACAACCTGATGTCCACACACACGCTCCATCTTGATTCAGTTATTGTCACCATACTTGCACTGAATTCTTCCTGAGGATGCATGAAGATTTTGTTTGACGTTTATGTGGAAGCCAGCCAACCTGATTCACGTTGCCTGAACTAGTGTATGAATTGGCTTTCGCCTTCTTTTCTGCAATTCTCTTCATTTGGTGATGTCATTTTCAGATTTTAAAAAGTCTGCACAAAATAGCATATTTGACCATGAAACACATAGGAAATTGTTTATTTTATCATGAAATGTGTATTAAAATTCTAAAAGGCATATTTTAGAGTCAGATGTATATAGACTTCTGTGCATATTTTTTCAATCCCTTACTTCCCCACTCTTCTATAGATGTATGTTTTATTGCTTTAAAGAATTGTGTTTTGACTACTGTTAAAAACTGCCTAGAGATTCCTGTCAGAATCATTGGTGGCAGATCAGTTTAAATAAATAAATAAGATGGAAGACACATATGAATGTGATGTTGACCAAAAATCCACCTGTCCTTCCTGCTATCTCATCGAGGCATCCCAAGGACAAAAAAGCCCCTCACTTTGCAAAAGGAGGACAGGGTTGCAGCTGAAATTGAGCTACAAATAAAAATGTTGCCTTGTTGCAGCAAATCATGTAAGGATGGGATTTTCCCATCCTGACCTAGACTGCAAGGTTCATGATTCCCTGACAGGAAATGACTCTTGTAATGCCATTTCTGTTCAGATGGGCTGCTTTCCAGGACACGATAGTCTTGGTTGGAGTTTTTTTTCTCCTGGACCAGGGCTGGCCTTGGTGTCGTTTGAACCTTAACGTCTACCTTCATTGTGCCCCTTGCGCGTTCAGTGCCCCCAGGGGCATAGCTGCTTCCCAGGGCACAGCCAAGGCTCACCTATGTCTGCTTCTGCAGAGGAAGCAGGACCCTAGCAGCAACCTGGTTTGCATGATTGCCAGCAAATCTTGGGTTTCTGCTTTGGTTAACAAGCCACCTGGTTTTGGGATTCTGGGATGCTTTGTTTACTATGGCAGCAACTTGCTCTTGCTAGATTCAGATAACATAGAAAGATGCACTGCCGAAAGCAATTAAGCAAACTGGATTGGTGAGTGGCCAACGGCTTGTTAACTGCCTGGCGACTGTGCAAACTAGCCCATTGTCTTCAGTGAAAAGAGTGCAGCTATTGCTGGCAGCCTGGCTATGTGTCCCGTTTTCTTTAGATGCAGGATGGGGCCATTCCAGTGGTGGCACACAGTTTATGGGACCCCCTTGCCCAATTTTTTCCTCACTACACCTTTAGTCTGCGTGGAGACTCTGTTGCTTCCTGTGAAGCCCTTTGGTGGTTCTAACTTTAGTTGCTTTTATTTATATTTTGTTTTGGCTCAGTCGATCGTCTTTGGGCAGGCTGACACTGCAATCTGGATGGCATCCTTGACTGAAACACAGCTCTTGGCCTTCCAGTGGGAGGACATTCCCTGCCCTGGACAGGCAGAGAGCAGCAGTTTCTGGTTGGAGAGTGGTAATTTTTACTGAAACTAGGGGCAGGTCCCAATGAAAATGTTCTTTGCAGACCTAAGATATATGACTTTAATAAACAACTGTCTTGAGTAGGGAAGACACTGCCTGTGCCATCCTACTGGTTCCTCTCTTTCTCCTGATGCTCTGGCCTCCCCTTGTAGGTTTCCAGCTATGACATCTCCCCCAAGTATGGCATCATCACCTTTGCCACGGATGCAAAGCAGGTTGTGAGCACCATCCACGAAAAGAGCAGTGACGCAGCTTGGGTGATTGAGAAACTGGAAAACATGGCACAAGGGGGTGAGCAGATGCCTGGAGACGACCCTGGAGACTGTTGTGGGGGGCTGGGGAGGAGGAGGAGAGGAGAAGGGACCGGGAGAATGTGTGCGCTGTAAGATCATCATGTTTTCTGCCAACAGCTTCTTTGCGGTGCAGGTCCAGAAGTGCAGCTGAGAGCAGTATTTGGGAAGCAGCTGGCACAGAGCAGCAAGCCAGACAGGAAGCATGCTTGTCCTTCCAAATGCAGTAGCCAGCTTGAGCATGTTTAATGAAAAGCAGGAATAAGATAATGCATCATTTGACCTTGAGGCGAAAAGGAGAAAGTCTTATTTTCACACCAGTGGCTCCCAGGCCTTCTAAGACCTGCAGAAGCTGCCCAACAAGTTCACTGTTCATTCTTCTCTCTTCCCCAGAACACAAGAAGAAGCCTGGAACCAACATCTATAAAGGCCTACTTTCTGTATACACAATGATGATCGATCAACAAGAAGATGAGATCAGACGGAAATTTATGCCTCCTCCTGTTGCCAATAAGACACGTCACGTTATCCTGCTCCTAAGTGATGGTAAGATCTTGGGGAGAAAGAGGCATCCTGTAGTCCACTTGAAAGAAATGTCGTTGCCCTCAGAAGATCGCTTTTTAACATGTATTATTAAAGGCACCTATTTCCCCCTTTGCAAGTGAAGGGGTGTACATTATAAAGGGCTTGCATGCAATGTCTCCTTCCCCTTCTCCAAGGAGCAGCACCCATAGTTAAAGAGTATAAGGGGAACATGGCACTGATTATGTGCAGGTGTAGGGCCTGTTGCATGGGAGACCACCCAAACTTCCTGCAAAATGAACCCAAAGAAAGGCCATCTACCCTGATGATGAAATTGGAACTCCATGTAACAGGGACAGCCTAGGTCTGCGGAGCCCCAGAAGTTGGGGGGCCAGCAACAGCAGAAGGTTTTTGGCTTCTGGCCCAGGCCTATGACCTCCTCGAGGCCTGTAATGGAACAGAATTCTAGACTGAGCAGCCTTGGCAGAGCTCTCCTTAAGGCCCTTTTGGTTCCTCCCCGGCCCTGCCCAAAACATCAAGTCATTCCACCTACAAGCATTTCTCCACAGATGCTAATTCTCTCTCCCCCTCACTTCCCCTCCCTCCAGGTGACTACAACATGGGTGGTACCCCAGTTCCTGTTATTGGAAAAATAAAGGACTTCCTTAGAATTGGTCGAGACAGACACAACCCTCGTGAGGACTACTTGGGTAGGATGTGATGATGTGTGAACAATGTGGAGGAATGGGAAGAAAAATAATAGGGCTAAAGTGAAACCATCCCAAGTGCCAGCCGCCATTCAGGAAAGATTGGTTCATTCCATCATGACCATACTTCACTTCGGTCTTCCCTTTTTCCCAGGGATCTGGAGTTTCAAGCCAGACTTTCTACTCTTCTCAGTTCCTGATGTCGCTCTGGTTTTGTTTTTGTAATTGGTGAGGGTTTAATCTACTGGAAGGAACTAGGGAGGGAGAACCATAGGCAGATAAGACACGGTTAAGCAATCCCTGAACACCTAATGACCCGTTCAGCTGAACGCTGCATAACAGCCGTGTGTTCACCATGACAAAAAGGCTGCATGGATTGTGGACTATGTTTGGCTTGATGGGTCATGTGTTAGCCTATTATAAAAGTGTGCAATGCCAATAAATGTGAATATGTTATACAGAAATATGCAATGCAAGCTAGTTTAAAAACAGGAAAGATTAACCTCGCTGTAATTCAGTTTAGCAAGTACAAAACCATGTACATGGCAGTAGTAATGAATTACGCAAAGGAGATTAAGCAAATGAAAACTTCAAGGATATTTTCATCATGGCTCCATGGAACTGTTATGGGCATAGAACACCAGCTGCTTGTTCTAGATGGGTCTTTGGTCTAATCCAGCTGGCCTCTTCTTATGTTATAATGCTCTGATATTCAGCAAGTTCAAATATTTATCCAGATATCAGATATCCAGATGTTTTATAAGTGGCCAGCCAGCTCTCCAGTTTGGTTCAGAAGATGACAGAAGTTGTGCTAAAGTTCCTGCTAGATACAGCACAGGATGGAAGGAACTGACTTACATGCTGATTAAAGAGAGCCCTGGCCATTGCTTTATTTCAAATTATTTCATCAACCACTGATCAGTGGAGTGAGTTCCTTTTCCATGTGAAGTCATCTTACAGCACTGTAGTATTAATGCTGCCCCTTTCTTCACCCAGGAGCCTTAGTATTTCTCTACTCACTCATGCTTCTCCCTGTACTTGCATTTAGATGTTTATGTCTTTGGTGTTGGGAAGCTGGTCAACATGGCCAACATGAATGACTTGGCATCTCGGAAGCCTGGTGAGACACACATCTTCAAACTCAAAGACTACAATGATGTACGGGAGGCCTTTGAAGCCATGATCGGTAATTTGTACCTGCATTTTGTCAATTCCATCCCTAACCTACTGGGCCCTCAACTCTGGATATTGGCCCCCTCCTTTTTTGTGACCCTCAAGAGGAGGTTCTCAGGGTGCCTTTCTTACATCCCTTTCTCTGTGCAAAGACATAGCACAACATTCTGAGAAACATTATTGGGGAGACCCATTGGACCTTGGTGTTGCCTTGTTATTTGGAAAGTGCTAATACTTTGAAAAGAGCCAATAGCTTCAGTTACATGAAAAGGGGGAAATAAATGGAGAATATGCTATTCACTAGAGTGGCTATGTGGGAATTCCAGATGCAGAGGGAGTTCAACCAGGTGGATTTCCCAGGTGCTGAGAAATATCAGTAAGAAAGGGCTGTTGCTTCCACAGCCTGTCTGTGGGCATCTCAAGAGGTATATGGTGGGCCACCGTATCTCATGAGCTACGTGTTCTCTCCCCAGCAAGACAGACTCTCCAGAACTTCTTGTAAGCACCTGCACTCTGCTTAGTCTCTAGGGTAGGTGTGTCATGAGCGGAGCCAGCTGGAGCCAGGGGTCAGACTAGATGGCCCAGGAGAACCCTTCTGACTCTTTCTGTTTCTATGTTTCTAAGCATACACAAGTCCCTGAGAATACACAAAGTGAGATGTTGAACCCTCTCTGTCACCCATTACTCAAAGCTTTGCTTATGACCCTTTCTGGGCCTGTCTGAGGAAGGACGGATGCTGTGGAACCAGGTGCATCTGTGTGCTGCACTCTGAGCCCCCAGTTGGGCCAACCTGTGGCTGTGACGATGGGCCCTTGGGTCCATCTCCTCATGAGGCCGGAGTTCTCCTTCCGAGAGACTACCCACCCTCAGGACGTGTTGTCCTTCTTCATTCCCACAGATGAGTGGGCTGGGTCCCATGGCTGTCCTTGAACTACTTGCATCCAGAGCAGGCACAGACTGGTACTGAGAAACTGGTGCTGCAGGTGCAGGCCTGTCCCTTACAACAACAATTCTGTTATCACAGTTTGAGCCCCGACTGGGTCAGACAACTCCCCATCGTCCTCAGACTCGGAGCTATCACTCCCACCAAAACTCAGCTTATGTACACCTGGGAATCTCATCAGAGTGCACATGCACGACTCTGTATGAAGCAGGATATTGGACTGGAGAGTCCTTTGCTTTGTCCCATTCAACCCTCTGTAAAACTCTGGCCCAATTATTCTCACAGAAAACCAAGGTGCTGTGACTGCTACTGTTATATTTCATTTACATGCTGCCTTTTTTCACTTGTGAGCAATCCAAGGTAGCCTACAAAGCTCCACTTTCACAGCAACCCTGTGAGGGAGGTTAGACTGAAAGTGAGTGACTGGCCCAAAGTTGCCCACTGAGCTTCATGGCTGAGTGAGGACTCATTACCTCCTTTCTTTCCCACAAACCCAGGAGTTTTGCCCCTTTGCCCCCTTTCCAACCCACCTAGTCCCCCTCCTTTTCCAATAACCAGAAGCTCTGAAAAATGTGTGTGTGTACTTCCAGATGAAAGTCAGGCTTTGTCCATGTGTGGTTTGACTAAGGAGCACGACTCAGCAGAGCCCCAAGAGAAGTATCCTTGGCATGCCACTATCAGAATCTTGGTAAGTCCTGAGTAGACACAGGGTCAAAGAAGAATGCTTTTTGAGTTGGTCTGGAGGAGATTTGGGATGGACTCACAGCTTCCAGATTCTTTGAATATTCAGGGACTGTTTTCCTCAGATATTGGGGCATTGCCGTCCATCCCTAGTAGTGAAACTATATTTCAGGAAATATGTTGTGGTTCTTAATAGACAAAAGGGTATAATAGACAAAAGGGTATACCGGGGGAGGAGGCCCATTGCAGAAGGATTCTTCGCAAGGCTAAGCCTGATTACGAGCTGAGACTTGCCAAGAATATCAAGAGCAACAAAAAGGGCTTCTTTCAGCATGTAAATAGGAAGAGGAAGGGGAGACAAGTGGTGGGACCACTAAATAAGGAGGAAGGAGATCCAGTGACTGATATGAGGGAACAGGCACAGATGCTAAATGACTATTTTGCCTCTGTGTTCTCCCCAAAGCAGGATGGGGGATATCCGCATAGGAGATTAGATGAGGCTGGGGACTTAGGGGCACAGATTACAGTCACCCCCCCCCTTGAAGTCGAGGGGCTTCTCAGGGCATTGGACATTACAAAGGCACCAGACCCTGATGGGTTACACCCAAGAGTACTTAGAGAGTTGGCAGGGGTTCTCTCACACCTGCTGGCCTCCATTTTTGAGACATCGTGGAGAACGGGTGAAGTTCCAGAGGACTGGAGGGTGGCATCAGTGGTCCCAACTTTCAAAAAGGGTAGTAGAAGGGACATGGGGAATTATAGACCTGTTAGCCTTACATCCATTGTTGGAAAAACAATGGAAAGGCTCATAATAGAGAGAGATCTAGTGATGCTAGATAGGGAAGGGAGGCTGACAGCGACACAACACGGCTTCCGCAAAAACGGGTCCTGCCAGACAAACCTTGTGGAATTCTATGAGAAGGTTTGGAGATGGCTGCATGGAGGGGATGCAGTGGATGTGGTATACCTGGATTTCAGCAAGGCCTTTGACAAAGTGCCCCATGATATCCTGGTGGAGAAACTGAGGAGTTTTGGGATACACCAAAGCACTGTCCAGTGGATTAGGGCATGGTTGACTGACCAAAAGCAGAAGGTAACCATTAGTGAGGAATCATTGGGATGGTGGCCAGTGACAAGCGGGGTCCACCAGGGCTCTGTCCTGGGGCCGATCCTGTTTAATCTTTTCATAAATGACATGGAAGAAGGGGTGAACAGTCTGCTGATCAAATTTGCAGACGACACTAAAACTGGAGCAGTGGCCACAACTGAGGAGCAGGTACTCCAGATCCAAAAGGATCTGGACAGACTATGGAAGTGGGCAGGAGTCAACAGGATGGCATTCAATGTGGATAAGTGCAAGGTCTTGCACTTGGGGCATAGGAATAGGTGTCATAAGTACAGGTTAGGGGACAAGTGGCTGGAGAGCAGCACTTGTGAAAGGGATCTTGGGTTGCTGGTTGACTGCAGGCTAAACATGAGTCAGCAGTGTGATGCGGTGGTCAAGAGGGCGAATGCCACCCTTGGTTGCATAGCCAGAAGCGTGGCTTCTAGATCGAGAGAGGTATTACTCCCACTCTATACAACTCTGGTGCGCCCGCAACTGGAGTATTGTGCTCAGTTTTGGGCCCCTCATTACAGGAAGGATATAGCCAGGTTGGAGTCAGTGCAGCGTAGGGCCACAAGGTTGGTGGCCAGTTTGCAGGGGATGCTGTATGAGGCGAGACTGAGGGAACTGGGTCTCTTCAGCCTGGAGAAGAGGAGACTCAGAGGGGATATGTTGGTGACATACAGGTATGTGAGGAGATGTCACACGGAGGTGGGTAGAGACCTGTTCACCCCTGCAGAGGAAGGCAGAGCGCACTCCAACGGAGCAAAGCTTGGAACCAAGGTTCCATTTAGATGCCAGGAAGCACTTCCTGACAGTTAGGACCCAAGGGTAGGGAATGGGCTTCCACAAGAGGTCGTTGAGGCCCCATCGGTGCGGGTGTTCAAAGATAGGCTGGATATGCATGTGGTGGGCATGTTGTGAGCAGAACCGGCTGGAGACAGGGGTCAGACTAGATGGCCCGGGAGACCCCTTCTGACTTGTTCTGTTTCTATGTTCTTTAGCCCCTGAATGGTCCACATTTCCAGTCTGGGCCCTTTAGACCAGATGCACATATTCCACAGAATGCAACATCAAGGAAAAATGTTTTAGCTTAGCCTGCAATTTGCCATGCTGTTTCTTTTTGCAAGGAGTTTAAAATTGTGATTCTGCCTCTTGCAAACTGAAGTGGTATGTCTCATTTCATTTCCATAGTACTCAATCCACCTGATAACATAACTTACTTCTATACCTTTAATAGCACTTTGGTGTGGAAAAGTCACCCAATAAAGCTTTTTATGGGGTGGAGCTAAGTATGATCACTAGCCATTATCCGCAGATCAAATTGCTGTGAAAGACAGGAGAGGCTGTTGGCTAAAAAAAAAAAATGGTAGCAGTACTGTTTCAACAAACGTAGCCTTTCAGAGGGAGCTTGTGAGGTTGCAAGTAAGAAAAGGAGGAAGCCTCCAATCTTTTAGTGATTGGGACAAACACATGATCTCATTCGTTTCTCTCCCACCCCTGACATTTTTCAATGTGGGAAGCAGAGCAAGGCGTGCAAGAGGGCTGGCTACTAAGGGGATCAAGTGACTTCCATAAAGGGGAGATGTGTTTGCACATCAGGTGCTAAACTCTGCAATAAGTACATAAAAACTCTTTCCACATTACATCCTACTGACTCTGTACTCATGAAAACTTGAGAAGAACCATCCTGGATTAGATCAACAAATCTATCTCCCTCAGCATTCTAGATGCTTTGGTGAAAAGTTTTTCAACAGGACATAAGGGCCGTAGCCCCTTCTGGCTTGTGTTTTCCACAACTGGCATACTGGCCCCGATCCTGTTGATAGCATAGAGCCATCATGAGTAGTAGTCATTCATTGCCACTCACTTAAGCATTAAGTAGTCACATCCTCCACTCACTTAAGCATTTTGACACACTGGCTAAGGACTAAGATTTCGATATCTGACCTTGAAGCCTGTGTTTTCCTTCAAAGTGTCACAGGGCTGAAACATTTGCTATAAGGGCTGGTCCAGTAGGCATCCTAAGTGGCTGCCGGGAGCATCTGAATTAAAAGCAGCAGAAGAGGCAAGAGTGGGAGACACAAGTATGGGGCAACTTGGTCTGGAGATGGAGAGGTTCCCCTCACACAATTTCCCCAAAGCACAAACCCTTCCATTGAATCCACTGACTTATACAGCAGTGGTGAATATCTGCAATACATTACTTCCTATCCCTGCACAAACACAAATAGGGTTCAGACAGCAGAATTAACTTTCGTTCCAAGCAGAAGTAGAGAGGAGACTGTGAGCATACTGTTACACTCAATTCCACTTTTCTGAATGGTGAGGAGTTCTAAGGGCCGTGACCAAACCAGTTTTAGTTTCTTTGGAAAGAGTTTACTGGAAACATGGTGTAACATTTGAGTTTATGCATAAATGTATGGGTTGGACTTAAATAAAAGCACCACTTAAACCTTCCAACAGCTCAATCTATTATCCCACATTCTATTTAATATCCTGCAAAATAAAGCAGCCAGCACTCCAAAAGGCTGTTAATCTTACAGGATCCAAACTCAACTGCCTATGTGTTTTTGTTAGTCCACCTTACTTTCCTCTGTCCCATTTTGTTTCATCAATAGACGCCTTAATCAAATCCTTAGCTAGTTGGTCAGGGTTTCCTTTTCTCTATTCAAAAGACTTAAAGAAGATGTCTAACATCTTCCATGTATCACCAGCCTTGTTGTTGTTGTGTGCCATCAAATATTCTCTGACTTATGGCAACCCTATGAATGAACACCCTCCAAAATGGCCTATTCATAACAGCCCTACTCAGCACTTGTAAATTCAAAGTTGTGGCTTCCTTTATGGAGTCAATCCATTTACTATTTGGTCTTCCTCCTCCTCTTCAGCTTTCCACTTTCCCTAGCATGGTTGTCTTCTCCAAATAATCTTCCCTTCTCATGATATGCCCAAAGTATGACAGCCCCAGTTTTATCACTTTTGCTTCTAGGGAAAGCTCTGGATTGAATCAGCAGAGTAACCTGCTATCAAAAAATCCTTTGTGAACTTCAAGTCCTGGCTAGTATTGCCTCAGTGCAACCCACAGGACAATCCTTAGTATAGAAATTTGTGAGAAAGCTATAGCAATAACATTCAACAAGCCAGGCTTGGCATATATTTTGTGTCTTAACAACTGCCGGAAATGAATAAAGTATGGTTCTCCATTTTAGCAAAAGGTTCATCTGGCGATTTCTGCCTACAGAGTTCACTATTAAAGTCACAGAAGCCCAGGCAGAAATACAGAAAGCTGCCAATGTTAGGTTTCTGAAGCTGCAGTCCTATATTCACATACCTGGTAGTAAACTCTATTGAATAGTGTGAACTTATTTCCAAATAAAATGCACACAATTATGGGATGAATTCCTTGGATGTCCCTCTGATATGTCCATGGTGTTTTCTCTTCCAAATCAAAGCGTCCCGGGACTGGATTTGAGCTCTGTAAAGGAGCCATTGTTTCCGAGTACTACATCTTGACGGCAGCCCACTGCTTCACCATTGATGACACGGCGGAGCAGATCACTGTTGTAATTGGTAAGTCAGATTATCTCAGGATGGGCAGGGACAGACGGAAAAGAAAGGGTGGGTTGTTATGTGCCCAGGAGAAAAGCTCTGATATGGCCAGGGCTGGTGCTTTGGACAACAGCTGGCTAAGAAGAAATCACCTGGTTATGTTTCCGATCCTGTGGAGATGGCCACTGTGGCCACAGACATCACCAAGAAACTCACATTTATTTTCTCCCCTAGGTAAAACTCACTTTGATGTTGCTGCACTCGATTCCCACCCGCAGTACACCATTGGGAAGCTAAAACATCTTGGAATCTCTGAATTCTATGATTATGATGTTGCCTTGCTGAAACTTGCCAAAAAAGTTGTGTTCTCTTCTAAAGCGAGGTGAGATGAAAGGAGAAGAAAATGTTGGGGTTTGCATAATTGGATAAGATTTGGTGGGTGGTTTGTTTCAGAATGGCTTGTCATGTTGTCCAAGCCTGGCAGCCTGGATTGTTAGTGATGAACAAACCACTGCAGCTTATCGTGTCAGGCAAACCAAGTCACTGTTGAGGATCCAAATGATGCTCGGAGCAGCCATAGGCGAGGTGCTAGTTCTAGAATTCTGCATGTTTGGAATTTGGGATCTGGCACAGAATCTTGAAAATCTCTGCTTTTTAATCTTTAACAGAAAGCTGGTAGTCCTCAATGATGATGTAAATACATGTATTTTGGTAGAGTTTGAAAAGGCCTCTGAATTTAAAGAGCAGATCTTTCTGTGCAGAGTACTGTTGTATTTCCAACCTCCATTATGACCATTCCCTTCTAGCCTTTTGCAATATCCCAGGAAAAGGACAAAGTGGTCCCAAGAAAAGGACACAGTTCAGTGATAAAGCACACGTTTTGCATGTTTACACTGCCTTGTCCCATTGCCACCATTGCCAGCTAAAAGAATCTCAGGCAGCAGGGCTAGGAAATCTTCTCTTTCTGGGAAGAGCAATGGCCCTTGACACCTGTTGTTGCATGTTCTGAACATGATGAACAAGATAAAACAGTGGTCTGACCTGATGCAAAAGAACCCCAAATAGTTGTGTGTGTGCATTCCACATCCAAGCAGTAAAAAGTTTTAGGGGCTTCAGCATGCTCATGGCTTAGTTTTTTTGGAACAAGATTATTGGAGACATTTTGTGATATGAGACGTATACATAAAATTAGCGTTCTCCTCCTGCTGCCCATCTGATGTCTACAGGAGTCCCTAGGCCCATAGGATTGCCTGCAGAGATCAAAGCCATCTTTCCACCCCCTTTTCAGTCCCCGTTTCAGCACAAAATGTCACACATGCACACTTAACTTGCTTCTGTTGGGCTCACAGGCCTCTGAATTAACATATTCCTTTCTGAGGGAAGGATAGAAATATAAAGTCCCTTCCAGAACAATCTACCTACAGCCATCTCTGAGAACTGCTGCCCTTCAGCTATCCTCTGTAACAGCAAAAAATCTGCCAGGCTGAATTTTCCCAGTCCTTTTGACCCATTTTTAATAATGGCTGGGTTCAGAAAACATAACTCACTGAATTCATATGACACAGCAACCCACTGTGGGTTGTTACCCACAGTGGGTTCTTGCATCATGTGGACCTGCAGCAATTCCTACATGGTGGCTTGTTTGGGAGATATGCCTCCTAGAGTGTACTGCCCACATGAACTGAAAACTGTAATAAGGCAAGTTGTGGTTTCTACTCCAGAGAAGATTGTGATGCCATGCTAATATGTCTCTGGTGTGCCTTCTCCACAGGACAATTTGCCTTCCATGTACAGCAGGGGCCACCCGTGCTCTGAGGAAGACCACTGGATTCACCTCCTGTAAGGAACATGGTAAGTATCTCTGATAGTAGAGGTCCCATGGGTGGTGGAGACAGCAGGTCTTTTATTATGCAGCTGCCCTTCCTCATTCACAGAATGTTAGAGGGGTGCAGACAATGTCAACCTCCGTTTATGAACTCATACAAGCAACACGCACTAAAAATCTTTGAGGAGGAAAAGTTGGAACAGCTGCATAAGATGTTTTGTCTGCTAATACTGGAAGGCTTTTTGAAGACTGTTGAACTGGGCTGTGATGGAAACTCACACCTACCTTTCTGTCTTTCCCTCAGCTCCCTTTATTGCTGTCTGCCCTCTCGTTTGGCAGACCAGAACCAAAACCATCTCACCAACTAGAACCAAAACCAACCACTCTGCACCCCTTAGGGTTACAGGGAATATTAGCACACGCACTGCACTGGCTGCAGTCCATAACCGTTTGGACTGGGCTTGTGGCACACTTGCCTTACTTGTTTGCCACCGTTGGTCCACTGGAGTCCCGGCCCTCCCAGGCATCTTTCCCTGTTCTAGCCACCTATTTGTGCCAATTCTCTTCCATTAAACATGTTGTTCTTTGCTTTCCCCAGAGGAAGCTCTTCTACCTGTTGGGGATATCCCTTCCCGTTTCGTATCTGATTGTAGCTTCAATGATGGACGAGAGAATGGCCTACATCACTTAACTGTGAGGATCAAAAATGGAGAAAAGGTGAGAACAGCTTCTGGAGACCCAATATCCTAATGACAAGAGCAAGTGTGCAAATGACTCTTTCTGAGGCCTTTTTCAGAATTTCCCAGCCTTGGATGTACAAGAGGTGGGCAGAAGTGGTGGGGCCTTTATGTGGTGACACCTGGAAACTGGAATTCCCTTCCTAAAGTGGCATCTCTGACCCACTGTTGTTTGCCTGTTTGTTTCAGTGGGGTTCCTCCACTTGACACTTCTAAGATTTATTGCTGCTGGTTTCACTTGGATTATTGTTTTAGCCTTGTCCATGGGGTCGTGGGGGTGGGGAGATTATATAAAGTGTTGTTGTTACTGTTGTGAGCTATATTCTCTTGTGTGGACATGCCTCTGTCCTAATGGTACCAAGCACCTAGGAGGTCCTAGTTTGAAAACAGTTGGCTTCAGAAAAGAACCACCTGCTGCCTACTGAATTGGAGTTTCTTATCAGTGCAGCTCAGCCAATGTCAGCCCAAACATTGGTGATTCCTTTGCCTGATAAAGCCAGGGACGAAGTTGATGCTATTATCCAGCATCTCTAGATAAAGCAAAACATAAAATGAAAATAAAAAATTTACAGCCAGCTAATCGTGGACGCACACATTCTTTATAAATGTTTGACCTGGTTCTCAGTAAGGAGGTGAATGTGTGCCTGGACTGTACTAATGCAAACAGTGGCTTAGATTCTTAAATGTTTCACCATCCTGCCCCCAAATCTTCCATGCAGAAAATGAGTTCTCGGGAAGGAGAGTTTTAATAGCCTTCTCCAACATGCTAGTTGCCTATGGACTTTTTTGTTTGTTTGGCGCAGCATCAGAATGTAGGTTGGAGAAAAGAAATATAGTGAGAACTAGTCCTGATAAATATTTGGTGTCAGTGTACATGGGATTAACTAATTAACTGCCCTGGGACTTAGTGAAGGACGGTATATAAAAGCTTTAAATAAACAAATTAATTTACCTTTCTATCTCTCCCCTTAGAAAATGGCCTGTGAGGAAGATGCCAAGAAAGCTGAGCACTACAAAAATGTTACAGATGTCTCCCAGGTGGTGACTGACCGTTTCCTCTGCACAGGGGGTACTGATCCCCAGGTGGACCCCAACACCTGCAAAGGTGAGGAACAGAAACTTTCCTTCTAGTCCCATTCCCTCCTCTTTAGGGTACCAAATTGCCACTTTCACAGGCAGAACTGCATGTAGACTGTCCTTGTGCTTCTCATTAGGGCTACATTTTAGGGGAAACTTTTGTAGGGCTATTCAGGATTATAAAATGCTGGTTTATTTCCCAAAGAGAATTCTACACTGTAAGGTCCTGTGAGGATAGGATTTCCTTTTCTGATGTTCTCAGTTGTGCTTCCCAATGTAGTTTTGAATATGGGTGACATGTGGAGGAAAGACTGGATCCCACACTTGTAATCATCACATGGCATGAGTTATTAGATTTTTTTTTCTTAAAAACAAACCCAAATTCTTCTTAGCATGAACAATATACTTCATTCATGTGGCCTCAATCTAGGAGGTCAGGCTTTGAAGTAGCAGCTTTTGTGGAGCAGCTTTTCCAGTAAATGCAAACCCAAGCCTGCTAAATAAAAAATAAAATGCCCTTTCTCAAATCTCTACTGCAAGGTATCAGAAGAGGGCTTGCAGCAAACAAACTGGACTTCAGGAATTAGGAAAATTTATCCAGGGGAATCCAGGCCATAATATGTAGAGAGATGACTAGATGCAATTTTGGAGTGTCTACAGAATGATTCCCAAGAGCAACACATGGTGTTGGTATGGTATAGGTGAGATACTCAGAAGCTCAAGTATAAATTTTTAACAGAACAACATTCTAGTCCTCCTGCCTGTAGAAAAATGAGAATGTTGTGCTTTTTCTGGTGAAATCTCAGAAGCCATAACTGGAGATCTAGACTGTATTTTCATGGGTTTGGGGCGAGTCTGGTTTCAATGGCTCCATACGGATTTTTATCTTGCTCCATGTGATTGGCTATTATAACATGGGCATGAATTTATTCTGACCATAGAATCTGAATTAAGTTGTGGTAGGACTGCTATGTGCACATGCACACTGGAATCTTTCCATGTGCTGACTCCCACCCTGCATTTCAGCTGTTCATCTCTCATTTAATCCCCTATTTCCTTCTGCTTGCAGGCGATTCTGGTGGCCCCCTCATCATTGAGTACAGGAATCGTTTCATCCAGGTGAGTGGTTACTGGAGCTGGCCACAGGTCCCTCTGCTAGACCACAGAAAGCCCATGTTCAATGCCCTAATGATAACTGACAGCTTGAAAAAGCCCCCGCTTTGTGAAGCGGTCCCTGTTTAATATTACACAACAGCCCACCTGTGATAAACCATGGTGGCTTTTCATGTCACCTGAACCAGGTCAAGGGGCCTGTCAGAAAGAGAGAATGCAACCTCAACAGTCATGACGGCATCGGGGCTGTAGTGTTGGTGTGGAACACAAAAGACCTGGGTTCAAGCCCACCCTCAGCTATGAAGCCCAATGGGGGGGTGACTTTGAAGTAGTCACCAACTTTCAGTATAACCCACTCATGGGGTTATTGTAAGGATTAAAGGGAGCTATGTGAGCTGCCTCTTTTTTCACAAGAGGAAAAAAAGGCAGGATTTACCTGCAATGTCATGGTGATGAACTAAATAAATGGACAAATCAGAGAAATGGTTGGCTAGGAATTGAAGGCCAGTCCCTTAAGGCCTAATCACTCCAAGAACTCTGCCTGGATAGAAGAATTTGGCAGTTTCATTTTCTCCTACATTTAGGGTCTTCCAAATTTCAAATTCTTTCCATCCTGCTTACAAAAAAAAATGCAAATTCTGTTAAGTTCTTATTTTCTAAAAGAAGAACAAAATAGCCCACAGCCACCACCTCAGTTTTTCTTTAAAAAAAACCCTTTCATGTACAGCTTGGTAAACCAGTTAGCTCCATGTCTGGCCGTTCTACTTAGATGAGGCGGCTCTATCTCCTTTAGGTTTCTGTGAAGCCTCAGGACTCTGTTTTCACTCCCCCCCCCCCCGCTCTCTCTGCAGGTGGGTGTGATCAGCTGGGGTGTAGTTGATGTCTGCAAAGGTAGGAGGCTGCCTTCATGCAACAATAAAGATAATCCTGGGGCACTGACTCCTTCCTATGCCAGGGATTTTCATATCAACCTTTTCAAGGTCTTGCCCTGGCTCAAAGAAAAGCTGTCTCTGGAGAATCTGGACTTCATCTGAGTAGATTTGCTCTTCCCACCACAAGTGGGGTGTATAATGTAAATAGAACTAGTATCTTGAAATCCTGTAATATGAATGCAATGGTTAGCAAATGTTGTGTATTCAGTTTCATTGTCCAAAAAGCAAACAAAACAGCTGTAATACATACTCTCATCAGCTTATCTTCAACTCTGTGATAGGAGATTTTATATCCTATAAAGAGCCACGCATATTGCATACAGTTATGACTTGTCATCTGGCACAGAACTTAGTATCCTCAGGATCTCATCGCTCCCTCTCTTTCTTAGAAGTTTCTACATTATCTGATTGCATAAATAAGTCTGGAAAAAAATAAAACATTATTTATTTGAAGTGTTTTCCCCCTACTTCTTAGCCCAAAGGCTCCCTGAGTGGCTAGCAAACAATAAGTTAAAGATGACAAGTTTCTGCCCACAGGCTTAAAAAAAGACACAACACACAAAGAAATATGTAGGGGAAAGAAAAAAATGAAACCATTTGTGAGCAGGGCTGGCAGAACTGCCCTTCTTTCCCTGCCATCCCCTTGCTGGAATTGCTGCTGGTAACGACCTTGTGGATTCCAGGTTTCGCCTTTTTGTCTGTCTGCAGAATTTCAAGGACTTTCTAAGCAAGGCTGGCAAGTCAAACACTGGCTCACAAAGCAGATGAGTGCAGTTCATGAACATTTCAAATAGCCATTCTTTTCCCATCATCAATTTCTTTGGCTACACACCAGGAGTTTAATCTGAGCTCTTCCTGAGACCTGTTGATTTCCAGTTACATTCCACAATGGCTTTGAACAAACAGGCCCCTCCACTGCAACGCAATGGCCTGCTTCCACCATACCATCTTCCCAAGCTGTCCCAAGAGCCTTTGGGGCCCATACTAGCATTGCTAGTTCCCATCCCTGCATTTACATCAGGGCGTCAGTAAGCCACATGGAGAGAATTCCATGAGAGAGGCAGCATGGCTGCAGTACCGTGAACCTGTCAGTGAGGGGGGAGCAGCAAGCCGGAGAGCCCATCACTTTCCTAACCCAGTAGGTTTTTCTCCCTTATTCCTGAACTTCTTTATTGGGAAGGGTCCTGAGCTGGACCAAGGATTTGCCTGCAGTTAGCTGCTTGGCCACCAATGAAACAGTGAGTCATTTCTCTCTCTGGCCATACTGGCAGACTTGGTCATCCCTTGTTGGATGGAGAAAGGGAAGTTCCCCATCATGGGAAGGATCTCTGTGAAGATGCTGTGCTCCCGTCCTCCGACATGCAGCTTGGAGAGCTGGCATTGGATTCAGAGATTCTGATCTAAAAATCCGTCTTCTCCACATAGTTGGCTCTTCAGCACTGGAATGGCCCTTTGAAATGGCAGGCATCTTAATCCCAAGCACAGCTGGATGTGTAGTGGAATTTGCCCATCAAAGACCTCCTTCCTCAAGTCTCTCAGTGCTGTTTGCAGCTGCTGCACCCAGAGGGTAATGCAAAGGAGGGAGACGAGTAGAATGGAGAAACTTCCCAGGTGCTTTGTGCATTGAAATTAGAAACACAGAAACAGCACGAGTCAGAAGGGGCCTCCCAGGCCATCCAGTCTTACCCTTGGCTCTAGCCAACTCAGCTCATGACATGCCTACCATGTGCTAGGAGAGACAAAGATAATTGCTGGGGAAGTTGGATCAAACAGACACAGTAGCAGGAACTGAGAAATAGCAGACCCTACCTAGAAAGTACTGAACATTCCTCTAGCACATATGAAACATTTAGTGCACCACACTTCACAGTGGCATGAGAAATGCACTAGCCATTGCAATGGGGACCAATGTGACCTCCAAAACCCTGCTCAGGAGGCTGAGAGCAAACTGTAAATCTCAGCCAACACACCCACCAAGACTGCCTCAGATGCCTGCATGCAGCAGGCATTTCTGCCGGGTGTCTGGAGTTTTGAAGAGAAACAGGAAGAAAATGAAGGTGGCAGGGTTGCAGGAGGGGGAAGAAAAAGATAAAAAGGACAATAGTTAGCTAAAGGAAGCTTGGCAAAAGAAAGGAAAACTTTTAAGATAGCCCCACCCATTGTCCTAAGACTCATCTACCATTACGCTGCATATGTATCAATTTCATGTTAAAACTTCTGATTATTTGCCTTGGGATAGGAGACAAAGGCTCTGCATTCATTTCCTTCCATTGTAACAGAAATGGGAGGGATGAACCTCCCACCTAGGGATATACTAAAGCAACACAGAATCCCTCTCTCTAGTGTTTGTGGATTTCCTCTCATGCTCAGCCCTCCACTGAAAAGTGAACTGAGCCAAGCAGCCGTCTATACAATATTAAATAAGCCGTCTCTTTCTCGCTCCCAGATCAGGCAGCAATGTCACCAGCCAATCCAACCTGCAGATGGATTTCAAATTTTATTGCAGGTCCTGGTGCCACACTGCAAAAGCCTGGAGTGCCTGCGCAGAGCACACAGTGACAGAATTGTTGCACAGTAATGAACGGGAAGTACAGATTGCTTGGCCATAGGTAAAAAAATCAAAAGCGAATTCACCCAATCGGCCACAGCACACAAAGAACCGGGTGTTGGTAATGTGGAACAGGAAATGGCAAAAAGGTGTACTAAAGCTGGACCCAGGACATTGAGGGTCAGGCGTGGCTGGGTGCCTGCTAAGAGCTGCCCCCCCCCCACCCGTAGCTCCCTGGACTTGCCCCTCCTCGTCACCTTTGCAACTGGCTTGCTCACCTGCCCCTTGCTCTTTGCCAGACAATGGGGCAATGAGGAGCAGGAGCACCGGATGCCTCTGCTGATCTGCTCCCTGCCACTGTGACAGCAAGAATGAGAAAAAGGTGGAGGAGCAACAGCAGCTACCGGAAAGGGGACCCACTTAGGCGGCCTTGCCCAACCCGCTTCAGAAGTCTGGAGCCAGCACCAGTTGGGCTTGGGCAGCAGTCTGGAGGGGGCGGGACCCGGGACCTGGGAGGCAGCACTGGAACAGCACTTCGGGCCAAAGACCCCAGGCCCAAAGAGCAAGGCAAGAAACATGCCAGCGCTCAGGCTGGCCTTGCATGTAAGCATTGCTCAAGAAATGACAGGAAGCCCTTGACAGGCCTGCTGCCCAGAGGGATCCAGCCCATGTTGTAAGCCGCCCCGAGGCTTCGGCGAATGGGGCGGCATAAAAATGTTTTAATAAATAAATAAAAATAAAATGTTGTGAAGCGGCAGCCAGCCACACTGCTGTGGCTCTCCCCACCAGAGAAGCCCCTTCACGGAGAGGCTGCAGCTGTGTAGCTCACCACCAGGTCCTGCCTCAGGATGGGTGTGTGCTGTGCTCTCGGGGAGGAAGCATGCACAACAGAGGATGCCTCATTGGCTGGTTTTCCCTATTGGAGTCAGCACCAGAAAGCAGAGGAGCATCCCTAATGGCCTTTCAGGCTGGTTCTGCTGCACTAGGAGTGATCCAGCCCCCCACAGCAGTGTGGGGAACACCCTTGGCGCATTCTGCTGGTTTCCCTCCAAAATATTTCTCCTTTCAACATGCTAACCAGGATGAGAAACAAATCAGCTTGTTGCTGAAGCTTTACTGCAACCCAGCTAGCAGATCCTGCTCTACCTTCTGCCTACCTTGGCATCGTAGAGCCAAACTTTATCCCAGCTCAGGCAAATTTTGAAGTCCTACCTTGAATTAGGAGGCATTCAAGGAGGAGGATACAGCATTTTGTTGAAGAGGCAATCCTGAACTGGAATGAGGACAGCCCCAAAAGATAAAAATCACTAACATTTATTTTAATACCTCAATTGAACAAAACACAAGGGAAAACGCTGCACCACTCAAAGGAGGACTGCCACACTGGCATCAGAAAATATCTTCGTAGACCATCAGCGACCGCTTGTCTTGGTGAGAGCCCTTGTTGCTATTCTTCACAGCTGGAAAAGGGAGCAGCATGTCAGAGAACCCTGCAAGGGCAAGATGCTCATTTTTTTCACCTCTACCTTTACTTCCACAGGTTGTCAGTTCCTACCAGGCAGTTACCTAATCCCAAAACTTATTTCATGCTTAGGAATGTTTTGGGAACATAAATTCACCTTAATCCACTTTGTAAGGTACAGAAAAGAAGAAATCTACAGCAGCCTTCCCCAGTCTTGTGCCTTCCAGACATGTTTGGACTGCAACATCCAGAATTCCCAGTGAATGGCCTGCTGGATTATGGGAGTGGCAGTCCAAATGCCTCTGAAGGCCACCAGGTAGGAGAAGGCTGGTCTACAGCTTAGGCTTAGCACTGTGCTTTGCAACAGCTTTCTACTATCGTGCTCAACACTGAGAAACGATTTAAATAAATCCATCAGGCAACAAGTTCCTCTATCCTGCTCTCAGCTCCCACCCACCAATCCAATGTCTTCTCAGAATTTGATTCTTGACTCAACAAACAGAATATGGAAAGTCCGGGCTCCGGGCCACCCCACCAAGGTGCTCACAGCCTCCCTCTCCCTTCCAGCATCAGAGTTCTTACCCAAATATCCCCACAGAGACTTGTTGGTAGCTGCATCCAACATGGGCTGCTTGCGGGCCATGCTAACCTTCAGCTGGACATCTTCCACAACCGTACCGTTGAGCTGTAAGGAGACCAAGAGATCCTAGGCAGTGCATTCAGAAATCACCTAATGACCTGTGAGAGAGACCTGTGGGGCCAGGGCTGGTGGGAATTGTAGTCCAGCAATATCTAGAGGACCGCTGGTTCCTCATGACTCCTCTAAAGCAACCACGATGGAGTAAGATGGGCAACAGCCACAGAAAAAGGGTCAGTTTGGTGCAAGCCAAACTCAACTGACAGCCACCATGAAATGAGGGGATCTCAGTTGATCCTCAGGGTCTGATAATGAAAAGGCACGATATCCAAAAAGATGCTAACGGGCTTACAGAGAATGGGGCACATTCTTGGATCATCTAAAAATTATGTTGAAAATGTGCAGAGAAGGGCAACTAAAATGATCAAGGAGTTGGAGCAGCTTCCCTGTGAGGAAAGGTTACCACATCCAGGATCATCTAACTTAGAAAACAGCAAGAGCAAACATGACAGAGGTGTACAAAGGGCATGCACGGTGTGGAGAAAATGCCTAGCAAGACATGCTGTTCCCTTTCTCAGAGTCATCCCAGGAAGCAGATTGGAGATTCAGGGCAGACAAAAGGACTCAACATGACATACAGCTAAACTATGGAATTCACTTCCACGAGAGGTCATGCTGGGGACTGGACAAATTCATGAAGAAGGCTATCAGTGGCTACTCGGCCTGATTGACTGTATGTTCCCTCCAGTATCAGAGACAGTATGCTTATGTATACCAATTGCTGGGGAACACGGGTGGGAGGGTGTGGCACTCATGCCCTGCTTGTGGTTTCTCACAGGCAGCCATTATGTGAACAGAATATGAAATGCAGTGGAATCGGGGTCTGATCTGGCAGCGCTCTTCTTGTGTTATGTCAAAATGCACAGAAATCTGGCTTAAAAAAATAGGGGACTAACTACATTTCATTTAAAATCTCCAGCCTGTGGACTTTGAATCTGGGCAGACTTTACCCCCTGACCCACAGGACAACAAAGGTGCAGATTCAGAATTGGGCAAGACCACCAGATTAAACATGGCTGGCTGGGTGTCTGAACACAGCAAAGGAGTGCTCCACAAGGGATGTGCGAGGAAACCAGCTTGGGGTGGGAATCTGTCGGACTTCCACAGCTTGGCTCCCCAGACTCTGGCCTACTCCCTCACTGCCCTGCATCCACGGTGAGCATTTGTGTGGGAATCCAGCAGGGAGCAAGTTCAAGCATAGCTCTGCTTCTGCACAAATGCCTTGCATGCTTTGTGCTAAGAATTATGGAACTTGTGTATCTTGTGCATCAAAGAATTACAAACTTTGCACAAAGAATCCTTTAGCATTCCCAAGCACTCATGAACCTGATGTCAGCTTGGCTGGTTTCCTGGCCAGAACCCAGCTACCAGAATCCCAACATTCAAGAGTGCAACATACTTTTACAAGTAATCAATCTGTTCCATTAGGAAGCTGCCTAATACAGAATCTGGCCCTCGGCCCATCTAGCCCAGTGCTACCAACACAGACTGGCAGCAGCTCTCTGGGTTTCAAGTGGGTTTTTCTAGCCCTCCCTGGAGATGCCGGGGATGGCAGGCGGCCACCCACTGAGCTTCAGCTCTTCCCTTCCTGCTTCACACGCCCAATGCAGGAAAAGCAGAAGAGTCAGAGGCAAGTACCTCTGCGATGGCTTGATCTGCAGACTCCATCTTCTCATAAGTGACGAAAGCGCAGCTGATGGTGGAAAAAGAGAAAGGTTAAGATGAACTTCTGGAAGGTCCAGACGGTGCCCAACACCTTTCTGGCAAGTTTTTTGATAAATGGCTGTCAGCAGGGTGTCACTTCTACAAAGCCCAGGGCAACCGACTCCTCGCATGGATGGATTCGGGAAGCTCTATGCTTCTTCCACAGCTTTCATTCTGGCTGAACATTAGGAAAAAATTCTGACTGTCATGAGCAATACAACAATGGAACCAGTAATCAAGGACGTTGTGGCTCTCTCACATGAAGACAGTCAAAATGCAACTGCACAGCCCTGTGTCAGGGAAGCTTTAACACAGAGACCTGCACTGGGCAGGGAGTTGGACCCACTGGACGTATTGGCCCCTTGCAATTGTGCTATTCTGAGATTCTGTACTGTGGCCTGCACAGGAGGACATCCTGTGTGGAGAGTGAGCACTTTCTCGAGGGCTGCTGGCTGGGCTTCAGAGGAATCAGAATGAGAACGGGCTGGGGGCAGAAATGTGGGCCCTCCCAGGATACTGAGATGAGAGAAGAAAAGATGCCTATCCCGAAGCCAAACTCCTCCCCGTGGGGTGGGGGGGGCAGGCAGTCCCTGCGAGTAGCCGAGATGTACAGTGAGCGGAAGGGGATGCAGGGCAGGGGCTTTTCTCAGACTCGGGAGCAGTGAGCACAGCCCTTACCGCCATGTTGCAGCATCAGCAGAGGAGGGTGGCCCAATTAGAGGATCAGTGCGCAGAGAGGAGGTGTGCTCATTTTCAGAAGGCCCCTCCCAACTGGGTTCAACAAACCACTCAGAGGTTCATTCCGGGTGCTTTATGCTTTTGGTCAGTACAGAATGCTTTGCAAGAAAGAGGTCAGTGGCTTTGGAAGGTGCAAAGGAAGATCCTCAGCTTCCAACATCCTGGTGAGTTGTGCCCCATGTTAGTTTTGGGGTCAGGTATCGCCTGGATGTTTTGCCCCAGGCACAACGGCATCTTGGGCAGCCCTGCCTTGTTCCGGGCACTCACTTGCGAGGGTTGTCCATGGAGAGGTCAATGATATTCCCAAAGGGCGAGAAGGCATTTTGCAGCATGGTCTGGTTCATGTCTGCCCCGTACACATACACTGTGTTGCCCTTGCGTGGGGCACGTCGGTCTGGGAAAGAGTCTGACCCTGGGTTGAAAGAACAGGAGAGAAGCAGCTCAAAACCAGGCGGCGGCTGTTCTCGTCCCAGGAGGGCCCCTTCAGACCTCACTGGATGCGAAAGCCTCCCAGGGAAACTGGCTCCCAACTGCCCTCTCCCTGCCACTAAGTATACTTACTCACAGGATCCCCCAAACCGGAAGCCAATCTCTCTGGCAAAACTGCAACGCCCCTTTCTGCCAGCCACCACCCTTCACTGAAAAGCCGGGTTTGGCTTTGGCCAACCAGCTACTACATTTGTGCTGCCCTCTCTAGAAGACCCATGGATTTCTTACGGCGGAAGCTGCCCTCTCGGTCCTGATCCCATTCCCGGTCCCGTTCCCGGTCCTGGTCCCGATCACGGTCCCGGTCCCGTTCTCGGTCGCGCTCAAATTCTCGGTCCCGATCGCGGTCCCATTCGCGGTCCCGATCACGGTCCCTGCTCCTGTCACGGCTCCGATCCCGATCATAGTCCCACTCGTAATTGTGTGTGTTTTCACTCCGCTCAGAATCCTTCTCTTGGTCCCTGCTCACTTCCGAATCCTTGTCTGGATCCTGCAAACACTCGCTGGAGCTCACAAAGCTGAGGAAGAGCAGGCAAGAATTGGAGGAGTGGGACAGGAAGGAACGGAAGTGCCCGTGCCCATGGTCACCGCCCACGACCAGCTTAAGCCAGCAAGTTATGGCACTGCCGAACCTCCCCCTTGCTTCACCCCTGCTGATTTATGTTGAGACCCGTAAAGGGGGTTCCTGTAACAGTGCCAGGGTGTCTGTGCAGGCCCCAGCAACTCTGGTGCCCTTGTACTTCCTGCATTGCGTTACCCTCCGACAGTGTGTTTCTGTCCACTTGCACTCCAGGACCTGCAGCTCACAATAACACCTTATGCTGCAGTCCACCCCAGGTATGTTTGGATATACAACTCCCAGTACTCCTGACTGTTGACCATGCCAAGTGGGCTGATGGGAGTTGAAGTCCAAAACATCTCCAGGATGTGGGAACCTGCTGTAGTCCATGAAAAAGTATGCCATAATACATTTGTTTAGTCTTTAAGGTGCTTCAAAGACTCTCCGCCGTTTTTAAAATAGCATAACTTTTCAGCAAGCCATTCATCTACTGCGTACTTGAATGTTGCCAGTAGCTACACTACCAAGGGAAAAAATGTCAGTATGATTTAAAAACATGCAAAAATGCAATCATCACACCTCAGCTCAAATGATTGAGTTGCTACTGCCAAAATTCAAAGGATTTTTTTGAAAACTGGCCAGATTTCATATTGCGAGAACCAATTATCCAGATTTTAAGATGCGCACATCAGCACATGGCCAAAACCAACCTTTCATAGAGGGACTTCCTCTGGGGGCGTCGTACCTAAAACAAAACATGAAATAAATGGAAAGGAAAACACAGCAGCTTCACAGTAACTATTAGCTCACCACACCTGGGTTGAAATCAGGAGCTCCAGATGTGCAGCCAGGTTTGACGGCACTCTGGGCAAGGTATTCTCTGAAGACAGGCCCCTCACCTGGGCCAGCCTCTCTCTGCTGCCCCGCCAGCCCAGCTAGCCCTGGCTCGCTTTTTAACCTGGCAGCACTGCTGAACAAAACCATGGGTGCTACAGCCCTTCGGCATGGGCGTGCCTTCACTGGCTTACTTCCCACCCCAAAGGGCAGCCTCTGTTTGGCTCAGTGAGCTGCTACTCAGGATTAACCAAGAGAAGTCCTGTAAGCTAAAATGGCCTGCAGTAGGGCCACTTCGTCGACTGGCCACCGCGACGTGTTTCTTTCGTGGTCTTTTTCAAATCGGCATGGGGTTTGTGCAAGCCTGACTAGCTGAACTGTAGGTCGAAAGGCATTCAAAGGATTTGTGGCAACTCAAAAGGAGGACACGTCTTCCTCAGCACCCTTCCCCTCCACGGCCGGGCCCTGGGAGGTGGGTTGGCGACTGCTCCCCTGGGGACTTTTGCCAGCCCCTCTCCGGATGCCCAAAAGCCCAACAGCTTTCAAAGACCCATTCCTGCATGTAACCAGGACGTCAGTGGTCCAAGGGAAGGGGGCAGAGCTCCAGAAAAGGGGAGGACCCCATAAGCCACCCCTGAACCAGCAAAGTGGAAGGAGCAAGCCAGATCTACCAAACAATACTTTGAACGCGTTACAGTTCCCTCCCCAATCAGGGAACATAAATTCCCGGTACCTCTTGGAAATCATCATCTGCTGAGATGCTGCGCTGGAACGGCTGGAAAGTTGGGGCTGGGCCTTTTTCAGGATCCTGTAGAGACACAGATTAAGAGCATTCTGCACACATCCCCGGCTGGTGGGACCAGGGTCGCTGAATCGCAGGCCCAGGGGACAAGCTGGCTCTCTGGGATTCCCCCGAAGGCCTCTCCCCTTCTCTACATGGCCCCATCCCCTTTCCTCAACCACTGGCCATTTCCTGGTTTCCTTTTCCGAGCTTTTGCGTAGTTTCCCTTGCACCCCAATTCTAAAAGACTTGAGCTTTAAGCTAAAATATGCTAATAGTTCTGTCATTTTTGGTTCTATCCCATCTTGCCTCCCTGTCCACCACAAGAACATGGCTCCCAGGAGCTCCTCCAAGATGGAATTTGGCCCTTGGCCAAAAAGAGGTTCTGCACCCTTGCACTGAGCAGTTCCCCACAGCACCTCCATCCGTTTGCTCAGCTTACTTTCAGCTTCCCCTCCAAAGTGCGGGAACGCTTGAACCCCGAGTTCTTGTTCTCGGCTTTAATGGCACTGATGGCCCCCGTTTTCACCAGCATCTTGGCTTGCTCAGTGGCTGTGGCAGTGTCCACTACAGGCTGATCGGAGATGGCTGGGAGGGGAAGAGAGAGAGAAATGTCCAGGAATTGATGGCTCAGCACCGGCACGCCCTGCCACCCCCCTTTTCGCGGAGGTCGGCTTGCTTACAGCGTTTAATTCCGCCCTGGCTAGCTTGGCTGGTTGAGCTCTGTTGCTTCTTCAAGGCCATGAGGGCTTTTTTCTAGGGTGAAATATATACAGAGGGAGGGAGGGAGGGAGGGAGGGAGGGAGTTAAAAGCATGCATTTGCAGTCCAATTTCCCTTATGTTCTGAAATCCCTTTACTGAGACCATTTCCAACTCTGCCCAGTCACTATCTGCCACAACACGAATGGGCAACTTGTAGTCCAGGGGCCTAATTCAGTCCACAGAGTTGGGGCTCTCCTTGTGCAGCCCTGTACTTGCTCTGGATCTTGGAAGGAGGCGGGGAGAAGAACCAGCAACAGGAGGACAAGTGGTGCCAAGCCAAAGAGTCTTGTTATCTCCCATCACCGAGTGTTTTCCCCAGGGAAGTGCTGGCCACACACCCTCTGCTGCTTGCGGGAGGGGTGGAATTTGTTCATCGTTTGCCTTCCCTGTGATGCTGGTGAAGGTGGAGACTGGGCAATGGCACCACTTGACAGAAAGGCATCCTCCTGTCCGGCCCAGGTAATTCCTGCCCTCAGTGTGGACACAGCCTGACCTTTTTTTTGAGCTTGGCAAATTTCTTCTGCAGAGCTTCCTCTTCCTCTGTCAGTCCTGGGGGCAAGACAATCATGGCTGGCTGGCTGGCTAGGTTACTGACTGGAAGAGAAAAAAAATGAGGGTGAGGCAGGGGAACCATAGATGCTGCAGGGCCAAGGCCTGAAACCCCTTGGACTGTTTTTCACTCCTCCATAAAAACACTGTTATTCCAACAGGCTTTTCGATCATTCATTCCTTCTCTTTCTATAGCACCCAACAGCCAAAGTTCTCTGGACAGTTTGCAATGCTTAAAATCCTAAAACACAACATAATAACATTAAGTACAGCAATCTGCATACAAAAATATAGAGCAGTTTTGCAAAAACAATCATATCCTGGCATACGTTGTCAAATGCCTGTGGCTCTTAACCTGGTGCTAAGGCAATGGCAATGTGGCTGCTAGGCAGATTGCACTGGGAGAACATTCCATATTCAGGGAGCCACCACTAACAAGGCCTTCTCCCTTGTTACCAATCTCTGAACCTCCGTCTTGGAGAAAGGCCTCAGATGAAGAACTGTAGAATACAGGTCGGTTCATAAGTAGGCTTTGGCAATGGAAATCTTCCCTGTTTCACGTAAAGGTGTTTTTTCCCCTGTAGTCTCTGCCCTCATTCTAATTCAATTAACTTTTAACTTGTGGAATTGGTGCGCTTGAGGATATTAAGATTTTAAATTGTTACATGCTGTCCTCAAAATAGTGCAGATAGGCTAGGATTGAAATCTTTCTGTAAACAGATAAATAGACCAACACAGTGCATGGTGGTCTTAGATTGAGCTACCAGACTGCATGTTGTCTTTCAAAAATGTGGCTAGCAGGGAACAACCATATACAGTGGTCCTTGGCTCACTTAATCCATTCCAGGACTCTGGTCGTGAGCCAGGTTAAATTTCCCTGTAAGGTTCAGTGTAAATAAAGTTAATCTGTTCTGTAACTATTTTTTAAATCAGAAAAATGTGAAGCAAAGTGACAAAGAACAAGAAAGATCACAGCCATCTCCCCCCCCCCCGGCCCCGAGCACGATTGTGGCCTTCTTCCCGCCCCCCCCAGCACGCCCGTGATCACGCCCGTCATCCCTGCATGCGCCCGTCATCCCGGCCGCTGGGGGCGATGAGAGATGGGTGCGATCGTGGGCGCACTCAGGAGGGGAGACGGGCGCAGTCGTGCTGGGGGGTGGAGATGGCTGAGATTGCGGTTGCGCTCGTGCAGGAAAAACGGGCGCAATCTTGGCCATCTCTCCTCCGCCCCCAGCACAATCGCCACCCAATGTGGAGTTCGCAACCCGAGTCAAAATTTTTATAAAATTTTTGTTTGCGACCTGATTTGGTCATGAACTGAGGCGTTCGTGAGCCGAGGCACCACTGTATAGGACACAACCTCGCACAGTGGAACATGTTGCACTTTTCATCCTGTTCTTACTGCTATCATTGTTTTGGGTTTTCTTTCTTAAATGCTGCTTTGTTCTTTTATTATACTTTACTGAAAAGTGGCCTGCAGGTCACAAAAACAAAGCGCACCAGACACTCAAGGCAGAAGCCAAAAAAGCAAGGGGAAGGGCGCTGCCTCTCTGTTGTGATAAGCAGTGCAGTGGAAGAATCCACATAACTTTCCCAAAGTCCTTTTTGCAAGGAAGGGCCACCACTGCTTTAGAGGTAGGACATTTATCATATTTGCATACACATAGGCGAGGACACTGATCATAAAGTTAAATGGAAAGAGTACTTAAAACTGTGAAATAGCTTTGAACAGATATTTGGTCTATGCATTCAGTAATACTTATTTTGACCATTACCAGCTCTCCGGGGTTTCAGAATAGCATCTTTCCCAGATCTACCTGGAGATAACGGGGATTGAACCTGGAATGCTCTAACAGCTGAACCATGGTCTCCTTTACAGCAAAGCACTTTTCACACCTCATGTGCTTTCAGAAGCAGTGCTAAAGCTAATCCTTTGGAGACCCAGGTACCTTCGTAACAGCCTTTCCCTGACTCTTTTTTCAAATGGTCAATAATCTTCTTTGATTACATTGCTCTTTATTTTTGTCCTCTGCCTCCCAACAAACCTGTCTTCTGATGGGTTTCGATTTTCGATTTATATCCTGCCTTTTTCCTACAAAGGGCTCAAGGCAGCTTACATCTCCTCCTTCATCTTATCCTCACAACAACAACCCTGTGAGGTAGGTTGGGCTGAGAGTCTGTGACTGGCCCAAAGTCACCCAGTTGGCTCCATAGCTGAGCGGGGACTAGAACCTTCTGATGGGTTTGAGGCAGAACCAAGTCAAGTGACTACCCATCATCTCACGAGAGGGGGTACACACATGCTGGCAATTTTTTTTGTCCTTACAGTCCTGAAGGCATCTCATAAAATGCACCAAATAATAAAAACTATTATTAATAAATAATAAACAATAATCAAAACTATTATTATGTTTTGATGGTTGCAAAACTCTCTCACTGTAGTTCCAGGTTTATGATTTTTTATTTTATTTTATTTTATTTATATACTAACGTCTTGGGAAGCAACTACATACTCCTGGCTTTTCCTCTCTTCCTCCATTCCACTTACTTTAACATTTTCTTTATTCTTCCTGAGAAAGAGCACAAGGTAAGTTGAAAGTTTACCCCCTACCTATTTTGTGACATTAGTTGATACTAATAAATGTATTACTTTGCTGCGGATTCTGGACTTCTTCAGAATGGTACTCACAACCAGTCACGGTCCCTAGCTTGGGGCACTAGCTTGTGGGGGCATTAGGGGACTTTAATGCTTTGCTTTCTGTTGTGGCCCCAAACTGGATCATCAGCAATTTCCACTGTCAAAAAAGAATTTGGTCAGTGACCTCAGCTATCTCACAGAGCTGATAAAATGGCCCATGTGGAGAGAGGAGATAATCATATATACCATCCTTCATCAAATAATAATAATTCCCTGCACCCAACCCAATGCTAGCACTCTAGAGGGAGGCCCTGCAACTCAAGAGCAGTACTGCTCAGTTAAAGTAGTTTTGCCTCCAGTTTCAGTTCAACACATCAAGGCTGGAGACACAAAGAGGCACACGGGCCCAAGGTAAATTCCAGAACCCATATTTAGCTTTGATTGGGTTGACCAAAAGGTCCATGTCCTGGTGTGCATATGCCCAAAATACACAACAGGGGAAGGTTTTCTTTTATAGGATTATTCTTGAGAATAACCGACTACCAACAAATTCTTCCAAATGGCACCCCTGAGCAGTCCTCAGTTGGCCCTTTTATGGATTGATCGTTGGACCGTTACATGTAATACAGTTAACACTTTCCGGTAGGTTACAGAAGTAAAAAGTTGGAATGGCGTAATCTTTCTCACTTGCATACCAAAGAAGATGCTCTGAAGGAGGGAGGAAGAATGGGTGCTATTGCAGGGAAGAGGAGGAGGGTGGGATGGGCTGGTGTGAATTGCCCTTTGTCTGAGCTGCAGTTATCTATCAAGTGCCAACTAGCTTTCTCTGGGCTGGTACCTGGTCAGTGTCAGCTACATTTCAAGGATGATTTCTAGGCCCGGTTATGTGTCAATGATTGCATAATTTAAGCAATGAAAGTTCTACCTATTGACTTGTGCATCGATTACAAAAAGAGACGAAATCTCCAGAGTTGCTGCATTTGTATAAATACAAGGAAAGCATGTAGAGAGTCCTTCTCCTTAAGAAGAAGTTGCAAGAAGAAACATCTTCCTCAGTCTTCCAGTTCTATTTAGTTATTTAAAATATTTGTAGGTCCTCCTTCAGGGAGAAGTCATTCCAGTTAACCCAGCATGCTTACTTAGAATACACTCCTCAAGTTGTGTTCATAAGATTGCAGCTTAAACATAAACTCTTTTTGTTTTACTACTCAGCACAAAAAGGAAAAAGAGTTCCTGGGCTGGTTTATAATCAATTAATAAGATTAGGCCAGAACGTGATGATCTGGCACCCTCGCTGTCCTGCACTGACTGTCTTTTGGGCATGTATACACCTTTTTTGTTACTACATTTGGGCAACTTCTTGGATGCACACCCTAAAGTGGTGAGGGAGCTGCCTTCTTCATATCATTCAGGGGTAGGCTTGGATGAGTTTCAGTACACCAACAAAGCCCTTTGACCCCAAACATCCTAATAACAGCAGCCTACAAAAGGTATCCCCCCCCCCAATTAAGTTGCTGAAAAAGAGTGGTTAGCACAAAACCAGTAGCGGGGCTTTGCGACAAAGGACTCATGCACTTAGCTCTATTACTGATCAAAAACTTCTGGCTAAGTATATGCTCAGAGGCCACCTTGTTCCTTGGTGCGTAATGCAAATCTACCTGCCTGAGCTTTATTTTGCACCTAGTCCTCCCGCGTAGATGTCAGGAAGCTAGTAAAAAGTAAGCAGATGTCGCAAGCCGGAAGTCCACGCACTTCTGCACCCCTCGAGTCTTGCTGCCACGCTTTCCTAGGCTGCCTAACGACTCGCATCAGCACAAGCAGGTTCTCAGGCCCATCCCACAAACTACCAGGCCAACCATCCTTTCCCACAATGCACTGAAAACCATGCCAATTTCCCAGTCCCGTGCGTTCGCCAGCCCGTCCCAGGAGGCACCACGGCTCATGCCCGATATATATCGCGCCTCCAGTTCTTTAACTTAAACTAAGCTCACCGGATTACGTCTCTGGTTCGTCCTCCTTCTTTTGCTTCTTGCTCACGCTTCGTTCCCACAGCCTGGCCCCGCCCCAGCGCAACACGTACGAGGAGGAGGCCACTGGGATTTGCATAAGCTGCCTAGCAACGCGAAACGGATTGGCTGGTGAGATCGGAGACCGAAGTTTTAGGCACGATGTAAAGTAGCAAAACTGTGTTTATATGCAGAGGGTGCTTGAGCTACGCAACAGCCTCTCATTGGCTGAACTGCCTCAGATAAGAAGAACGCTCAAAGCGCGAGTGGTCCCGAGACCAGGCAGTTTCTGCTTTTCGAATAGCAAGAGGTCCATCTGCTGCAGCTTATGGGTGATGGAACTCTTTATTTTGCATATTGCACTGCCGTCGGACAATAGCTGGCTCCTTAGCTAACTTACTTCTTGTCTTTAAAAAAAGGGGGTATGTTAAAATCGCATTAAAAAGTTAGTTTCCCCTTCCAAAGACACCTTCCGCTTTCTTTCAGGGGACTTCCGCCCTTACTACCGTTGACCAATCCTCATACCGATTCTGTTTTTCATTTCCGCTTTTCAAGGCAGAGTTGTATACGTTACTTCCGCCCGGGCGCGAGCTCTTGTCCCCACCTTCAGCCCTTTTTTGCTTCCCCCTCCGAGAGCGGAAACTTCCGCCCTCAGTGCGTGGGCCAGGAGGGAGCGCTTCCGGGTTAAGCGGCGCCCCGCCCCTGCGCGAGCCGTGGCAGCTGAGATGGAGCTGGAGAGGATGGGTGAGAATCAGGCAGAGGCTATTTTTTTTTTTAATAGCAGGCCCCCTCCTAGCCGCCCCCCGAGGTGGGGCACAGGGGAGGGCAGGGTTTGCCTTTTATTTCCTTTCAACTGTTATTGCTTCCTCTTATATGTTCAAGTAGCTAAGCAGCATCTAGTTCCACTCCCAGCAATTTTATTTATTACTGTATATCCCACCTTTTTCCTGCAAGACAGCATACATAATCTTCTTCCTTCTCTGCATTGTATCTGCACAACACCCACCCTGTGTGGTAGGTTAGACTGAGTCACTGATTGCCCCTAAAATATTCAGTGAGTTTCATGGCTGAATATGACTTGAACCTGGATCTCCTGAGCCCCTCTCTTGCACTTCAGCCACTACATCACAGTGGCTCTCAATTAAATCTTAGAATGTAATTATTATTATTATTACAATTGTAATAAATGGCAATATTTATTGTTTATTTTAAAGTTAGCTAAGGGTCAAAATCCATACTAGTTACCATGATGCTTTGATTGAATAAAAGGGTCTAATAAAATATAACCTGGCAGAGAAGCAAATAATACTGGGATTGAGTCCCAGTTTCATGCCTCCCGCTCTCAAACAAAAGATTCTTTCCTATAGAATAGGCAAAGTGGCACTGACGGGAGCAAGGGGGGAAATGGTGGTGAAAAATGGTGGTGGATTTCAAGCTGCCCTTGTCTCATTGTGTTCAAGCCCTGCCCCCCAGGGGGCCTCTGGAGCTGCCCCTCTCTGTTTTGGAAGTTGGGTGCGCTGGCCGTTTTGAGCTCATCACTCAAGAGGAGGGCCCCGACAGAGATGGATTTCCACTGACTACGGTAAGAGCTGCAAGCAGCCCCTTCTGACCATGGAACAAGAGAGTGGTATCTCCCAACAGCAGTAGGCAGGGCCCTGCTCCAGCTGAGGCACAGCTTATCCTTTGAATGAATTGCAAAATCTCCTGCATGGTTTACAGAGGCAACAGCTTCAAAAGGAAAGCAGCCACTAAATTAAGCAAATGCTGACACATTGCTTTCCTTTTTTTCCACATACATATTGTAGCGCTGCAAGGGTGGGGAAACATTGGGCATGAAGAATCTCCTTTCTTGCTTACAAAACACCACAAAATTGTGCAAAATTGTGGCTCAGGTGGGTGGACCCCCATATGCCTTGGATGAAGGAACAAAGGTGTCTCTGAGCATGTAATAATTTGCATCAGAGTTGAGCTCTCAGTCCATTAATATATATATGGTGGGCCACTTGTGGCCTTCCAGATGTTTTGCTGACAGCTCCCATTTTTCTTTGCCACTGGTCATGCTGGCCAGGGCTGATGGGAGTTGTAGGCCAGTACAGCTAGAGGACCGCGAATTGCCTTCCCCAGCACTTGATTCCCCACCCCCCAGCTTTCCTGGCCTTTTGGTTGTGTTGTTGTTGTTGTTAAGCGAGTGGGACTCGGGATCCTGGCTGATCGACTGCAAATCACCCAGAGATGCGCCAACCTGCTCTGTGCAGTTTCTGCTCCGGCATCCCTGGCGGATGGCTGTCCGGTCTCAGGTGCCTTTTGTGAAAGAGAGGCTCTCCTCCCTAGAAAGACCTCCTTCCACAGTGGCCACCTTACGTTCAGAAGGTACAAAATTGACAGTGATACATAGTGTGAGCAGAGGAGCATCAGAGCCACAGAGGAATTGATGCTCATTCTGTGAGTTGGGGGAGGCATGAAGAACACAGTAGATAGAGATGCGGCAGCAGGCAGTAGAAAGTCAAGGTACTCCTGAAACCTGGGGGAAGCCACGTCTCTGTGAAGAAGCGTAGCAGGGAGAATGGGTGTGAAGATCCAAGGGTGAGAAGTGGGTTAAGGACAGAAGGACAGTGAAGAGCGATAAGAATTTTACGTGGCTGGCTTTGCTGTGTGAAGGAACCACCTTGAGGACTTGGGGTGGGGGTTAAGTTTTATTATCATGTTCTACAGACTAAAAAAAGAGACTGAAAAACATCAATCATCAAAGACATCAGACCTACTGGGTCAGCCCCCCATTTTTTTTTAAAGCAATCCGTAGACATATGCAGATCTACGCATAGTCCCGTTTCTCTAGCCAATAATAAAAAGAGTTCCAAGTTTGATAGACGTATGTATCCTCTTTCTCCTTTGGAGACAAAGTCAGCCTGTCCATTTCAGCACAGTCCAGAATCTTTTTTAAAATCAGTTCATCAGTGGGTGGTTCTTCACTCCTCCAATGTTGAACAAATACAATTCTTGCTGCAGTGATTACATGTAGAATCAAATACATTGCTTGTTTGTCAACATCATCAGGCACAATGCCTAGTAAGAAGACTTCAGATTTAAATATTAAAGATTTTTGTAACATTTCCTCAAGCCATTTATGTATTTTAGCCCAATATTTTTTTGCCTTATCACAAGTCCACCACTTGGTTTTGAGAGATGCTTTACTGGGAAGGGGATGGCACTTGTCAGTTCTAATTAGCCCAGTCAGCTTTCCACCTGGTCATGTGAATCATCACAGGTATGGAATGGGCTTCCATGGTTGAAGCCCTGTTGCTGAGGGTGTTCAAGGATAGGCTGGACATGCACATGGCAGGCATGTCATGGGCGGAGCTGGCTGGAGTCGGGGGTCAGACTAGATGGCCTGGGAGACCCCTTCTGACTTGCTCTGTTTCTATGTTTCTATCTTGTTTCTTTATTTACTAATTTCTGCAAAAGGCTTTAATCTTTAATTAAAGCCAGCTTCACATGTTTGCTGTTTTGTGTAATAGAAATTGTTTTATTACATAAGCAGTTTCCTTGTTTAACTCCAGAGGGAGGCGAGGCAGCCTAAACACACACAAATCCAAAATACTCTGTTCTGCCCTTCACAAGAACAGCACCCAAACATTTTCCAAGTTGGCTTATAAAGCAAGGAGAAAAACGTGTTCCCAGAACCTAGGAAAATGCCTTTTTGTTAGTTTGAGAGGCAAACAACAACATCTCTTCCTTTTCTGTACACCTCTGCAGCTTCCCCATGGGTTGCCCCCTTATGCGGAGGACCTGGTCTCCGAGTTGGAGCAGAACTTTCTCAACAGCCCTGAGTGGCTTCCCATCCACCATTTTGAAAGGTCTCACAGGTGAGGTGTCAGGTGGCTGCAGGCTCTTTGCAAGATGCACAGTGTGCATCCTCTCCTTGGATACCTGAAGGAGCACCGCCTCCCCTATGTGCCCTCCCACCCCTTGAGATGAGAAGGGTGGCTACCCAGAGGAGGGCCTTCTCCGCAGTGGCCCCCCGAGTGTGGAGCACTCCCCAGAGATGTTCGCCTGGCGCCAACACTTCTTTCCTTTTGGCGCCAGGTGAAAACCTTTTTATTTTCCCACTATTTTAATTGCTAATTGTCTTAAATTGTGGTTTTTATCTTTATTATTGGATGCGGTGCTACTTTTATTCCTTTATTTTATTGCTGTAACTGAACTGTCCCAGGACGTCAGCGATGGGATGGTATACAAAAGTTTTAAATGAATGAATGAATAAATGTCTATCAGAATGGCCTTCCGAGTGGTGGAGTCAGATTCTCCACTTCTCAAATCAGCCGAGCAGGGCATTCTTCCTAATTTATTTCAGATATCTTTCAAACCTGCCTTACAAGGAGCATTGCCCTGAAAAAGCAGCCTACAAGTTTATAAAATGCATGAAAATACAACTGCAGTTCAAACAGAGAGACAGAAACAGAGTACAAGGGTTTTAAGTGCCAAACGCCCACCTGGATAAACGTGTCCCCAGCAATGGTGATTACTTCCTTACCCACCAGGGTGGGAAGTTGCAAAGGTGTGGCCCACTATGGGCAGCTCAGAGAGCTGGGCCTCCAACACTGATCTTAACACTTCCGTAAGCTCATTCCGATGATGTGGTCCCAAGCTATTTAGGGTGGTGAAGGCCAAAACCAGCGCCCTGAATGGGTCTGGCAACAAGTAGGTAGCTATGTAATGACACGTTTAATCAGTGCAGAACAGGCGTAAGGGCTGTGTGTTAGTTGCTGCAGTTTCTGAACTGCCGTCAAGCACTCGGGTGGGGTGGGAGCAGCGGGGGCGTGGGAATCGCTTTTGACTCTGCCTACTTTCTCGAGGAAGATTTTGGCCCCGCGAGAAGGACATCCAGTCGCTCTTCAAGGTAGATGCCACACCTGTGCACTCCACACTTCAGGCTGAGCGCAACCCCACCACAGGAGAGTTGCTGGGTTTCCGAGAGGTGAGAAGCTGTCCTTTCCACGGTCTTCCATCCGACCTTGCAGTGGCAGTCTGAGTGGCACTTTATAAGGATTAAGTGTCCTTTGTTTAGTCCAGGTGGGAGGGAATAAGGCAGCCAGGCAGCCACCCCGTTTCTGTTGTTTCCTTCCCGAGAAAGGAAGGGTTGTAATGGAAATGGACAGAGCCTTTGCTGGGTCAGGTTCTGCCTTCTGCCAGGAGTGCTTCCTGATCGACCTCTCCTAAGCTTATCAGCCAAAATGCACCATGCAGCTCTTCTGTCCTTATTGGATAGTGTTGTGGGAAGAAATAACATGGAAGAATTGGCATGAGAATCCAGGCAGGGAAGAGGATGACGCGTCAGTTGTCTGTCCAAGGCATGGTGATGACACTCAGACAAGCCTTGACCGGAGGCTTCCTGGCTCTCTGGACACCTCTGTGGTAGCCAGGCTCCAGTACAGATACTTTGCTGCCTCCTGCTGGTTGGAGGAGGGATTGCACAGTTGTAATTAAAGTAATATATAGCAATTGAGCTTTCCACTCCTCTTCCAACTTGTTGTTTTGCATTGTGAAAGAATTGTCAATAGTTGTTGGGATGATAACACTTGCTGCCTCCTATGTCTTCAATTCCAGGCACTTGTGGACAACATGGGCTTATCAGCCAAGAATTCCCTTTCCTTCCAGAGAGCGCCTGGTCCTCCGGCTGAGGCTCTGCGGGGCAGTGCCACCAATTATCCTTTCTGGCCAGGTATTCATGCCCTCTGTGGGGTTTAGTACTGTTTCTTCCCATTCTGAGCCATGGAATGCAAGCTGAACTGGAGAACAAGACGCCCCATTCATTACTGAGTGCTTCCGTATAGTCTGAAGTGCCTGAATCTGCCTGATCTTGGAAGCTAAGCAGGGTCAGGCCTGGTTAGAATCTGGATGGGAGACTTGATTCCTCCACCGAGCAGGGGGCTGGACCCGAAGGCCTGCTAGGCCTCTTCCAACTGTATGGTTCTACTGAGGAATATATTTCAGGCTGTGTGTAACTTCTGAGTATATGCTTTGCACCCAGTGAGTACTAGTGTGGGAAATCCCTGCTGGTCTATTTAATTCATTTTCAGAATTTTGAATCTTCTGGTTGCAGAATTCTTCCCATGCACTCTGTCTCATTCTTAGTATTTCACAGCCAGCCATTTTAATGCAACCTTTCTAGGTGGGATGGATGAACCCAGCCTGGAGCAAATCACGGCTCAAGAAGACCTGGAAGAGGACATTGATTTTGAGAAAGGTACTTTCATCTGTTTCAGGAATGACCATGCTGGTCCCCCTCTTGTCAAAATCCTGGCCATTATGTTTGTTTTAAATGCCTTGTGTTGCCTGTGGAGCACACAAACCTGTTCACTGTGTACCAGCATGAGAAGGATGGATGGGCGGATGGATGGGAAGTGGGAGGGACTGGAGAGGAGGGTCTCGGGTGGCAGGATCCATGCAGTGGGATAGGATCTTACCTACACATGTGCATACGCACAGCCAGTAATAACACTGGTGGAGGAGTGGGTAGGACAGTAGCTGGAAGGAAACCAACCTGAATTGTCTTTGTCAAGCACTTAAGATCATCTTGGTAAATCTAGCATGGATTGCAGGAAGAGACCAGGAGTGCAAATTATGATCCTTACTTGGAGATAGAGAAACAGAGCGAGTCAGAAGGGGCCTCCCGGGCCATCTAGTCTGACCCCCGGCTCCAGCCGATTCCGCTCACAACATGCCTGCCATGTGCCTGTCCAGCCTATTCAATGCATTTTATTCCCTTCTTTTCAGCTGAAATGGCTCCCCAAGTGGTAAATCAACAGCAGAGAAGACAACCCCTGCTTGCAGGCTTTCAGTCTCAAAGTTGTCACTCAAAAGGAAAAAGTGAAGAGGAGGGGAGGGGAGAGGAAAACAAGCAAACTTGAACACCAGTTATTACATTTACATAGTAGTTGATATAATAACCAGCTGGAGTAGAAATAGTGTGGGGAGAGAAAGAGCTGGATGAAACCAGTTTCTTAGCCGAGGCAGTGTCTCTCATCTCTGTCTTGTCTGACGAGAGGTGATATCTTAGGTAGTTAAGAGCCTGTTGGAATTGTCCTCTCCATGGAGTTAACCTAATCTCAGTATCTCTGAGCATAATTTATTATTTATTTAACTTTTTAATTTTTGCTTCTCAACCAAAAGAGGCTCCTGCAGTGACTTTTACATAATCGGTAAAAGCAGACGGCCCCTGCTAGTTGAAAGAGATGTGATACACAAGATGTTCGGGAGTATCAGTGAAATTGGCCTGTTTCCCACTCTCTTCTCCCTTGGGAGGACCTGCTGGAATGACTCCTTTTGGTGACAGTTGCAGGAGGGGGGGGGCATCTGGGGGGGGGTCTTAGTAGAGCTGCTCCCCCCTCTTATCTCCTGCAGTGCACTCAATGGGGCCACCAGCGTGCCAGTCCAGGAGCAGCCTGAGGGACCACTTGCTGGACCGAGGAACGTGCTTTTCGGCAATCTGGCATGCAGGGCCTGATTTGCACAGTCGGGTCGAGGCACCTACCACAAGGACCGCGTGCTTCCGTGTTTCTGGCAATAGTGATGCAGAAGTTGCTTTGGTGTAAGGATGCTGTTCAGGAGTGAGGGAGCTTGTGGTTTCTGCAAAGGCCATAGAAACTGCTCCTCCTTTCATTAGCCACAGCGCTACCCTTTCGTGGCTGAGATCTTCCAAGTGGTAACTGCAGTCATAATGCATCCACAGACTCTTCTCCTGGTGCCTCCAGGCTCTTTCATCCTTCAGATTTTATTTCTTAAGATTAAAAAAAGTTAATCAAAGTTGACATCCTGCAAATGTCTTTTCCTTTAACACAATCTTTATTTGGATTCAAAGTTTTGTAGCTCCACACCTCCTTTTTTTTTAAGGTTCTTGGGCAGGTAACCTTCTTTTAGTCTTGTTGCTTTGTCTTCTGGGAAGTGAGTATTTTCTGACCTGTGGTGCCCACCATGGCAGCCATTTTGTGAGAGTGCCCACAGCACCCTTGGATTTCCAAATGCGCCCAACTCAGAAGGGCTGGGGACCACTGCTCCATGCTTTTCCTTCTCTCCCTTAGATTTGCTGACTGTGCCGCCTGGATGGAAGAAGGGAGTGGAGTTCACCAAGCAAGGTAGCCACTTTTGAGGTGTGGAGGAGGCTGAGGCTGGGTGGAATTCAGTCTGCATCTCTTTCGCAAACACAAGGAAATCAGAAGAGTTTGGTGTAGGCCTGCCTTGGCATTAAGCCAGCTGCGTATCTTTCATGGTACTGACAAGTAATTCTCTGAGGAAGGCACAAGGTGGATTCCTCTATTTAGGAATCCACCTTGTATCCTTCTGTGTCTTCACCTCTGCAGAGCTCAAGGCCTCTCCAGGGCTGCTGAATTTGACTAATTTGTTGGGGGCATTGGATACCTTTGAATTGGAAGCCTCCAGCGATGAAGAAGTCAAGGAGAAGGCTGAGGAGATGGAGAAGAGGAAGAAGAAAGGGAAGGAAAAGGGGGTAAAGGAAGAACAAATGCCCCCTGCAGAACCAGTGCCGTTGCAGAGGGCAAACAGCCTGGAAGAACTGGTGCTTAAGGTAGGGAGAAAGCATCTTGAGCCAGTATCAGAAAATTTAAGGGACCAAGGTACGGATCAGCAAAACTCTAGCTATATAGAGATGCAAGAAGGCTGGAGCAGGATGTGGCAGGAACTCGGACCTGATACCCTTTGGGCAAGAATTGTGCCACGTGGGGCCACCGAGAAATGGAAGCCGCTCTAGCCACCTGTTGTTGGTTTGGCAAGATGTGACCACGGCTGCATTGGATGCCCTGATGTACTGTGACTTGTTATGACATGGTTGTGAGAAGACCAGGAGGATCTTCTTACATTTTATCTTAGCTGCAGGATAGTGGGTTCTTCAAAACTTAAACAATGATTGCTCTTACTATGGTTTGTTTGAATTAAGACAGGTTTCTAAACCATGATTTGAAACTGGCTTGTTTCAGAGAAAGATCATTAAGATGCACAAAGTTTGAGACACAAAGCCATGGTGAATATCAAGGAAGCAACAGCTTTCAAACTAGAGGAGATGGGAGCAGATCCACCCAGGGGAGGCTAAGGTTCATTCCTGTCCTGATTAATCATGAATGCAGCCCCCAAAAGGGGCTGCAGAATCTGACTGACTAGATGAATCCAGCCTTTCCCAAGCTGGCTGGCTGGGGATTCACTGAGGTGCAGTCCAACACATCTTTGCCTTTTAGAAAAAAGTGCTTCTAAAAACCACATATGGCAAGAACCATCTTAGAAGAGATCTTCTTTCTTCTCGTATGAAATAAAGCTTCCTTTAAGAGGCCTAATGTGACATGGATATTTCATCTAATAACGAAACAAGCCAGTTTTTTTCTTCCTGACTGTAATCCGACTTAAATAGCTCATATCATGGAACAAGAGAAGCAGTTCTGTGTTCTGAATGCTAGTGTGTGTGTGTGTGTGTGTGTGTGTCTGGAAGTTTCCTTGTATTGATCAGGATAACAGCATAGTGTGATTTCCCCTTTTCGTCCCCAGCTTCATTCACACGTGCTTTTGGGGTTTGTTGTTTTGTCTGTCTCTCCACTTTTGCCTGGTTCCCAGGAGGTCACCCCCACCCCCAAGGCAGCAACAGAGGCTGCTCCCACCGCTGCCCCCACCCCTGCGCAAGCTGCTGACGCCCCCAAGGAGCAATGGGCCGTTCCAGTAGACATCAGTTCCCCTGTGGATGACTTCTACAAGCGGATCCCTGACCCGGCTTTCAAGGTAGGCTGCCAGTTCTGACGGAGCTGCTGGGAGAAGCAGGGGAGGACCAAGAACTCTGTCTTCACGTGATGTTCTTGGTTCCCTTCCCTTTCCCCAGTGGCCTTTTGAGCCAGACGTTTTCCAGAAACAGGCAATTCTTCACCTGGAGAAGCATGATTCCGTATTTGTCGCTGCCCACACATCTGCTGGAAAGACCGTAGTGGCGGAATATGCCATCGCTCTGTCCCAGAAGCACATGACGCGGTGAGAACGGCCTTGGTGGGTTTTGCTGCAAGCAGTCACGAGGCAGTGCAGAAAGGCTGGTGGGTTCGGCGTGGAGCCTGCCAGGCCCTGCTCTGCGGCCTGCGAAGAAGCACGGTGAGGTCTGCCCTTTGAATGGGTTGGGAAAGGAAATGCCCTCCTGCCCAGCACTCCTTCAGGGAAGCTCGCCCAGGGCCGGATGGAGCTGCAGTCACTTTCCCAGCCATGTGGACGTCAGTTCTGCTGCAGGCTCTTTTTCTGGGCCAAGAAACTTCATGTGTCATGGATGAGCATTTTTGTGCAGTTATTTCAGAACATCTTCTGTGTTGTTTATATCTGAATTATGCAGATGACTGTGCGTTATCTTAATTTTGGTTTTCCCAGTTGTGTTAATTATAGATGGCAGTATTTGGACATGTGAGTTGCTCCAGCTCAACTTTTTGCAACAGACAGCGACGCATGGATATAATTAATAGCAAGAAAAGCTGCTCCTTGGCATTCCCTGCTGCAGGGCGGGGGGTGATCCTTTGCTCTCCCAAGCCTTGTGGGACTTAGAGGCCCTGCTTTGTATGCCGAAGGCCCCGGGCCTGACCCTAGTGCCTGGGTCCTCAAACTGTGGCCCACGGGCCAGATCTGGCCCGCCGTGCTGATTTATCCGGCCCGCCTTTGAGCTTTTGGAGTCGCTTGGAGAAAACGATCTCTGAGCGAGTCCAAAAGCATTAAGCCAGTGCTGGGATGCTCAGTGGGGAGATGGCTGCGATCGCGGCTGTGCTTGTGCAGGGAAGACGGGCTCGATCGCGGTTGTGCTCATGGGGGGGAGATGGCCACGATCGCGCCCACATTCCCTGCACAACCGCCTCCGCCTTGCTGGCCCGCACCTGCCCTCACCTTTCACCTGGCCCAGACCCCTGAGGCTCCTCACAGTGCTGCTGACCATCTGTTTATTACCTTGTACCAGGGAGAGGTGGTCCTTCAGTGTCAGCATCCCGGGCGTGGGAGGCTCCAGGACCCAGGCAACTGGGTTGGGGCACAAGGGTCAGTCTGAGAGCACAGTCAAACGGTTCAAGGTCTGAGCTGCAAGTTGAAGGGGAAGAGTCCGATCCAGAGGTCATCGTGGTCAGACAAGCTGGGAGTCGAGACAAGCTAAGGGGAGCAGGTACCTGGAGGGCTGGAGCAGGAGAAGGGGCAGGCAAGGCCAGGAAGCCAGGTAGGGTCCGAGAGCAGGCACAGGGTCATGGGCAGAGTTCCAGGAGCAAGTCCAAGCGGCCAGCAAACCAGGAGCACTTCAGCGACTCGGAGAAGCTTCATTGCCCAAGCAGCTTCTGTGGGGAGGAGCCAGTTCTTTAGCTCGTACCCCAGGGCTCCCGGGTGGAGCACATGAGAGCCCTGGCAGCTGCGCTTGACTGGGGTAGCAGTCCTGCAACGACCGGGCCTGCTGTGCAGGTCCTTGGCCAGCAGAGGGCGCCCTGAGTGGCCTTGGGTCCCCTGCATTCCAGCATCTCCCTACGGGCATCTAACTCTCGCTCCCCCAACCCGGCCTCCCTTTTGCAGCACCATATACACTTCCCCGATCAAGGCTCTTTCCAACCAGAAATTTCGGGATTTCAAGAACACCTTTGGAGATGTGGGCCTGCTGACGGGGGACGTGCAGCTGCATCCAGATGCCTCTTGCCTCATCATGACCACAGAGATTCTTCGGTAAGCACTGGGATAACGGCAGAGCAGCTGGGCTTTGGAAGGTGCAGGAGGGGCTTGGCTCCCAAGCGCTTCGCCATTTCTGCTTGCTCTAACCATTTTATATTCAAATTGCTTCCTGCTTTCCTCAGGTTTAGCAGCTAGGGCTTTTAAAGGATTCAGTTTCTAGTTCTTAGGGTTATACAACTCGGCTTGAGAGTGCCACAGTGGCAAAATTTTAAGAAGCTGGAGCTTTTGCATTCTTGCTTCCAACTGTCAATACGTAATCAGTGCCCTTTCTAAGAAATTCTACTCCTGCTGACAGGTAGAAGCGGAATAAAGGTGTAGTCCTGTGATTTGCCAACTCTTGCTTAATTTGGAGACTTGCGAGCTGCTTAGGCAAAGCAGGGGGAGCAGCAGAGGTGGCCTTGCCCCCCCTCCTCCTGCCCTACATTTTTTTGCTGCACCGGCTATGGAGAGTGCCAGCTCTGTGGGATTCCTGCTCTTGCACCCCATTCCACTTTCCCCCATCAACTCCACTTTTCCATGTATTTCTCCTTTGCAGTCCCCCAGCATTCCTCCTCTTTAGGGTATTTCCTGCGTAGATTTGAGGGCAGGGGACAAAATCAGGTGGTCTTGCTCTGCTGTTGGTCAGAGTCAGAAAGAGCCATGTGCGCTTTTTAAAATGGCAGGTCTATGCTCTATAATGGCTCGGACGTTCTCAGAGACCTGGAATGGGTGATCTTCGATGAGGTGCACTACATTAACGACTCCGAGGTAAGCAGAAAGCTGACGGTGTGGTCCCCCCCACTTCAGCATCGGCACGGACTCTCTCCAGTGAGGAGTGGGAGGGGAGGAGGTTGCTGGGGCACGTGAGCGATGGGCTGGCGAGAGCGGCAGCGGGGGAGAGGGAGCCATCCGGTCTCTCAGGTGGAGGCCAAGCAGGGTCTGCCATGTTCAGGAAGAGCCCTTTTCCAGCCTTGCATTTTCTAAGCAGAAATTTCCAGGACTGAACTGGATCCAGGGTGCTGGAGCGTCGCCCCTCTCTGCTTTTGGTTTCCCACCCCACACACTCCGTTTCTTCCAACTCTTCTCTGTGACCATTTTCCATGTGGCTCCTTTTTGGGGGCAGTAAGGTTGCCTAGCGTTCTTTCGGCAGTTCTCAAGCCATGGAAATGGAGAAGCCAGTTGGAGGAAGGCTCTGCATGTCCTGAACGCAGACCCTTGCGTTTGCCTTCTTCCGGAAGTCGCCCTTTGTGGGACCACAGGTGGTCCTTCTCTCCTGCTTCTCAGCCTCTTCTGTCGCTCTTGCCCTCTTTGCAGCGTGGTGTGGTCTGGGAAGAGGTCCTCATCATGCTGCCGGACCATGTGAACATCATCTTGCTGAGTGCCACAGTTCCCAACACCCTGGAGTTCGCCGACTGGATCGGGTGAGCAGAGGTCACGGGAAGAACCACGCTGGATTGGGCCCGAGGCCTCCCTAACCCAGCAGGCTGTTCTGGCCGTGGGCGGCCAGCAGCTTATGGGAAGCCCAAAAGCAGGACTCCCGGTGTCGAGGGCAGGTGTGGCAGGCAGCTGCCAAGGGCTCGCACCTCAGGAGAGGCCCATGCACAGAAGTAGCTGCTCCTCTGCAGCAGAAGCAGGGAGCAGGGGAGGCCACGAGCTCTTCACTTGTTGGAACATTGCTTGTCCTGAGAGCAAGCGGCGGCAGGGATGTGGAGGAGGAGGAGGAGGAGGAGGAGGAGGAGGAGGAGGAGCAAAAGCAACCTGGGACAGTGGCGAGCAGGCAGGCTCGCTGCAGGTGTGCCTTTATTTGCAACATGACATTGAACAGATTCTGGAGCGAGGAGCAATAAGAACGCTACCGAGCCATAAAAAAGCCACTCATCAATTCAAGGAAGGCTTCCTGAGATAAAGATGGCGGTGCCTGCCTGCCTGCCAAAGTCGGGGCTGCACAGAAAGGGGCCACCTGGCCGAAGGCCTTTCCTGGGAAAGACTCCAGGCAAACCACGGTCCATCGGGTGGCTTCAGTGAGCAGGCAGGCTGATGAGGAAGAAGAGACCCTCTCAGGTCTCCCGCTCCCAAGTCGCTTGCTGTTTATATGCTGACCGCAAAACCATAGACCTGGCCATGCAAACAAGCAGGCTGCCAGGCCAGCCCCCTTGCGCGGGTGTTTCTCTGTATTAGATTTCAGTCCCGCCCATGCACCAGAAGGGCGCTCTGGGCGGCTTGCGCGTTGCCTGCCGCGGGGGGCCGTGCTTGACAGCAGCTGCTGCGCTCTGCACTGGCTCCGGCTGCAGGACCAAGCCCAAGGGACCTCCATGGGGCGGTGTCAGCGACCAGGCGGGCTGGTGAGGAAGGGACCAGCGCTGAGAAGCACCCTTCTTGTGGGGCTCCACAGCGACCTGTATGCAGAGGCCCCCGTGAACCGTGTGGTCGCATGTAACCATTGGGACAAGCTGCCGCTGACAGCCTTCTCTGTGAAGTTGCTGAACCCTCCTTTCACAGCCATTTCATTTGGGGGCCCCCCACATGTCATGGGGAAACGAGTTCCTGCCGTGGCACTTGCAGGGGCTGGGAACCCAGAGGCAGGAGACAGGGGAGGGGATGAAGGGAAGATGGCGGAGAGTTGCAGCTCGTCCCTGGAAGAAACTTTGAGTAAGGTGGTGCATAATGCACCATGGGAGCTGTAGTTCTCTGGAGAAATTATCCTCTGGCTCCAACCTTTGTGCACTGGCGCAGCTTTCTCCACCCTTTGGTCTCCAGATGTTTGTTTAGTTATTTCTTATAACTAAGAAATATAGGTTATCCCACCTTTTTCCTTTCAAGGAACTCAATGCTGCTTATATAATCCTCCATTTTGTTCTCACAACAGCCACCCTGTGAGGTAGGCTAGGTGAAGAGCACATGAGCGGCCCAAAGTCACTCAGTGAGTCCCATGGATGAGCAGGAACTAGAGCCTGAAGTTCCCAGATCCCCAGTCCAATGCTGTGATCACTGTGCCACACTGCCTCTCTATCGGACTACAGTTCCTACTCTCTCTGCCTACCTGTGCTGGCTAAGGATAATGCACAGAACTGGTGAAAACAGTGTTAAAATCACGAGCCAAAAAGTTCACCAGACTCTTCTCTGCTCTAGCGACTGACGACTGGACCAGACCGAAGGCCTCTCTCATGCAGTGCCCTCCCCACAGGGGTCAACCAGACACACAAATGTGACATCGCTTTCCCACTTACATGACCCCAGAAACGGGTGTACGTGGGCATACCCACTCTGACATTAGCGGTCACATAGAGCCAACATGGCTAGTAGCCATGCATAGCTTTATTTCCTGTGGCTGCTTCTGCGCTCCTTCAAAGCCATTTGTGTGGGATCAGCAGTGATGGCTGGTGGAACAGCTGCTGTAGGAGAGCTCCAGGTGTTGAACCTCGTGCCCCAATAATCCGTCAAGGATGATGGCAGTTGTACTGAGCAGGGCACCGAATGGTTCCCTGCCCATGGGGGTAGGGGAATGAGTCGGTTTCCCTCACCATCCCGTGAAATGCCAACGTTGCTGTTTTCGCCCCTTTGCAGGAGGATCAAGAGGAAGAAAATCTACGTGATCAGCACCCTGAAGCGCCCTGTCCCGCTGGAGCATTACCTGTATACCGGCAATAGCCAGAAGACCCAGAACGAGCTCTTCCTCTTGGTTGATGCCCGGGGGACGTTTCTTACCAAAGGGTAAGGGCAGGAAAGGCAAAAGATACTTTGACAGCTGGTGGGAAACCCAAGTGGATTCTGTGGTGACTGTGGGCAGCTGCCCAGGGCTTGACAGGGCTTCCTTCCCAGCCTTTTCAGTAGCAGCCATGGAAACGGGCCTGGTGCCTGCCGGGCCTGGTGCAAAGCCCTGCAGTGGCGATACCAAGTGTGCTACAGCAAGAAACTGACACATACTTGGCCCCTTTGTGGCGCCTGATGTGTGTCTCTCGAGCCAGTCTTCCTTGCCCAAGGTCAGGAGCAGCCTTGTAATCGCGCAAGGGCAAATGGCCCCCTTTGTAGCTGAAGCTTCCGGGTGGGCCCAGCCTGAGAGCTCTTCCTGCCTGAGGCGGTGCAGCAGACGGTTGCTGTCCAGGCACAAGATACCCGAAGCAGGCCGCGTTGTTTTGGGAAAGAAAAACCCGCAGTCCGGTGAAGTGCAACGACACAAAGGAACAGCGAGCTCCCCTCTCGCAAGGCGGGCAGGCGAGTGCCTCAGGCGGCCGCCTCCCTCGCCCGGCCAGACGGCAGGCCGACCCCGTGGGGCCACGCAGACCCTTCTGGCCTCCCGCTCCTCCTCTGGCGGCGAAGGGCATTCCCTCCCCCTCCCCATTGGCTCTCTCAGCAGGGCTGTGCAGATCAGGCGGTCGGAAGGAAGGGAGGGGACCTCTCCGGGTTGGCGTCCCAGGATCCTGGAACAGCAGAGCTGGAAGGGGCCATGAAGGCCATCAAGTCCAGCCCCCTGCTGGTGCAGGACAACAAGCTGCACCGTCCCACTCAGAGAACTGCCCAATGTCTTCTTGAATGGCTCTAGTGTGGGAGAGCCCCCCACCTCTCCAGGCAGCTGGTTGGGGACTGCAACTCCACCACCACCACCACCACCCATTACATTTCTGTACCACCTGTATCCGCAGCTCTGTGGGCAGTTTACAACATTAAGTCGCCCGTCAAAACCAAATCTAGGCCTGACCCTGCTTCGCTTCCAAGATAAGGCAGGATCAAGCGCTTAGGCTGTATGGAATCTATATGGATCCCCCTGTCCCTGATCATTAGGGATTAACAGCCCACTGCTGGGGTGATGGGAGTTGTGATGCAAGCTGTCAGGAGGGCACCAAGGGGGAGTCTGTGCTAGGCACTCCAGAGATTTGGGTGGCTCTCCTGTTCCTAGCACTTCCTTAGCCAGGGAGGCATGGAGGTCGCTGGTGACCGCTGGCTAATGGCTGGCTCAACGAGGTGTCTAAACAGTGAAATTGCAAAGGGTGGGGATGCAACAGGGCTCTTCCCTGAAGCACCCTACTAGTGCCCCTGTGCTCCATGGGGGCGGGGGGGGGGGTCTGTGAAGCCCGCCTCCCCCAAGCTCCTCCTGCATCTGAATCTTCAGTTTGCTAGGATACAACCCACCCTAGAAATAATAGTGCAATGTTGTCCCCAGCCTTTCTTTGGTTGGAGGTCTTTGCATGATGTCTCCAGGTAGATCTGCTAAAAGTACCAGCCTTACTGGTCAAGTTCCAACATCTGTTCTGGGAGGAACCAGCTGCTGTGCTAACAAACCAGGCAGTCAGGAAAACTCCACCTTGGTAGAGGAATCACATGATATTTATAGAATATCAGGTAGCACAAAAACAGTGCATTCATGATTCTCAGGCAGGGGAATAACACAAAAGAAAGCAGTTTCCACCTCCTCATGCTTTGGGCAGGCACCGTTCTCAAAGTAGGTAAGAACACTCATTGCTAGGCAGGTACAATTCAAGGAACAGAGGAAAAAGATTTCTGTTTTCCTTCTTGCCTCCCCTCATCCTTCTGCAGGAAGCTTTTCTAAGCCAAGTCTGGGACTGGTCTGTTTTATTTCCACTTTGAGGTCAGCACTGTTCTTCTGCAGCAACTCCATGCACAGCCTGTGGCTACTTACAGTGTTTCTACTATTTTTCCAAAACCTGAGATGCCATAAAAGGCCCTTTTCCAGCTGCGAGATCAGAAGAAGTTCCATGCAAGCAGCTAACCAAAGGCCTCGCTAGTCCCGTTTGCTGTTTTCCACACAGTGTTCGACCCGATGCACCAGTGAGAGGCCGGAACCAGGGCCACACCCTGAGTGTAGTGGCACCCCCTGCGGGTATTCCCTAGCAGCTGGTGTGCACGGGCACGCTGCACCTGAAGCCGGGGTGGTCCACACAGCCATTGTGGCTAGCAGCTGCCTTCCGTGGATTTGTCTCATCCCCTTTGAAAGCCATTCAGATTGGTGGCCATCTGCCACTACTTCTTTGTGGCCGTGAATGCCACCCAGTACACAAAGAAAGCCTTCCTTCCATCTGCCCTGAATCTCCCACCATTCGGCTTCATTAAATGACCCCAGATTCTGGTATCATAGACGCATAGAATAGCAGAGTTGGAAGGGGCCATGAAGGCCATGGAGTCCAACCCTCTGCTTTTGCAGGACACCAAGTTACACCATCCCACTCAGGTGGCTGCCCAGCTTCTTTTTGAATGTCTCCAATGTGGGAGAGCTCCCACCTCTCTAGGCAGCGGGTTCCATGGTTGTATTGCTCTGACTGTCAGGAAACTTTTCCTGGTGTCCTGCCTCAATCAGAGTTGTCATAACTTGGGCTGATTCTTCTGTGTCCTATACTCTGGTATCAGCAAAAAGGAAGTTTGACCTTCCTCTTCGTGACACCTTTTGATGTACTTCCAGAGGGATATCATGTCCCCCCTCATTCTTCTCCTCTCAAGGCTGAACATGGCCGGTTCTCTCGGGATCTGCTCAGAGCACAGTGTTTCAAAGCCTGGATCATTTTCGTTGCTCTCCTCTGGACCCTTTCTAATTTTCCTGCATCTTTCTTAAATCCTGGTGCCCAGAATTGAACACAATATTCCAGGTATTTGGAGGGAAGGAGAAAAAAACATATCTAGCCTCACAAGCTTCACACCATGTGGAATTTAGTGCACCTCTTGTCCCTCGCCATACACACTCACTGGCCTCCCTCCCTCTGTGCTGCCCCCCCAGGTATTATGATGCTGTGGACGCCAAGAAGGAGCGGGCTAGCAGACACTCCCAGACCTTTGGTGCCAAGCAGCCCATGCACCCGGGAGGTGGGCCCGGACAGGTATGCTCAGCCAGGTGTGCCAGCACTGCAGGGGTGGGCTGGACACTTCCCCAGCACTACAGGAAAATAAATAAACGGCCTCCTGAATTCGTGCCAGGACAAGAACATCTGGTTGTCGCTCATCGACATGCTGCGCAAGAAGGACCAGCTGCCCGTGGTGGCCTTCACGTTCTCCCGCAATCGCTGCGATGACAACGCTACCATGCTCACCACTGTCGACCTCACCACGACCACGGAGAAGAGCGAGATCCACGTCTTCTTCCAGAAGTGCATCTCCCGCCTGAAGGGCACAGACCGCCAGCTGCCCCAGGCGAGCGTCGAGCCGTGTGCCCCAGGAGGCCCTCTTGCAGCATGGCCAGTGTGGGGGTCAGGCCTCTCGGTGTGGGGGGACAGCTTGGGCTTTGGGAGACTTGGGTCCCTTTGGCCTGCCGAGCAGCACAGCTCCGGAGTGGGGCTGGTGGGATGGGTAGTCATGGTGGGGCAGCTGCCAAGGCCCCGGGAGTCGCTTCTCTCCTCCAGCATGGCAGCCTGCCCTGGCCCAGACAGCAGCGGAGGTGAGCGGGGGGCAGCAGTGCTGTGGCTTCCATGCTGCTTGGCTCTGCCCGTCCGGCCAGAGAGAGGCAGCCGTGCTGAGAAGAGGGGAGGAGGAGGAGGAGCAGCTGGAGGCAGCAGTGGTGAGAAAGTGGGCCCATGGAGGGCATCCTACCACTGGACCCCAAAAACCTGAAGCTGCCTTTGCTTGGGGATAAAACAGATGGCACCGTGATAGTCTCAGCAGCTTGATTTGCCAGAAGTCGTTTTCAGCACAGCTGGAAAGCAAAGCCTTTGGGTGGAAGCTTCCTTTGCTGAGAAAACCAGCCTATTGTGCTCAATGAAGCACATTGCTCAGTTGTTTTAAACGTTTAACGGAAATATTCTGTATTGTTTTTAAACAAGTGTGAGCAGCTTGCATTTAACCTTAATGCTCTAAGCTGCTTGAACTGGGCTTCAAGCTTGTGGCTTCTGCGAGAAGGAGGAGCAGGAACCAGGGAAGAGAGAAGAGACAAGGGTGGTGCCTGCCTGCCTCAAAGTGGATTTCAGGATTGCACCCCAAATCCATTCACAGGTGGCAAAGCTGGCCACTCTCAGAGCTGCCTGCCTGAGCAAGTCTCCTTCAGGCTGGGCAGTGGCGAGCGGCAAAGGACTCCCATCCTCGTCTTCCTTGTTTTTAACAGCCGCGTGGTTCTGCTTGCAGGTTCTTCACATGGTGGACCTGCTGAAGCGCGGCATTGGCGTCCACCACAGCGGCATCCTGCCCATCCTGAAGGAGGTGGTGGAGATGCTGTTCAGCAAGGGCCTGGTCAAGGTGAGCGCTGCTCGGTCTCGCGAGGAGGGACCCAGTCGAAGGAGCAGCGCAGGCAGTAATCTGCCCTCTTTCCCTGTCACTTTCCCTGTTCAGATCCTCTTTGCGACCGAGACGTTCGCCATGGGGGTGAACATGCCAGCAAGAACCGTGGTCTTCGATTCGATCCGTAAACATGACGGGGCTAACTTCCGGGATTTGGTGCCAGGTAGGAAGAGCTGAGGAGTGCGTTGCTCAAGCCGCGCCTTGCTGCTGCCCGGAGATTTGCATGGGGCTGTACAGAACGATCGGGGTGCCAAATCCGTCCTACCGGTGAAGCAGAAGGGCAGGCAAAGCTCTCCCCACTTCCCTCTTCCTCCAGCTTTTCGAAGCACCTGTTTGCTTATCTGGCAGGCTTCCCTGTGGCCTGCCTTGAAAGCTTTTGGAGGAGGAACACCCTGGGGAGAAAGCCCCTCTGCCTTGCTGGCTCCCCTCAGAGCTGCTGCCGGGCTCTTTGCTGAGGCAGTGGCCACAGAAGCGCCTTGCCGCTTCTCTCTCCCACAAGACTGGCAAAGCACCCACCTGCCCGTGGCTGCAGGTCCCGCTTTGCCCGAAGCAAGGTTAGCGCAACGGGGACCCGTGTCTCTCTCGCTCGCTCGACTAGAGGCGATTTCGCACTCATCCAAGGGCTCAGGCGAGAACGAGGCGACGAGTCCCCGTAGCTTCCTTCCCGACAACCATATTGACCGCTGAGCCACCGCTGACCCCAGTGGTAGCATCAGCATGCACGCCTCTCCCCAAACAGCGGAGTACATCCAGATGGCGGGCCGGGCTGGGCGCCGAGGTCTGGACACCACCGGGATGGTGATTATCTTGTGCAAAAACCAAGTGCCGGAGATGGCTGATCTCCACCGGATGATGTTGGTGAGTCGCATGCACCCGTGGGAATATTCTCTCCAAATTTGTCTAGCACTTCCTTAAACCCATCTAGATTTTCAACTTGCATGAGTCCATGCAAGCTGAGAAAATCTGTGGGGTTTTTTTTTTTTTTAACTTTGCATGAATCTGTAGCTGATTCTTTTAAAAAACTGAGGCAGTGGTGAGCGCCCGTTGTTGTTGAGGGCCTCATTGCCTCAGGGATAATCTGTTGAAGGCTGTCTGTTGGCAATGAGCAGGGCCAAAACTGGTGGTGGGAGAGAGTGGAGCCAAAAGTGAATAGGTCACTCCTCTCTCTCTCTTTGCTTGCTCATCTCCTTCCCGTCCCGTCCCACCCCTCCGTCTCTGCTTGTCCTTTCCTCTGCCGCCCTCTTTCTCTCCCTCTTCTTTCTGCCTTCCCTTTTCTTTTCCCCCTCTTCCTCCGCCTCTCCTTCCTACATAACAGGCTGCCAGGTAAGGAACAGACCACGCTTAGCAGAGATCTGAACTGATCTTTTGCTGAGGGCTGCATGGGATTAGGCCGACTCTGCAGGGTAGCCGTCCTGATCGAGGCCTAATGTGTGTTGTGCTTGCCAATTATGTCGGGGAGCAAGGAGCTCTGTGCGGCAGCAGAGACCTGCCCCTCGTGCCCTGGCAGTGTCACTCAGTGGCTCCCTCTGGCTCTGGGGATTTCTGCTGTGAGCTGCCAGGCCTGTCTTCTCAGCCAGAAGGGCCAGAGGTCTGGGTGCTGCATTTAAAGAGCAACCGAGAAGCCGGACGCAGTACGTGAGGCTTCTTTGCTGCCCTCTCGGCATCTCGGTGCAGGTGCTTCCCGGCCTGATTTGTCCCCCGCCAGCGTCCTCCTGGGGAGCCGGATTTGCCCCGCCGCTCCTAATCCTCCACTTCTTCCCAGGGTAAACCAACTCAGCTGCAGTCTCAGTTCCGCCTGACGTACACCATGATCCTCAACCTGCTGAGAGTGGAAGCGCTGCGCGTGGAGGACATGATGAAGAGGAGCTTCTCCGAGTTCCACACCCGGAAAGACAGCAAGGTGCCCGGGGGCCGGGGGGGGGGGAGGTCTGGGGGCACAGTCAGGCGGCCTGTTTAGATCTGACTTGAGGGTGCTTGGCAGCCCACTGCATGGGGAGCCTCTGGCCCAGCTGATGGGCCAGCCTCTTCCCCATATCCTGCCTTCTCTGTTGGGGAAAGCGAATCTCGGACCAGGCGCTGGTGGGAGAGGAGAGCTTCTGCGTGCCGGGAGGCGAGCTTTCTCCCGTGATTCTGCTCTGCTTGCGTCTGAGCTTGCCCTGTGTGCTTCTGTGTGGTTACAGCAGGTGAAAGACACATTTGAGGCCCCATCCTTTGGCCATGCATGGTCCGCCTTTGGCCACACAGGCCCGCAGAGGGAGTGCAGTCCCCTGATTTTTCCCAGCTTGGCATTTGGCCCTTCGGCTGAAAAATGTTCCTCACCCTTAACCTGGGAGCCTGAGACTGGGAAGGAGGAGGAAAACTACAGATCACTGGGAGAGATGTCTGGAATAAATCGACGTGGCCTTCTGGAGAGTTCTGGGGGAGGGGGGGCAAGGGGGGGCTGTGTGCCTGTGCTTCCATATCCCTGATCCAGACCAATGTTGTCCACTCTGACTGGCAGCAACCCTCCAACCCTCCAAGGAAGCTTTTTTACATCACCTCTTGCCAGGGGTTTAATCAGAAGCCTTCTGCTTACAATACTGTGCTTTTCCACTGAGCAGAAGTCAAGAATCTGATGAGTGCTGAATTCCCAGCCTCCCTAACAGAAGCCCCATGTATCTCGTGTATTGGTTTTCTCTCTGGCCAGAGGGTTTTAGGAATTGTGGGGGAGGGGAAGCAGTGGGCCTGGTGCTCCATGGCTTCTCTTCTCCAGCTCTGCCTCTCCTGCTCCCCTCCCAGGTCTATGAGCACAGGATCACCCAGCTCAGTTGCATCCTGGCCAGCATGGAAGCAGTGGATACATCCGGGCAGCTTGGCGACTTGCAGGAGTATTACCAGGTGGTTCGAGAGCTGCAGGAGACCCGGGAACTCATACAGGTACTTGTTTTTATTTTTTTATTTACCTAAAGTTTTTCCTATGCCGTCCCATTACTAAAAGTCTCTGGATGGCTTACGAAGGACAAAAAACCAAGAACAAAGAGACCACAACAACAACAACACACAGCGCACTCCAACACACAACACTGTTTGGAAGGCTCTGCAGCTGTGGAGACCTTCCTCCCCTCACCTGCTTTGCTGTGGTTAAATTCCAATTTTAGGCGGCCTGGCTGATGCTTCAGGCATATTGCTTGGAGCCTCTAAGACTTGCCTCTAGGTCAGACCTGGGCATTGTACAGCCTGCGGGCCACATCCGGCCTGATGGCTGACCCTGACTGGCCCGCATGAGGTCACTGGCAAATTAAAAGTCCGTGCAAATGCATATCGTCCTAATATAGATGTAAGCAACACAACTGCACTGCTTTTATTTTATTTTGAAGGATCTGCTAAATTGAATTGAATTTATTGCTTTTCAGGTAATGTTAATGTTTTTGTGAATGTTCATTAAATAGTGTTGTTCTGTGCTCCACATTTTCATTGTATCATTGTAATGTTTCATTTACTGTTTTTATAGAGATATATATTGAGCAGAGCTGTCAGTGTATTGGTCCGGCCCTTAACAACGGTCAAGGTTTCTCATGTGGCCCCATAGGAAAATTAATTGCCCACCCCTGCTCTAGGTGCACTACCCAGAATGCATCGCGGGCTTTGCCTGATTCAGCAAAAACTCTTGTTGCAGGTCTGTTGGGCACTGCAGCAAGCCTCGAATAAGGGGTTGCCTAAGCTGGCGAATCGCTGGAGGTGCAGCACAGCTGATGCTTCTTTTAATTGCCTCTCATTTGGGGAGGCTCATGCCATGGATAAATCTTGTATTTGAACACCCTGTCCTACATGCTGACGTACATGTCCTCGAAAATTAGCTACCTATTTCCCAGAAGTTAAACCAGGGTCAGTGCAAATGGATCCACCCCACCCTTCTGGCAGCTGGAAGTCCGATATTATAACATTGGAAGGATCAGTGCTCATCTCCTGTAATCCAGTGAACAGAGGACCTAACGATTGAAGACCTTTCATCATTTGGTAGACACAACTTGCAAATCGATACTTACATGAATATTGGTCGGCCCTTGGTGCTGTTTATATCTAGTTTTTGGAAACCTGCGTTTTCAAAGAGAGAGAGGGAAGGGGAAGGGGTTCTCCCATCCTTGTTTCAGCAACTGTGACCCCCAGGCAGACCAGCCACAACTCACATCTGACTTGGTTTAAAGAAGGCATATATATTGATTGATTTGATGTCTGTCCTGGCTTTCCTTCCCAAAATGGTGCTCTAGGTGGCCAACTATAAAATCCAGTTGAAAAACAAGATTGGGATTAAAATAAAACATAAGAACAATTTGATTAATAATCTCACAATAAAAGTCATAGCCAACAATTTAAAACCCCTTTAAAAAGAGACCAGCTTATAGGCCACAGGAGAGAAAGGCCAAGAGCATCCAGAATTTTTGTTCCTGATCACCGTGTGGGGGTGTGAAAGCTGGAGGGTGAAGAAAGCTGACAGGGTGAAACGGATGCACTCAGAGGATGGTGCCAGTGAGCTAGATCAAGTCGAGCCAGAATTTTCTCTGGAAGCAAACATGACCCAACTGAAGCCATCGGACATCATGAGAAAGTGAGACTCCCTGGAGAAGACAGTCCTGCTAGGGCCCGTCGAAGGCAGAAGCGGAAGAGGGAGACCAGACATGAGATGGGTGGGCTCCCTAAGGGAAGCCTCAGCCTGGCCTTTGCAAGAGCTGAGCAGGGCTGTCTGGAGGGATCCCCTTCGTGGGTTCTCCCAAGTGCGGAACGACTTGAGAGCACATAGCCACAAGCTCAGGGCGACTTACTTTATATTGTTATTTATTTTATATTGTTATTTTTGTATTTTACTTCATGTTGTGAGCCGCCCTGAGGCTTCGGCGAATGGGGCGGCATAGAAATATTTTAATAAATAAATAATAAATAAATAAATAAGCTATGGGGAGAATCCCCCATTCTCCCGATCCGCCTGTCTTAAGCGAGCTCATGTGAATTCTGCTTGTGGTGCAAAAATGTCCACCACATATTGAACATGCTGCAGCCTTTGCTAAAGTTGCGCAGTTGGAGAGGTACCAGACTGACTTAGGAGGAGGCGATCCTGGACTTGTTGTGCTCCCTGAAGCCGGGAATGCAAGACTGGCTGCCTCATGAGGAGGCCTTGGGTATTAAAGTAGACAGGCTTCCTCGGCGTGAGGCCCTTCGCATGTGCTGGACTACAGCTTGCTGGGGGTGATGGGAGTTGCAGGCCAGCACATTTGGGTGGCTCCCACTTGGGCAAAGCTGGAATCCGAGGGCTCTTCCCCCCTTCAGCGCTCCAGGTCTAGCTAGCTGAGTGCCCTTGGGGTTCATTCTTTCCTAGCTGCTTCTTTCTTTCTTTCTTTCTTTCTTTCTTTCTTTCTTTCTTTCTTTCCAGAGGCGAGTCACCGAGTCAGTGAATGGGCTGAAGACCCTTTCTGTGGGGCGAGTGATTGTCGTGAAAAACCAAGAGCACAGGAATGCCCTGGGTGTGATCTTGCAGGTAAGTGGGGAACGCTGGGAACCATCACCCTCCAATGCTCAGGAACCCCCAAATGCAGTGCTCATGGACACCTGTCGAGGGTGCCTGCTCCTGGTTAACATTGTATGAATTTCTTTGTGGGGTGGTTTTGAGCTAAGGCAGCCTTTTCCAACCGTGTGACCTCCAGATATTTTGGATTGCACTTCCCAGCATTCCTGAGCTGTGGGTCTGCTTTTCAAATGAAAGTGCTTGGCTTTTGACTGCAGGTTTCCTCTGACACGGCCAACCGAGCCTTCAGCACCCTGGTGATGTGCGAGAAGGGTGCCGTGGAGCGGGATTCCAGCACAGGCAAGGAGACCAACCTCCCCTCCCGTCCGGACGTGCCTCTCCCGGAAGACTTTCTGCGCAGCAGGCTCTTCCTTCCAGAGGGTGAGATGATGGGCCTCACTGGCGGGTGGAGAAGGGCTGTGCCTGGGGACGTGGCTCTGCAGCTTAGCGGAACCGAGTGCCAGCCAAGAGCCAGGACTCTGGTTTGAAGACCCTGAGCAGGTCCACTTACTATATTTATGCCAAGGAGACACAAAACAGCCCCTTCACAAGATAACGTGGAAAAGACTGTTTTGCCTGTTAGGTGTTTGGAATGGGGCAGTGGCAGGAAGACAACACAATGTGAGGAAACATACCAAACATACGTCTTTCCCTTAGCTGCCTTTTCCAAGTATTGCTAGCAAGAATCTACTTCAAGAGAACTAGCAACTTGCTTTAAAAGGGGATTTTTTAAAACTAGGGTGTGGCCAGAAGAGAGGTGATGCTGCCCAGACTCCGAATTCTGCAAATCGTCAGCCAGTGCTGCATGTCCTTGTATGCTGAGTTGCAGCTACTAATGGGGTTTGCTAGCGTTTTCTTCCCTATTCTGCCTAGGCCCCTGCGGACACACCATCAAGAAGCTGGGCCCGTCCGATGTTTCAGGCATCACCACCAAGACCCTGCGTGTCAATGCTGAGCGCATCCTGGAGGACTTCAAGAAGCGACAGATGCCCAGGTTCAGGTCAGCTGAGAGGCGGCGTGGGCTTGCAAACACCGCTCCTGCATGGCTGACAGGAAGGGCACCATTCCTTACATTTGCCCCACCCAGGCGGTCCCACTCAGTCAAGTGGGCAGCCCTCAGGGCTGCAGGACCTCAAACAAAAGTAGAGCCTCGAAGGCCACCCACCCACTGGAGTCCTGTGCAAAGCATGGCCAGGAATGGGGTGCACAGCGAAGGAACGCCTCCTTCCAGAGGAGCCTCCCAGCCCTTCGGATCATCTGCAAGGTCCTCCTCCAGGAGCCCTCCTTGAAAGAGGGGGGGAGGGCCTTCTCTGCCTTAGCGCCCCGATTACGGAACTCTCTGTCCAGAGATCATGGTGATGACATTGTTTAAAACGAATTAATGTAAGCTGTCTTGAGGTTGTTTTTAATGACAGACGGTGTATAAGCAATTTTGAAGGGAGGAAGGAAGGAAGGAAGGAGGTAGTATAGATTTAAGAGGTCTTAGATCTGGTGCCCTTCTGGGGGCTGCTGCGTCCAACACATCTGGACAGCACCGGACTATGAAAGGCTGGAATTAAGGAACAGCACGTTGCACAAGGGCGTACTTTTGGTGCCACTAGAGCGCAACTCGCTCCCCTCCATCCCAGCCTCAAGCATCCACCTCTGGTGTCCTCAGCCCAGCCGGACATGGGCGCTGGGAGACGCCGTTTGGTGGTCTGCTGTTGTTCAGTCACTGGGCACAGGAAACCCTTCTCAATTTTACTCCAGACCCACCAGGGAGTCCAATCCTAACTTTGTGCTCCTTGTGATGAACCTCACCTGCTGGGAACACTGGAGGGGGGCGCTACACTGGACCCACAGCCCAGCCCCAGCCCCCGTTTTGTCCCAGCATGACCAGCCACATGACCCCCAAACAGGACACACAGCATCCCAGTTATTTTCCACTGCACTTGGTATTTACTGGGAGGCATTAGCCACCTTTGGTACCAGAGATAATTTATCGCCACCATGATTGGGCATTTGTGGCCTTATCCTGCATCAGTCCAGCATGGATTCCACCCACAGCAGAGCTGTCTAAAGAAACTAGGGGGCAGAGAGGGAAGCTGGTGCCCCCAGAATGGCCTCCACTTTTCTCCCATCTCTAAATTTCTGGATATGGCCAGCCTCATAGCAGGAAATAGAAATTCTTCTGCCCAATGGCTCTTCACAGTCACAGGGTGTGGTTCTGGCCCCCTTTGGATGGCTTTAAATGCGGACTGGGCAAATTCATAGAGGAAAAGGCTCTCAGCAGCTGCCAGTCCTGAGGGCTGTGTGCTGTCCCCTGTATCAGAGGCAGTGTGCTCAGGTGCACCACTGCTGGGGAACATGAGTGGGGAGGTGCTGCTGCACTCACCTCCTGCTTAAGGGCTTCCTGTTGGGGATGTGGTTGCCTGGCCTTACGTTCCCAAAGGTTAAGCGAACAAATGCTTTTCGAATCTGGGCGCAAAGGGAGTCCTGGGTCCAATTCCTGTGGCTTGTCCCCTGCAGAAATGATCCTCCTGGGCCATCTGCAGCCACGGCAACCCAGGAGCTGCTGCGTCTGGCTGAGGGCTCCCCCGAGGGCCTTCCTCTCCTGGACCCCGTGAACGACCTCCAGCTGAAGAACCTGGAAGTTGTGGAGGGAGTGGTGAGGGCGCGTCAGCTGGAGGAGGCACTGCCACAGTTCCAGTGCGTACACAGCCCTCGCTTCCACACAGAGGTCAGTCCAGAGTTGGCGTGGGACTGAGCACAGCTGAGTTCGGGGGCTTGGGCTGCCCGGGCACTCCTAGGCCAAAACCGGGCTTCGTTGCAGCATGTGTATAATTCCATGTGCTCTAGGGCACATTTCAGCTCTCAGATGCTCTCCGATTTCATGTGCGTCTAATTTTTAAAAAAAGAGCTGCTGTCCTCCTTACAGGAAAGTGCAGCGCACTCTGTTGCTGGACCGTACCTTCCGTCAACCCTACACTGCATAGCCAGTGGTGTGAGGTGATGGGGACTCCAGTACAACTCCTGGAGATCCAGATATTCCCCATCTCCTTCCCTGTTTTTGTTCAAGGAGCACTTAAAGTACAGAAGCTCCCAGAAAGCCAGAATGATCTCAGATTTCCTTGCTTGCTCTCTGTATAAAATTTAATGCACATCGCAGAGCCTGAGATCTTTCTGAGGGCTGAATTGCCTAGGCATACAGCCCCTTAAACATGGCTCTCATGCCGCTTTCTTTCATCTGTCCTTGTCCAGAGGGTGCTCAAGGAAAGGCCTGGGAGCGACTTTCCTAGACTCAGTGGCCCTCCAGACTTGCTAGGATGATGGGAGATGTAATCCACGGGGTTTGGTAGGGTGCCAGGTCGGGGGGAGCCTGGGCTTAGGCTGCAGCACTCTCTCCTCTCCAGTTCGGGCGCTTCCAAGAACGCCAGCGGGTTCTGGAGGAGCTGGAGCAGCTCCGCTTTCTGCTGTCAGACCAGTCCCTCCTGCTGCTTCCTGAGTATCACCAGCGCGTTGAGGTAAGCAGCTCACCTGCACGAGCAGCGGAGGGCAGGCCTGGGGAAACGGAGCGTTGGCGCCTGGGGTGTGCAGAGCTGTGGGCAATCCCGGCAAGCCTTGCCCGAGTCCCCTTGGTAGGCGTGAGCTGCACAGTGCTTCCTTTCTGCCCCAAGCAGCCCCTGCCCAAGAATCGAGGCGCACACCCTGCCCACACCAGCTCAGTGCAAATCGATTCCCTGGGCATGTCTGGGCTGTTCCTTTATTGAGGTAAACGATCCTCGTTTAGGACAGCGGTTGCAGTGCCAGATCTGGGTCGCCACTTCCTCAATGGTCTCTTGAAAGTGTTCCTTAGATTTTGCATACAGCTGAAAAGTAGTTTTGAAATAAAAGAGTCGGCTCTCCTCAGACTGGATCCAGTTTTATTCATGCTTGGAAGAAACAAGAAGTTTGGGCCCCAGATGGTGCTTCTTTCCCAGACCCCCTGATAGTTTTTCTGGCTTTTTTCAGGTCCTCCCCGCATACCCCCCAATTCTTAAAATGCCATTTCTAAGAGTGAGTCACTGGTAGTAAGAGTTTTGAGATCAATTAGGCTGGTATTTTTGGTCCTGCATGGCCTCTGAATGCTTCTCCAACATCGAATTGGGCTGTTGAGCTGGAAGAGCTTTGAAATTGTAGTCAATCCATTGAGCTCAATGGTGTAGCCAGTTGGGGGGTGAGGAAGGATAATCTAATACATCTGGAGGGTCCCAGATGGGGAAGGCTGACCTGTGGCACAGAGTCCATTTTATCCCCCAAAATAAACCCTGGTAGGTAGAGCTCTGGCGAACTGGTGGGTGGGCAAGGACTGCCGGCTTCCCTCCACGGCCACCCCGCTGCCCATCTTGTCCCCCTCAGGTCCTGCGTTCCCTGGGCTACATCAACGAGAGCGGGGCCGTGGAACTCAAGGGCAGCGTGGCCCGCCAGATCAGCAACCACGAGCTGCTCCTGACCCAGCTGCTGCTGGACAACGCCCTGACGGACCTGCGGCCGGAGGAGATTGTGGCGCTGCTGAGCTGCACGGTCTGCCAGGTCCGCACCCAGGTGGAGCCTCAGCTGCCCTCCGTCCTTCAGAAGGTGAGCGAGCAGCCGGGCAGGGCCCCGGCCTGGAGAGAGGCCCAGCTCCACGTTCTCTTGCGGGAGAAAGGCAGAGCAGAAATCCAGCCCCACAGCAGGGAGTTCCAGCCAGACAGCCATTCAGGTGCACTTGGGTGGGTGACCCCATGGCCCAGCCCGTGTGAGATGCACCGTCCGTGTCCTGCTTCTCTCTTTTAGGGCATTGAGCACATCCGGTCCGTGGCCGAGGAGATCGCCCTGCTGCAGCGCAAGTGTGGCCTGCGGGAGTCCGTGGAGGACTTTGTGGAACAGTACAAGTTCGGGCTGGTGGAAGTGGTTTACGAATGGGCCCGGGGCATGGTAAGAACTGCCGCTCCCCCACAGTCTCCGACTTCCCCCGCTCACAGATCTGCCTGGCCCTTCTCCGGACCGAAGCGTCCCCGCAAAGGCTGCTGTGGCTGGGCTCCGAGTGAAAGGGATGGGGACGAAATGGTCCCCGAGCTTGGCTTCCTGCTGGGGCAGGTGTGGGGAGCAGAGGCAGACCCACAGAACACGCCGCCACAACCAAACCCAAGAGCCTTCCCTGGTCTATGGCACGAAGGTCGCCTCCTAGCTTCTCTCTCCAGTGCAACACGTGTCTCATTCTGACCTGCTGCTGGCATCATGTTATGCAGACGAAGGTTTGAACGCCCAGCCAGACCCCCCGACCCGGCCTGCAGCCATCCTGTCTTAGACTACAACTCCCATCAGCCCCCAGGCTGTTGGGAATGGTAGCCCACGGGAGAGTGCCAGGTCCAGGACGGCTACTCTCAGCAGTGCTTCTGCTGCTGATGGCTGAAGCTGAGTCCCCGCTTCCCTTCATAAGCTGCCTGGGTCTTGTGGCAGGCGCAGAAGAAGTAGAGGACATTTCAGAATACAAGCAGGTGGCGGCAGTGCCTGGGTTCAGATGGGCTTTTCACTGAGCCCTTCCACCAAACTAAAACTTGGGGCCCTTAATCTATTCCTGGGGTCCCCAACATCGTGCCCAAACAGTTTGTCCGCAGCAACTTGCTTGGGTGCCTGCCAGTCTCCTGGCCTCTCCTGATTTTAAGCTTGTAAAGCCAGTTACTTTTCACCTCATTTCACCAGGTGGCTTTCTGGGGAATGGGTGTTTTGACAGGCCTTGTTCACCTTGTTCACCCACAACACACAACACTCCAAATGTGCCCATCAGTCCAAAAGGGACCGGGACCCCTGACTGGCTGGGGATGGACAAGCTGCCCGCATTGGAGGCAGGTTCCATCCAGCTCGTGTGTTCCTGGTGACTTTATTCTTCTCCCCACAAGCCGTTTGCTGAGATCGCCCGCCTCACAGACGTTCAGGAAGGGATCATCGTCCGGTGCATCCAGCGGCTGGACGAGACCTGTCGTGAGATGCGCAATGCGGCCCGGGTTACCGGGGAACCCACCCTCCACGCCAAGATGGAGGCTGCCTCCAACATGATCAAGAGAGACATTGTCTTTGCCGCCAGCCTCTATACCCAATAAAGAGAGAGGGGCACGGCCTTCAGCTCTGCTCTTTTCCCCAGAAACATGTCTGCTCATCTTGGATTCTTGACCTCTGAGAGGTTGCTGTCTGTCTTGCAGATAAACAATTAAAGAAGCCTTCTTGGCCACAGGAAGGAGTTGGATGCATTTCTTACAGCACAAAGCAAAGGATGGCGCCAGGCACCCTTTACTGGAAAGATGGTAGATTCTGCCCCCTCCTGCAGCTGCGTCTTTCCTCCCTTGCCAGGTCCTGCGGCGTTTAAAAGCAGGGAGCCGGCACCCCACTTCTACCCAGCGCCAGCAGGCACACGAATTCAGCCTGACTTGGGGGCAGACCCCCATCGAAGGCTCTCAGGCTCTGTTGTTCAGCCGCAAGTGGAACGCCAAGGCGGTGGTAGCAAAAAACCTTAATGCCCCTTTGAGCTAAAATAACAGAACCAAGGTTTGAATTCCAAGAAATACCAGCCTCTTTTAGCTCAAGGCTCTGAACTCCTAAGCCTTTGGAAACAAAGTCCAATCTTTTAAAATGCGACCCAGCAACACATGATTAGGGGAATGGGAGGATGAGCCTCCGAGGAGCTTTGCCGGGGAGCATTGGCCCCAGGGCCTGTGACTTCCCACTCCTGAGCAACTCCGAAGGGCCAGATTTGACTTCACAACGGGAATTGGAGGGGCATGTGCTTTCTCTCTCTTCCCTCATCATGCCAAACTTCCTTCGGTGGTAGAAAGTCCATGTTTGTTTATTACCTATTGCCAGAGCTGTCCTCCTTCCACAGTGTGAGTGAGTGTGTGGGGGGGAGGGCACCATGGAGCTCACGCTCCTGCACTGCTGAAATTCAGAACGGGAAAAAAATAGCCTCTTTAAAAATCAAAAAAAGAAGCTTGCAAACAAAATGAGGCAGTAGCAAAGGGTTTCGTTTAAACCCAAATAGCAAGACACCCTTTTTGCCAGGCTAGGCAATTCTGGGCCATCCAGGGGGCTGTTTCAAGTGCCCCCCGCTCCAGCTCTTCAGTCAGGAGTCCCCGGGGTGGGGGGCTTCTCGGTGCTCAGTGTCTCCACATACCAGTCAGGCAGGAAGGTGTGCTCAGAGTCCCGGTGCACCGTGAAGGAGACCGGGCGGCCCGGCTCCCAGGCAAAGAGGTGGACCAACCTGGGGGAAGGAGAGCCATGTTAGATGTGGGGGAAGGAGCCCCGTGCTCATGTCTTTATCTGCTCGAAGTATTTATATGTGCCTCTTGGGGCGATGCCCTCACAACGCAACCCCCAGGAGAAGCAACCCCCCGCCCACAAAAGGTGCTCCAGGCAGCACTGGTCCCTTGCGGACTTCAGTGCCTTGCCTCCCCCGTTTCACTGTCTTCACTACTTCCCTTTCCTCCAACAAGTCCTAATGCTCTGGAACCCCAGGGCCCACTGCCTTCCCTCACTGCTCTTCCACCACCAATCTAACGTTTTATTTAAAATATTTCTAGGCCTTTTTTCAGGACACGAGTCCTCCCAAGGTAGCTAACAACAACACGGACAGACAGAACTTGAAGGAAACAATAGCAAACATGCGCACCCCCTTAGCGGAAGGCCACGGACACGAGGAGGCTGGCAGGGTCTTCCTAAGCGACAGCGATGCCTGGGCCTGGCAGGCTTCAGTCCAAGAACGACCTTCTGCCAACTCAGATGGCGCCAACGGAGCTCTGCTAATCGCTCCGTGGTGCAAGCAATTGCCCGTTATGCTTGCACACGCGCGATTCGAGCCCAGCTGTGCACCCAAGTCCCACTGAACTCACCTCCCATACACAGCTCAGAGCGCATGCAACAGGTCGTTCGTGCCGATGGAGCCGTACAGTTCGCTTCTGCTCTCAATGGCAGCCCATTCCAGAGGTGTGGGCTATGCTGAAAGAGGCCCTCTCTCAAGCCCTTGCCCACCTGGCTGCCCCCCAACGATGGACAAGGCAGAATGTCCACTGTCACTGTTGTTAAAAGGCAGGGAGGCCAATATGGGCAACTTCTGCTTCGTCTCCTTTTGGACTCCTCCCCCCTCAACCTCTTTTAGGTGCCCTTTTGCTCTCAAGGCACTGGGCAACATCTACAGTCTACTGTCGTCGTCAGCCACCCCAACCACATGCCCTCCGAAAGTGCTGCACTACAACTCCCATCATTCCTAGCCAGCATGGCTACTGACAGACAGAAATACTCAGACGGATCACCTGCCACATCACTTACCCCCAGTTGTTTTCTGCCTATAGATCGCAGGGCTTGAGCCTGCAAATTTCTAGATGCGAACCATGCACCGGGAACCTCAGCTACATCGCTTCCTCATGTTTAGGTTCCTGCTTCCCCGCTATCCAGAGGCAGTGTTAGGAGCTGGTCAAGTAAGGCCAGAGCCCCAACTCCCCCCCATTTGGAGCCCTGAATCTCTGGGAGGCCATCTGTCCCCCACCCCTCCCCACGGTCCACAGGCTCCTGTTGAAATACTACTACAAGGCCCTTGATTATTTCTGCTGCACATGGGTACCCCTGGCTCTTGCCTACATCTGCTTCCCCTCCCTTGAATCTTTCTGTCTGAAGTGCTCTGAAATGAAACGCCCTCCTCTCCCATCCATACTTCCCACTGCACAAATATGGATGCCTTTAGGAGACAGGCCCTTTAAAGAGTAACACAAACGTAAGAGCACATATAAACCAGCATATTCACGATTATGGTTTTTTGCTGTGAGCCTCAGCTCTGGATCTTTTTGCTAACCATACTTACTTTCTCCTCCTCTCAGCCCCTCAATTCAAATTTCTTTCCTCCTATGTTGCCTATACCCAGGATCTGTCTTCCCTAACCTGGTGCACTGCAGATGTTTTGCTGGACTACAAACTCCAAGTTCCTTGACCACTTACCATACTAGCTGCGTCTGAGGGGAACCAAAGTTTGCCTATCCTTGCTTGCAAGAAGTGGAAGGCCTCTGAGTCTAGTTAGTGGATCTATAGGCATAGCACAGAGGTGTGATCATGAGGACTACTCACTTTGGATTGTCTTCTGTCACCACTTGCTTCACAAAAGCTAGAAATGCTGCACAGAAGTTCATGCACACGGCTGGCTTCCAGCAGTGGGGATCTTCCTGTCAGGAAGGAGGAAGAGGAGAGGTTGTTACTTAGGAGAACAACCAAGAGTGTTAGTTGCCTGCATTCCTGCAGCCAGGTGTACAGTGGCCTGATGCATCCCCTCCATGTATAAGGAAATAATGCTCTGAAAGGAGCTGGGCGGGGGGTGTCTTTTTATGCCCTTGGACTGATATGGCAGCAACTGCTGCAGCTTAATGACCGAGGAACTGGGAAGTGTCCGACTACAAAACGAGATGTTCTGAGGGCAGTCTTGGAAGAAAGCATGGAGGACTCGGCCCAGAAAGCAAGCATTGGAAGAAACAAAGAAAATAACAAAAGGGCAGGCGGAAGCCAGGACTCTTCAGATCTTTAAAGAAACACGGGATGACACTAGGTTTGTAAAAAATATGGCAAATGACAGCGCTGCTCCCATGGTGCCCAACCAGTGGCCGGCGCGACATGCCTGCAGCAGCACTCTCCCACTGGAGTTCTCCGGCAAGGGAGATAGGCATGCTGCCTCCGACACGGGGGGTGGCATACAGCCATCAGGACTAGTGGCCATCGACGGCCTTCTCCTCCATTGATTCATCTGACCTCTGAAAGCCATCTAAACTGGTGGGCACCTGCACATGCTGTGGAAGTCAACCTCACAGCTTAACTATGCGCTGCATGAAGAAGTCCACCAGCCCTTCCACCAACCTGCCTCATCAGATGTCCATGCTGGGTTCCAGAATAACGGAAGAGGGCCAAACACGTCTTGCTATCCGCTGACTCAATACCATGCCTGATTCATTTACACCTCTTTCAGTTTCCTCCGCCAACTAGGCCGTTTCTAAGCTGAAAAAGCCCCCAATATGCTAAGGTTCCTGCCCCTTGATAATTTTGGTTGCCGTTTTTGCACCTTTTTTTAAGCTTTAAAAGAAAGAGCAGAATAAAAAGACCTTCCCTGGTGCTGAAAAGAAATATTAGTGGTCAATGGAGCTTCTTGACTTTGAACAAAAGGATCCAAGATCCCCAGGCAGATGATTTTACCAGAATCAGACTCACCCTAATGAACTGGAAGATCTTCATGGTCTCAAAGGTCTCTAGTCCCACAACAGAGCCATCCGGGCTCCGGTATCCTACCACAATCCGTGGCACACCGGGCAGGAAGGACTGAGCCCACCATTTGACCATCTTCTGCCTGAGTATAAGAGAAATAAATGGCAGGATCTGGCCAACTCTCCCCCTCTGTTGACATCTTTTTCTGCCCGCTTCAAATATTCCCTCCCCTGGCACTGCCTCTAAGTATACATCTAAACTGCTTTGGTTTGCAAGCTGAAAGAGCTTCAACATCCTTGCCTTATGTCCTTCTTATAGGTTTCCCCATATGAATACAATCATAGTCACAGAATAGTCAAGATGGAAGGAGCCAGAGGGCTGTTGGATTCAACCCCCTGCTCAGTGCTGGATACTCCAATGACTGTCTAGCTGCATCTCGAATGCCTCTAGTGTGGGAGAGCCCCCAACCTCCCTAGGTTCTTGGTTCCATTGTTATACTGCTCTGCCAGGAAATTCTTCCTGATGTCCAGCCAGAATCTGGCTTCCTGTAGCTTAAGCCCATTATTCTGTGACATGCACTCTGGGATGATCAAGAAGAGATCCTGGCCTTCCTCTTTGTGACAACCTTTTAAATACTTGTAGAGCGCTATCATAGCTTCCCTCAGTCTTCTTTTTGAGGTTAAACATGCCAGATTTTTTCAATCTCTTCTCACAGGGCTTTGTTTCTAGTCCCTGGATCATCCCGGCTGCCTTCTTCTGAACCCTTTCCAGCTTGTCTGGATTTTTCTTAAGCTGTGGAGCCCAGAACTGGACACAGTACTCCAGATGAGGCCTGAGTAAATGGAAGCTAGTACTTAATATGATTTGGAAGTGATACTTCTATTAATGCAGCCTAAAATAGCATTTGCCCTTTTTGCAGCCACATGACATTGTTGACTCATATTCAGCTTGTCCCTACCGAATTTCATTCTGCTGTATTCAGCCCAGCACTCCAACCTATCCAAGCTCACCTTTAATCTTATTTCTGTCTTCCAGAGTATTAGCTATCTCACCCAATTTTGTGCCATCCGCAAATTTGATACGTGTTCCCTGTACCTCTTTATCCAAACCATTAATAGAAATGCTCCCTCCTCCCATTTTTTTTCAATTAACCTTTTTCATACCATCAGATAGGATGGCTGTGACCCCTGTAGCCAGCCTGCTGGATTACAGCTCCCAGATTCCTGACCATTGGCTATGCTAGATGGGGCTGATGGAAGCGTGCTTATTTATTTATTTAAAGTGTTTATATGCTGTCCAGTACTAAAAGTCTCTGCTGCATGATCTTTGGTTGGAGAAGGCTGTGGGAGCAACCATGGCTCTGCTGTCACGGGTCCTGTGGGCACCGCCCAACATCACCTTTGCAACCCTTTCCCTCACCTGTAAAAATTCCTCCTCTGGGCAGGGCTGTGCATGGGCTTACTGGTCTTCAGCTCCACATAGCAGCTGGGCGGCCCTGGCCAGGGGCTCCGGGGGTCAGTGCAATCCACCTCCCCTGAGAAGAGGAGCGAGTGGGTACCCAGGCGGGTGCGGATCACTGTGCAGAATGCCTCATTGGTATTCACGACCCCGGTTGGATCAGAAACCCCGTCTGGTGTATCTGGAGCAGAAAAAGGGGCTTAGCCAGACCCATGAGTGGCTCATATTGGAGGACAGGAGCAGTGGGACAAACCTCCCGGTTTTTTAAAGAGACAAGTCAAGCAAATTGGTTAGAAATAGGGCTGCTCCATTTAAATCAATCGGGACGCAATCCTGTGCTTGTGCAGACAAGCTCAAGTACTACAACTCCCAGCATTCCCCAGTCCACTATACTGTAGGACATTTTTCCCTACCTGAACACACACAAGATTGCAGCTTTTGCTGGACTAACCTAGCCTTCCCAATCAGGCACCTTCCATAACCTCTGGACTGTGATCCCATAATTCTCAGCCAGTGAAAAGGTTGGTGTTGCATTCCAAGACACCTGGAAGACACCAGGTTGGGGAAAGCTGGGTTAGCAGGCTGTTGCTGCTTTAAGAAACTCGCACTTGTGACAAAGAGTGCTAGAACTGGCAGCAGACTTTTAAACCGCTTGTTTTGATGCAGTATTTTTATGGATTATTTATTCTGTTATAAAGATGGGAGACACCAGCCCTTGTAACTAACTGAATAAAACTGCAGCTACCATCTTGGAAGGGACATTTACCTTTCCTTCCATGCAGAATGGAAATGCCTCTTCTGAGATTATAAGGACACACGTCCTTCACCTAAGAATGGAGAACACACATTCTCTAAGGACACACGTTCATCACCTAAGAATGGAGAAAGTATGCTCTTTCCTTCATCATTTGCCATTATTCACATGCAAATTTAATTGATATTTAGTCTGTCATTTAAACTCCAGACAATCACCTAAGACTTCAGTCCTATCCAGTTACCACAAGGAAGCCCCACTGAATTCAGCGTACAAAAGCTCCACTGAGCTCAGAGGGACTGACTTTTAACCAGGCGTACACAGAGTTGCTCTGTAAGGTTTAATCATGTTAAACTCGTAATTAGAAAAATGACTTAGAAGTTCATTGACAGGGAAGGGAATGTGATAGCTAAGATGGGGTAGGGGAGCTAGAAGTTTGGATTTAAGGATATGGAAGAGCAGTTTAATCATTTTGGTGCCAGGTGAAGACAGCAAACTATTTTAATAGGTTACTATTAAACTATTTTAATAGTAAACCAAACTAGTTTAATAATTGATTTTAGTAGTAATCTTGATTTTAACCCGACCCTACTCTTGGCTTATCATGCTATGTTAATTTTATATTGTTTGCTCAATAAGCACAACAGTTTTTATGTAATTATTTTAATTTGCTGGATTTTGTTTCTTATATATTTTGGTTGTTATTGCTGATGCTCTACAGATTTTAAAATGTTATGTTGCTTTAATTGTCTGTACGCCACCCAGAGAGCCCAAGTGTGGACTAATGTGGTGGCACATACATGGAAACAATAAATAAATGAAATAAAAGAAGCCCACCGGAGAAAAGAAGGTCTCCAGTGTAACCTTACCAGCGCACATGTACTGCTCAAACTTGTAGCCCATATACATGAGTTCCTTCAGCAGATCTGAGCGTTGCTCCCGCTGCCTCCGGGCAGTTTCAGTCTCAACTTCACTGATGTAGAGGGTCCCACGGAAGAGGCTGACAGCCAGCAGCCACCCATCCTGAGTTTCATAGGGGGTGGTGAGCACTTTGGTGAGATGCCCCCGCCAGGTCACAAAGTCTGCATTCAGTGCCCGCCTGCACAGTTGCAGGGAAATGGGGATCGGGGGGCGGGGGAATAGGATCGTTAAAAAGCAGAAAGAGACATGCAGGGAGAGACAGCTAAACTTTGTACATGGGAATATCAGCGTCTATCTCCAGTTAAACATGTGGTCTACTAGATAATACATTTTTTCCCATTTCTATGTCTTCTAGTAGTGGAAGCTTTCTACACAGTTCACAAACATTGCAAACCACAAATACAAGAAAGTAAAACATAGTGTAAACATTTTAGCATACAAAACCTAAAACCATTTAAGCAACTCAAAAAATCATTAAGATAGTACACCTGGAAAAGATACTGATCCAGATGCACCCTCATATGCCATTAAATGGCTGGGAGAGGAGAGCAGTCTTAGCCTAGCACTGAAAAGAGGTCCGTGTGGCGCTAGGTGGGCCTCAGTGAAGACTGCTCTGTAAGCAGGTGCCACCACGGAGAAGGCTACCCTGCTTGCTGCCACCTTACAGATGTTGCTGGATGCGACTCTCAACGCCTTAACCAATACAGCCAATGGCAAAGTACAGTGGGAGTTACAGTCAACAGCATCTCGAAAGCCAGTCCTGATTTAACGGATGTGAAGGCACAGAACTCGCAGTGCCATAAAGCAGACGCTGATCAGGGCACCAGTGAAAAGCATTCGCACTTGCTTTGCCCGCGGAAGGTCCCAGGTTCAGCCTCTGTAATTTCCAGGTAAAAAGAACCAATTCTTCTGCCTGAGATTCTGGGAGGAAGTTGCCAGTCAGGGTGGGCAATCCCACATTAGCAATCTGACCTGATAAAGCAAATTCCTATCTAAAAAAATCCTAAATCTAAAAGGCACATTCCAGCTTGGGGATTGCTTGTAAATATTTTTTTAAAAAACAGAACTGCCAACAGAGTAACTTCTTTAGACCACTCTGTGGTGCAACCAGGGTCCTGAGCATAGTTCTCATTGCCCTTCCTCAAATCAAATCAAATATCAAATCAAATCCTGTAGAGGCTACCAAAATGACCACAGCAGTGGAGCTACTCCCCTAAAAGGAAAGGGTACCAAATTAGGACTCTTCACCTTAGGGAAAAACGTCGAGTTTTGGGACACAAAACAGAGGTGTACAAAATTAGGCACTGCACAAGCACAGCAGATATGGAGTTTGTCCCTCTCTGATAATACTAGAATTCAAAGCTGTCATCCCATGAAGTTGCTTAGTGGGAGAGTCAGGAGAGAGAAAATAATTTCCCCAACCAGCGTATAGTTAAAACTGGAATTTAGAGGGCTTTGAAAGAAGGCTGAGAAGGTCATCAATGGCTACTAATTCTGGTTTTATTTATGTCATCTCCCATATTACGCTACTCCCAGTAGCAGAGCAGGTATGCTTATGTACATCAGTTGCTGGGGAACATGGGCAGGAAGGCACTGTTGCAGTCACATCCTGCTTGTGAGTTTCCTGTAGGCGCCTGTTTGGCTTCTTTGTGAACAAAATGTTGGACTAGATGTTCTGATCCAGAAGGGCTCTTCATATATTCTTTTGAGGCAGGGAGGGCAGGGTTCAGACAACATAAGGACCCAACTGGTTGAATAACAACCCAAACCCAATTTTTGGGTGCAGCTTCCCAAGCATTGTTCAGCTCTACCTCCTTGCAATGAAGAACGGCACACACCAACTCACCCTTTGTCCTCCGTCCGTAACTGCTTCCGGTTCTGAGCAATCCATCTGAGCAAGTGCTCCAGTCCTTCACGGATGCTCTCATCCCGCCGCACGTACCGGTCACAGTACCCGTCACGCAGGTCAAATCCTGGGGAAGGGCCCTCAGCAGGGGGAGGGACATAGTAGCGCAGCTGCCTAGCATCCCCATGGTAACAGCGCTGGGCATCCAGGGAAAACTGTCCAATCTCAGCAGGCCGCCGATAAAAGGGGAAAGAGGCATCATACTGAGAGGGAGTGACGGGCAATGTAAGGGGAGGCTTCATCTCCATCCTCGGGCCCTTGGCCCTACGGACGGCCGAGACATCCTTGTCGTCCTCATGGCTGCGGGTCTTGGACATGACTGTGAGCTTCACTGGGGCCTGTGACTGACAAGAGGAAAGTAATTGTGACTTGGGCTTCCATGTACATCTGGCACATTGTCCTTATCTGATGGGATACACACATTGCTGTAACAGTGGCAAGCACTTATAGGAGCATTTCCCCTTGTTCCATTTTTCTTTACTTCCCAATGGCTTTTCTCCCAGTCAGAATACATAGTGAAGAGCACCTCCTGTGGTTCTCTGTCAGCATCTTTTAGGCAAACTTGTACTCCCAGAATAAGTTTCTAGTGTGTCTGTATCTGTTGTGAACCATGTTTCTCCCTCCAAGCAGTATCAGCCTCAACAGTGTTTCTTTCTTTCCTTAATGATCTTCATTGCTACACAAGTGTCTCTGAGAGACACAAAGTGAAGTGTTGAACCCTTTCTAGAATTCATTTCCCAGAATGCTCTTTATGAGCCCTTCCGTGTCTCAACTCCAGAGAAAGTGCTCTGTGAGAACAGAGCTCCTCTGCTCCTCCCATTGTGCCCCTACTTGGACTTCCATCCACTGCTGACGAAGGGACACCAGGTCTACATCCTCAAGGGGTGGAGGTTCTTCATTAGAGAGTCTTCCCATGTCGATGTCTCCTCCCTCAGGTTGTAATTCCTCAACAATCCGCAGCAGCCTTGTTGACAGGTCTCTCCACTGCCCTTAGGCTAATCTCTCCCACTGCTACCTCCCCTTGGGTACCTTGAACTGCAGCTGGAGTCTGAGCCATTACAAAAGCAGTCTCTTCCTTGAAATTAGAATCTGAATTGTCAGTACAAGCAGTAGCAGGAGTTTCCCATAAGCACACCTGAAGCTTGACAGGATGCACATGAGCTACATAAGCCTCACACCCTTACCTGAATAAGCTGCCCTCCATACAGGTTAAACTACAAGAAAAGAGGGTACTCGAAAGATGGTCCTTTAAGGAATTATTATATTTATATCTTGCATTTTCTCCCCTCTTGCAAAGAAACCAAGGTGACTTAAAGGGTGGTCCTCCTCTCCATTCTCTCCTCACAACAACCCTGTGAGGTAAGGTAGGCCGAGTCAAGGACTGGGCCAGAGTCAGCCAGCAAGTTTCATAACTGAGTAGCACCTGAAGCCCAAGACTCTAATCACTACACCACACTGGCTGCAGCCGATGGGACTTGTAGCTCAACTCGCACACTGGACCGGGGGTGGGGGGGGCGCAATCCTACACTGACTGGCAGCGGCAATGGCGGGGGGGGGGTCAGACTGCGCGTGGTGTGTGCACGAGTCCTTCCCACCTCTGCCTGGAGATGCCCCCAGAGCCTTTTCCCCCACAAGGGCTCTTTCAGCCTCCACCCGTTCCAGGCCTCAGAGCGACCCTTCCTCAGGCTCCCTTCGTATTCCGTTATGACCCTGGAGCTCTCGACCCTCCTCTCTCCTACCAACTGTGCTCCGCACTCCTCCATCCCCATCTCTCAATGTGAAGCTCACTCCCCCTCCCCACTTCCTTCTTTGGGCGAACCCAGGAGTCCAGTTGGCAGGGGAAAGAGGCCACCCCTTCCTTCCTTCCTCTCTGAGCTCTCCCCTTCCCACTCCCAGAACCAACAGAGGACGCGGAATGCCCCTCCGTTTTGGCCCCTCCGGGCTCCCGTACTTGCCTGCTGCGCCGCCGCCACGACCTCCGAGAGCCCACGTAACGGCGGCGGGAGATGCGAGTCCCTTTGAACAGCGCCGAGGTGCTCGGGCAGCGCGCCGGTGACGTCATCACAGGAGGCCCGCTAGGAGGGAAGCCACCGCCCTGCCCTTTGCCAGTTTTCCCCAGAGGAGTCATGCAGGTCAACAGCATATGGTCGGGAGATGGCGATCGCTGCCCGCCTCCTGCCTTCCGGGAGTGGCTTTCCAGGCAGAGCTCGCTTTTCAAAACAGTGCTTGCATGTGTGGGAAATAATCATAATTCTGTCGACCCGTCTTACAAGGTTGTTGATATGGCCAATCATTTGGAGGCTTGAAGTGTGTGCAAATTTGTGAGTGGCACTGTTAAGGATTTGATAGTTACTGTCGTCACTTTCTTCATTTAATTTCCTTCTGTTTGCAATTTTCTCCCCAGCTACCCCAATCACCATATGGTACATGTGGTCGAGTCGTAAAAACAAAATAAAAGCCCTCCAGAATGGCCTGCCCATGGCAGCCCTGCTCAGCTCTTGTAAATTCAAGACTGTGGCTTCATTTATGCCGTCAGTCCATCTCATCTTTTGTCTTCCTTTTTGCTTCTGCCTTCAATTTTCCCTAGCATGATCCTCTTCTTCACAGTGAGTTTCACCTAATCACTGTGCACTCAAAGTATAGCAACTTCAGTTTTCTCATTTTTGCTTCTAAAGCAAGTTCTGACTTGATTTGATATGAGGTGCACTTGTTTGTCTTTCTATTAATTCAGCATATTCAGAAAGTTCTCCTTCAACACCATGTTTCAAAGGAACAGATTTTCTTTCTGTCAGCTTTTTTCACTGTTTGTTACTACTTGCAAAGTCGTCTCCGACCCATTGTGACCCCATGGACAACATTCCTCCAGGCCTTCCTGTCCTCCACCATCCCCCGGAGGCGACTTAAGCTCACTCCATCTAGCCACCTCATCCTTTCCCATCCCCTTCTCGTTTTGCAGTCAATCGTTCCCAGCATTAGGCTCTTCTAATGAGTCTTTCCTTCTCATTAGGTGGCCAAAGTATTTGAGTTTCATCTTCAGTATCTGGCTTCACTGTTAAGCTTACCCAAATCTGGGAAACCTCATAAGGCAGTAAGTTTGCTTGGTGTTTCTGACCAATAACAAACCAGATGAGACAGCTTCTTCATACTGACGACTACACGCACACGCACAAAGCAAGGTTGCATGCAGCACCCATCCAAACAATGCAGTTTTCTAACTTCCTAATTTTTATACTGTTGCCTAACCATTCTCTGTCCTTTCCTTCTGCTCTACCAGTTGTTATAGTGGTGTGTACTTGCCCCACTCGAGTCTGGGTCCAACTAGTTTCAGCTGCCCCATCCTTGCCTCTCTTGGTATTTGGGAGGGGTTGATTCCTGAGCTTACATGGAGGTCAGCCATCATTGTATACGTGACTAATTGAACAGCCTCTTGAGGATTATAATTAGGGTGGATTTATCTATCGCTCTTGATTTTTTTTCTAGGACCTTCATTGCTGTTCTTCAAAGTCTCAGTCTTCTTGAGATTTCTTGGCTGCACTCTCCATTTGAATTGATGGCTGTTGCAGGCCTGTGCCCTAAATTCAGGCCTGGGTCATGTTGGGAAAATTTGGATGAATCCTGTCTGAAAAGCATTACTTCTGTGTGCCTTTTTGCATTGTGGGATCAAATCCTGTCTTCCTTCTCAAAAACCAAACTGTCACTGTTTAAAATGGCATTCCCCCACTCCTTTCTCTCACCTTTAGCTGTAGGCTACAGCAGACAGGCCATTCAGTCCAAATATACATTGTAAATAGTCATTGTTGGAATTCAAGGAAGTCTCTTCCTAGCCCAGAGGCTCCATGTGCCCTGGCCAATTCAGAATGTCTAGAGTAGATAAGAGTCTTGAGTTCATGCATAGTTTCAGTAGCTTGAATTTACATGTCTTAAGCAGACCTGGAGATGGGTTCAAGCTACTGAACTAAAGTGTCAATACAGGCAATTAGAAATATTGTAATCTCATTGTTAGTGTGTGATTGACTGACATTTCTTTATCTGTTCTGTATGTGATGACCTCAGAATCTTATTGTAATGTCTACATTCTGTCATCAATTGCCCTGTACCTGTATGTGACTGGGAGTGTATAAAAACTCTCTAGTTGTGTTGACTTTTGCAGCAGAGTTCACTCTGCCTGCCCGGTAATGCATTATCGTGAGTATGGACCCGCGGGGAACCTGGGTAAAACAATAAAGCCTCGGATGGTCTGGACGCTTGGTCTTTCCCACGAACCCGAGTTTTATTTCCTCTTCTCAAATTGAGATTCCAGGATTCTGACAGTCACTGGCTCCGAAAAATGCAGGCTTTGCTTCGGCTGGATGAATTCTAGTTACCTGATCTGTTTGCATTAAAATGTAGCACCTTAGTTATCTTTCCTGACCCCACCTGAGCACCTTCACAATAGGGAGACACCCTCTTGGCCTGATAGCTGAGTCAAAGGATGACCATGCCATTGTGTTCGCCTCTTTGAACCAACCTCTTATCGGCCCTGCTAATCCTCGGCCCTGCTAATCCTCTTCTGCCCTCACGTAGGCCATAGTTGATGAGCTTATACTTGGTTGGCTGGCCAACTCTGGCTACACCCCATTGGCGTGGCCCCTTCAGAGGACATGGGACCCCCTCATCTACGGTGCCTTCTTTCTGGCTCCTTGGCCCTCATTGTTTCTTGGCACCTGTGCAAACAATCAGTATCCATGCTGCCCCTTCTCTCAATGTAATCAGGTCTCCCCAGTACAGAAACATAGAAACAGAGCGAGTCAGAAGGGGCCTCCTGGGCCATCTAGTCTGACCCCCAGCTTCAGCCGGCTCCACTCACGACATGCACACCATGTGCATGTCCAACCTATCTTTGAACACGCTCATGATGGGGCCTCAGCAACCTCCCGTGGATGCCCATTCCATATACATTGCTGTCTGCTTGCTGAATGCCATGCTCTGCTGTACGTACGTAACCTATATAAGCTGGCCATTTTGTTGTACCCGCGGTGTTACAGACGAGGTCAGAGACCGGATGGTAAAGTAAAGAGGAGATTTATTCCTGCAGCAGGGACCACATTCATGGAGGAATGCGGTGCTTGAACAGAGTTGGAAGGAGATCTTTATACCTTCACAATCTGCTTTCGGCAAATGGGGAACAATACAATCAGTTTTTGACAAGAATGAGAACAATGGCGACAATGGGGAGTTAGAGAATCACATAAGCAGTTGAGCAAGCGATATACAGAAGCAGATTTGGTTAGCAGTAAGTTTTATCTTTTAATTTACACCTTCTAAGCAATCTTTGCCCATTACGTCTTTGGTAAGCTTTTTCCATTTTCTGAGGGAATTCTCTGAGGCAGTTACTAGACATTTGAATGGGCTAGAGCTTAGGAGAGCTAAGCCTATCATGCATACCCTGAGACAGCTGATTATTCTAGTGTTTGGCCGTGTCATGCCTATCTGGAGCCTAGAGGAGTCATGCCTATCCTGAATGCCCTGAGAAAGCTGATAGGTATCTCTATTATGTCAGGATCCTGGGGAGTCAGGTACAACACATTTCCCACGTGCTCTTGTTCAGACTGACACTGAGGGGGCTACACTGACCGTCTGTTCCAGCCGACTGGGGCTGACCTTGTAGGTTTGGGAGGACTAGCTAGCTTACTTGTATTTTATTGACAAATAAATTCTCCTTGTAAGTAAACCTGGAGCTGGCATATTCTTTCCTTGGAATCCCAAAAACCTCTTGCCCCCAGCCAGAGCAATTCAATAATGGTTTCAAAGTATGCAAATTATTTCACAATTTCATTTTATTCATTATTAATAGCAAAGTTGCACAATTCCCCTCTCTCTCTCCCTCCCTCCCTCTTGCGCGCGCGCGCGCTCTCTCTCTCTCTCTCTCTCTCTCTCTCTCTCTCTCTCTCTCTCTCTCTGTGTGTGTGTGTGTGTGTGTGTGTGTATTCAGCTGCAGTCCTTCTTTTGCAGTTTCTTCTTTATTATTTAATTTATTTAGAAAGCTTCTATGCCACCCCATTCGCTGAAGCCTCGGGGCGGCTCACAACAATAAATAAATAATAACAATATAAAAACAATATAATTGGAGACGTCCTGGCCAAAGATGTTAAATAAATAAGTAATATTAGCAATTGAAATGACATTTAAATAAAAAGGTCTTCACCTGGCGCCGAAAAACAAATAACGATGGCGCCAAGCGGACCTCTCTAGGGAGCGCATTCCATAGATTGGGCGCCACCACAGAGAAGGCCCTCCTCCGAGTACTTACCCTCCTAATATCCTTCATGGAGGGTTCCCGGAGAAGGGCCTCTCCCGCTGATCTCAAGAGGCGGGTGGGCACATACGGATGTAAGCGCTCCTTTAGGTAACCAGGACCCAAGCTGTTAAGGGCTTTATAGGTAATAACCAACACCTTGAATTGGGCCCGGACTTCAATGGGGAGCCAGTGAAGCTGACAGAGAACTGGAGTCATGTGAACATAACACCCAGTCCCTGTCAGCAGCCTGGCAGCTCTATTTTGAACCAATTGAAGTATCTGGACCGTCTTCAAGGGCAGCCCCACGTAAAGCGCATTACAGAAGTCAAGTCGGGAAGTCACCAACACGTGTGTCACTGTCGGCAGGCAGTCGTTCTCCAGGTAGGGATGCAGCTGATGGACCAGCCGAAGCTGAAGGAAGGCGCTCCTAGTCACCGCTGTCACCTGAGCTTCCAGTGAAAGCTCTGGGTCGAGGAGCACTCCCAAGCTGCGGACCTTTCACTTTCATTCAGCAATTGTTTCCATTCACAGTTGCTTTCTGCTAGTAAGATGGTGTCATCTGCACAATCACCATATATACAGTATATAATAACTGTAATTCAGAATAATATTGGATGAGGTCTTAACAATGTCCATTAATAAATGTGTTAGTCTTTGAAAAGTCTCAAGGCTCTTTGTGCATTTTGGTGCAATAAACTCATATGGCTACTTGTCTAGAACATTAGAATGCAATGTGTTCTTCTTGTTTGGAGCATTAGAGTTATTATGTGTTCTGATTACTCATCCTTGCTTGCAGACATACGTTCATAGAATCATAGACTAGTAGATTTGGAAGGGGCCACCAACTCCCTGCTGCTGCAGGACACTGATTCTTTTCCAGACAAGGGCCTTTTAGTGCTGCCAAGGCCCCACTCCCCTGTAATCGGTTGGAAGCAGGTCCATCAGTGCAGCCCTAGATGCCCTGTTACAATCCCGCAACGCCCAGCCTCAGGGCAATGACAAACGCTGTGTCAGTCCTAGCATTCCAAAACAGGGAAGTCCAACCATTTGTTTGTTCTTCTCTTTGATTAGCACACAGGCTTCAGTGTGAAAAAGAAATGAAAAGTTAAAAAAAAACACATGGATAAACTACACCAGTATCAGCTTTTAGTTTAAATGTAGTAGAGGGAAAGGATTTTTGTTGTGGGGCATGTAACAGGAGAGTTATCCAGGTGGAGCTCCAGCAATCACACTGTCACCCATTTCTTCCACTTCAGCCATCTCAAATGTGTTTTGCCAGTCCACAGAAGGCTGGCACTGCAACTGAATTAAAGGTCAGGAAAATTGCCAGAAACTAGGTCTTAAAAAGACAAGATAAACAGAATGTTCCAGTGGGTAGCCCACATGAGCAGAGATAGCCACAAAAACTCTTGTGGCACCTTAAAGACAAATGGGTTTATGTGGGCATGATCTGTCATGGGCATCGGACACTTCACTGCTTGTGTGCTATGTCAAGCTGAAACTTGCAGATCCACCCATGCGGGGACGAAGAGATGTAAACTGTGCTGTCAGAGGGGAGTGATATTCATGAAGTACCGGCAGAAATGGTTCTTAGGCATAGGAGTCCTTACCATGAATAAATAAAATAAAGCAGGCCATGGAATTTCTTCATTTTAGCAGTAAAATTTAGAGAAGTGGACTTGTTCTTGCAGTTGTTGGGCAAGTGAAACTCAGAAACACTGATCTACTGTAAATCACTAAAGGATTTCTCAATAAAGCCCTACCTATTTAACTTCCCCCACCCACTTACCATGAAAGAACAGAAGCCTTGTTTTCCCACAACCAAAATGGCGCGAGGCGCTTCCCTTTTGGCTTCCTCCCCTAATAAAAATGGCGGCTCTAGCCGGAAAGAAACTAAATCATTGGTTCCTTGCGCAATCAATCGAGTCTCTTCTTCCCGGCCACGCTAAGGATAGAGGTGTCCGGCAGTGTTGAAGGGGGAATGACGTTATCTTTTGGGGACGAGGTAAGAGCCACGTTAATGCAGGTAAGGCTGGGGATGGGTGTCATTATATTTGCGAGGTGCAGGCTGTTAACGTCATTTGGGGGGTTTATGGGAGTGGAGAACAAAAAAGGAGTAAAGGACCCCAGGAAACTGACAAGTTGTAAATCGGGCAGGAAGATGTTCAAATGAGGAGGAGGGAAGGACGTGAATAGGGCAGACTTTTCCAAATTAGACGTTTCCAAATGGGATGTCCTGTGGTATGGCCAATGCATCTGTTGATATCCAAGCTCGCCTTTCCACACTCCTCCCCCAGCATTTAAACATCATCCTCTCTGATGGCTAGATTGATTGGGGATGATGGGGATTGCAGTGCAGTAGACCCTTGGGAAAGTGTGGAATGGGAAAAGGAATGTGAAGGAGCTTTAACAAGAAGCTTTAGAAGAAAACTCTACGCTATGAACACTTTTTCTGTGATGTATTGATTTAATATTTCTTGGGTTCTATTGAGGGCAGGAGAGTTCCTAAGGCAGTGAATGACAATGAAGCTTACATAATCCAAGCTTACATTTTGCTTCTGAAGGTTCTGTAATAGCCCTGTTTATTTTTGGTTATAGACTGTGGGAGATGCTGAGCAAAGTACTGGGACGGGGATAGACTGCTGGGTGGTTTCCAGATAATTTGGTATGCAATTCCATCAGTTGGAATTACATATGCTTCACTATTGGGGTTTTGGTAGTTGTAGCCCAAAACATCTGGAGGGCACCATGGCAGCTTATTCCTGTCATGGTGAATTTGGCAAGGGTGTGAAACTGATACAGAGCTTGCCTTTCTTACACAAAGAATTGATGTTGGTGTGAAGAGAGCAAGAATGTTCGTATAACTAGCCTGTTTAAACAGTATTTATTTATTTAAAATATTTTTACTCCATCCTACATAGAAAAAGTCCCAGGGTTGCTTGCAGTTCTAAGAACAATAAATAAACAACATATATAATATCAAACAAAAACCAAAATGTGACTGTAAATATATTAAAACCAAGTTAAAATTCCTCGATCCTTAAAATAATGGGTAAATAAAAAGGTTTTTACCTGGCACTAAAAAGAATATAAAGTTGTGCCAGGCAAACCTCTCTGGGGAGTGCATTCCACAGTTGGGGCGCCATACAAAGTGGGAACAGCTTTTTAAATCAATAGAGTGTGGGTGTGAATCCTCCACATACTCACCACCTCACCTTCTCTGCATTTTTTCGTTTTGAATATTTTTCTCACAACAGAAGTGGGGAATAAAATGTCTGCAGGGAGGGGAGGCATGTAGGGAGGTAAAGTAGTGGGGGAAGCATGTTCCTGTTTCTTCAGCTTCCCCATGCGTAGCTTTTACTGTGAAAGAAAAAAAAGCCCCACTTTGCTTTAGATGTGAATGGATGAGATACGTGAGTAAGCAGGTGTGCCTACCAAGTGATGCTCAGTTTCGCTCAACAGAACGCGTGGCACTTTCAGCATCTTTTCTACTTTATCATAGAGATATTGAAGTATTGGGGTTGGTTGGAGCTCCTTTGTGTGTGCATGGAATCTATCTTTGTAGGACACATTCACACACTTACTGTTTTACATTGTGTGGTGGTTTTTGCTTTACTTTCTGGGGAGTGGCAGGCAGAGAGGCAGGACTTTTTTAAAATTCAGAATGATGTGATGTTCAAAGATTATGCAATGCAAGAGAAAGCAGCAAGTGTGTGATTCAATCTCAGAAAGAGTGCAGAGTCCATTTTGATGACTAAAATTGCTAATTGGCATAGGTGTGACCCGTTCCCACTTGTTTTACAGGTCCTCCTTGTATGCTTTTGCTGAATCTTGGCACAGAAAATTAAGTAGTTGGTCCTTCGTTTTGAGGCACTGAAGTGACTTGGAAAAAGGCGGGGCTGCTGAATTTCTACACCAACTGTGTTTATTAAAGGTACAGAAACTGTGCTAATATATAAGAGAACAACCCAAAGCAGTGGCACCAGGGAAGTGATGAAAGCTTGTTATAGCACCAAGGACTACCTGAGAACTTTCTGAATGCAAGAAGATTGTGAGGTGTTTGCTAGAATAATTGTTGAGTGAGGACTGAACCTATGGGAGGTCTATAGAAAGGGATATGGATTACAGGCTTCACACAAAAAGCTTTTTGAAGAAAAGAAGGCCTTGCAGTTTTACTGGGGAGGAGCTAGAGAAAATATTGCTGAGCCTGAAGGGGGATGCTTTTGGAAGGGGCACACAGTATGGAAATGAGGTAGGGAGGTTGGGAGACTGGTAAAGGGAGCACGGCCTTTGGGAAAAGCACGGCCAGGCAAGCGATGGTCTACAGCAGGGGTGGGCAATTTGTAGCTTTCCCTATTCCTTCTTTTGGCCTGATCCCTCACCATTGGCTATGCAAGTTAGGATTGATGAGGGTTGTAGACCCAACACTTGGAGGGCCACAGTCATGAGCTATGGAGTAAACACCCAATAAAATGCATAAATAGGCAATTGTTGCTCTTTAGCCCTCTATTTCAGCCACATGAAACGGAAGCATCAGCTCGTCTCTGATTCTCTCAAGGCCAAGAAACAACGACTGGCCCCTGCACCAGAGCCCTCGGAGCAAGGTGAGAATGGGGGGAATGTTTTGACATGCATCTTCTGAAGAGGGTGGTGAAAGAGAGAGCAAGAATGTGTGAATGGTATGGGGGAAGTCTTCTAGGGCAGGTACAGGGAACCCTAGAGATGCTCTTGGCAGCTGCATTTCAGTGGTGGCTGGAGCCAAAATACCCCAGGCATCTTTTTGGCTTAAAGCTCTCTCTGCCTGCAACTAAGACTTAGAAGAGGCATTGCAAACCTTTTAGAATAAGGGATGGGATGTGTGAAGCTGGAAAAACCCAGAAACAAGTGATGGGGGCAGAAGGGATAGGGCCAGGGAAGAGGGTGTCTGAGTTGGGAACCGATACCATACATGTTCTAGGGCATGCTGAGCGTTGTGGCTCCTGCGTTCTTAAGCAACCCCTTCGATATTTCTTTTCCTAGAGGGCCCTGGGGCAGTTGATGCTGCTCTCCAGTACTTGGTGTCTCTCTTCCCTCGCAAATTATTTGAGGATTCCCTGCCGCCTTTGATTCTGAGACACCAGATCTACAGTCTCATCAAAGACCGCACGACGGTGGACAGACACCTGGTAGGCAACACCTTCCGCATTTCTGATGTCCTCCATCCCAACCTATTGTCAAGCCAAACCATCTAGTTCAGCATGGCTTGAGCCCCCTAGAGGTGTTCTGGCATCTTTTTCCAATGGCGAACTCAAGAGATGTGCTCTCATTTTAGTGCCTGGAGAGGAATAATATTCTCTCTTCTAATGTTGTGAGGAGGAGAATTATTTAAGCTACCTTGACTTCCGTGGAAGGAAAAGGGTGGGATATAAATACAGTAACTAACCATGGAATGTTGGAGAAGACGCTCTTTAAGAAGAGGAGTGTCTGTCAGTGCCACAGTACAAAGACCATGAAACCTAAGCACATGCATACAACAGGGGCTTAGGGGTTATGTACCTCATGATTATTTTGTTTCAAAAATATCAATTTTCATTTCTTCGTCTAGTTCAAGCAGTAGCCTGCAGCATCCTCCTCAGCCATAAGGGGAATACACTTTCATCCAATGCATTTGAAGCTGTGGGGCATGAATAGGCCGAGGGACAGAGTCCTGGGCCTGCTCCCTCCCCACCACTACAGGGCAGCCAGCTCTTCTCCCAGGAACGGACAGAACTCTCTGAGATGTTCAGTCCCTGGGCTCAGGCTCCTCAAAGTGGCACTTTGCTTGGTGGCTGGTACATTTTGAAGCTGGGGGGATTCGTAGGCCAAGAATGCCAACCCTTCTCCCTGCAGAGTAACAGGGCAGACAGATCCCTCTCTTGCAGGGTCTGGGGTGCACCTTTTCAGGGGCCATGCCAGGAGACACGGCTTCACCCAGATGTAACAAGCACAGTGTTTGACAGCCCTGTAAACTTGCTTGAAGTCTTTGCTGTGTCTTTTGAGCTGTTTGCCCACATACAAAGCCTGGACCATTCACGAGTAATACGTAAAATTATTTGAATTCATTATATTCTTTTCAGCACCAGGTTAAAACCTTTTTTATTTAAATGCTGTTTTAAAATTTAGTAATTTTAATAACAGTCACTTTGATTTATTTTTCTGGTTATATATTATTTTACTGTACTGTTTTATTTTTGGTACTTGCTGTAAGCCATCCTGAGACAATTGTCATAAAGGACGGCATACAAATGTTTTAAATAAATAAATAATAATTAAAATAGGAAATGTATGAACTTTCAGAGGGTATTCTGCCCCTCCCCCTGCCTCTTTTCCAGTCCCATTGAAACAGGGTATGTGGGGGAACTAAACTTTGAGGGTACCTATTCTACTGCCATTGATCCTTTCTATAATGCAAGGTTATTTTCCTTGAGGGCATGAGGAGGCATGCTCGGGATATGTTCCAACATGTTAGTTTGGAGGCACAAGGGGATTGTGCTGATGCGCCCGGCTATTTTCTGCAGCCTTGGGTGGCTTCGAGCGTAGATGGGCAACCGCTCCTTCACTTCTCTCTCTGCACCTTTTAATGTTTTCCACTCTTTCAGTTTGTGTGTGAACTGTCTTTGGGAATAAATTAAAGCAAACCACAGAAACCTTTTTATCTCTGCAGAGCCAACTGAAGGATGAGGGATGCATTCGGATGTTCCAGCATGGCTTTGATTCCGACACTTTGGTTGTTGCATTCACGGACAGTTATAAAGAAAAGGTCATACATCTGCCCAAGGGGCTCCCAGGCTGAGTAGAGGTGTTGAAGCATCTAGGGAAGGTGACAACTCTGTGACAACTCTTCCTCCTCCTCAGGTGCTGGAGTTTGTGTCTGGGAAGGAATTTGCCAGGACAGTGCAGAAGTTCCTGGATTCTGTCTTCACTTCCTGCCCTGACATCAGTTTTGACAAAAACAGGATGCTGAGGGAGTTTGGCTTCAGTGACATGGAAATCACGTAAGCAAGTGTTTCCCCAGTGGGGTGAATGAGTTGCCATCCTTCCCCTGCAAATGGCAGGGAAAGGATGTGAAGCAGATGTGAATTTGGTCCCTGTATTAAAAGCTGGGGTTTTCTGAGCATTTACTGCTACTCTGCTGCCCAACTGAGGGAGGTCTGTCTGCTTAGTTTTGCAAATAGACAACTTCACGGAGGATAAGGATTAAACATGATCATTTAAAAAAATCAATTTTTGAGTAGCCCTGTAGCCAAAGCTGCTGGGGTGGCAATAAAACCAGTGATGGAACACACAACACAAGTTATAAAAAAGAACTTAAAAGACCATTCTCAAGCATTCTTCCTTTCTTTCTAGGTTATGCCCATGTTAACAGTAGATGTCCATCATAAGAACATGGACAGATCCCTGGCAGATGAGACCAAAGACCTCTTTAGTTCAGTGTTGAGTTCCCTCGGCAGCCAACAAGATACTTCAGTGGGTACCTGAATGGAACAGCTCCTTCCACTGAAGCTTCCTAGCACAGCTCCTTCCTTGCCTCTCATATTGAGGTAGCACAGAGCCCCCGGGACAAGGAGCCAATGAAAAGCTTCCCCATCAATGTCCAGTCTCCATTTAAAGCCATCCACATTGGTGACCATCACTATGTCACATACATATATACATACATACATACAGCCTCAGCAGTTATAGGTGGCCTATAAATACGTGTATAAATAAGTATCTTGTGGAAGTGAGTTCTGCAATTTAAATATGTGTATAAATAAGTATCTTGTAGAAGTGAGTTCTGCAATTTAAGCTACACCCTGAACCGTAGCAAGGACATTTTCTGCCAACGTAAACCAAACAGTATTTCTCCTAAGATGGTGCCTACCCCTTCATTTTTTAAGAACTTGTTTTAAGAATAGCCACGATTAAAATAAAAATCTACAGCATGACTGAGGACACCTCTTAAGGAAATGAAGGGGTAGAACTGATTGGTCAGAATGATCTGCAGTGCAGTCCTTGCATGTTTACTCAGAAGCAAGTCCTCGTGTTCAGATGGGGCTTAATTTACAGGCGAGTGCTCATCGGACTGCAGCCCTGGCGCGGTGGAATGTGCAGCTCACAAAGCCTCATACAGCCCGTCCATCAAGTATGCTTGCCTGTCGGGTGTTTGGCAGCCTTTTTGGTCTGTTAAGAGGCTGCCATACCTGACTGCAGGGTGACATTCAGCTCCATGGGTTTCAGGTTGTGCGAATCTGCATTGTCCACTGTCGAGCTCTACTGCCTTCTGAGGAAGACAGAGCCATGTTTGTGAAAGGCCCCCAGCCACACTTTCCTTGGCGTCTGCCTCACTGAGTTCAGCCCTGGAAACAGCTGCCTCTCAGCACTAAGGGAAGAGCTGTTGGTGAGGGACACTTACTCCTGTCCCTTGTGTTGTGTCCAGGCAGTTGGTGAATGCCGGAGTCCTGACTTTGCGTGATGCGGGTAGCTGGTGGCTGGCAGTGCCGGGAGCAGGCCGCTTTGTCAAATGCTTCATCAAAGGTTTGTTTGCCTCCTTCCACTAAAGGGCTCGCCTGATGCTGACATTGTGGGCTTTCCAGTGCCCAGGATGTCCTTTTCTCAGGTTATTCAGTCTTAAAATCTTTTAAAGAACTACCATATTTTTCTGTGTATAAGATTATACTTTTTCTTTAAAATATTTACCTAAAAATGGAGGGGCGTCTTATACACTGGGGGCCGAGAGGAGAACCGTGGGCATGCTTGCAGGGGAGGTGGGCACGGGTGCACACATGCGGGGAGGCGGCGTGTGTGCACATGCCGCAGCAGCAGCTTGCTCGCTCGCTCGGAGATCAGTAAGAAAAGTGGGGGGTGTCCTATACATGGGGGCATCTTATAGTCGGAAAAATACGGTGCTCTTTTGTTTTTTGCAGTTTTAAGATCTTTGAAATTGGGGAGGGCCCTGTTATGTGTTGTTATTTGTTGTTAATTTTATGTTGCATCCATGTTTCTAGACTGCCTTCTGTAATTGTGTTTAACTCTTACTGTAAGCAGCCCAGAAGACATTAATTGTATATAAATACTGGGTTCAGTCCAAATTTTGGTGCCTGCAAACAGGCAAATAGAAGCATTACACACAGTGTCTCCACTTGACTTTTATTGATCCCCCTTCCTACCTTCACCACAATGTACCCCATTCTGTGGGGCTCTACACACTTCACTGTAGCATTTTTGTGGGGCTGGAGGGGAAATTGTGTTTTCCCTAACTAGACTGCCTATATCTAAATTTGGATACAACCCATTGTAAATACATAGCAAGGGAGCAGCTTTCTGATCTGTGTATCTCTTCCCAGGAAGGAAAGCTGTGCTGAGTATGATCCAGAAAGCCAAATACAAAGAGGTTTTGCTGTCTGATCTGCAGAACCGTCGAGCGCCAAGTGCTGTGAAACTGGGCCTTCCCTACCACATACATGACATCATTGGAGCCCAGCTAGTGGAGTGGTACTTGATTCTTGTCCTTTCTTCACCCATTACGCCTTTCCTCAGATCCTAGCTTGTTTGCTCCTTGGGTTTTAATCTTGCCCCTCTGCAGTAACCCACTTACCTGGGAGTGTGTCCCACAGACCTTAAAGGGACTTAATTTCTTGTATAAGAATCTGTTATAATGGCATGCCTGTTTAGGCGGGGGGAAAACACTTCAGATTCCTGGAGGTAGAATATGGCTTGTATCTAAGGGTGGGTTTTGCTTAGAGTTGACCGGTTCAGATGTTAGGCTAATGCTGGATACAGTCCCCTGTCTAAAAGTAAAAGTAGCCCTAATTGTGATCCCATTCTGGCTTTCATGTCTTCCTCCACTCATTCATGTCATGAGCAGAGACGGCTGGAGCCGGGGGTCAGATTAGTTGGCCCGGGAGGCCCTTCTGACTTGCTCAGTTTCTGTGTTTCAAACTGACATGAACATTTCTTATGTTCTTTAGTGTGCCAACCTCTTCTGGGACCTTTCTCCGACTGGCTGATGACTAAGCTTGTGCAGCATCACCATCAAATGCCAAGTTGTGCCTGAAGTGGACTGAAAATATCCCTTAGGCTTGCAGAGTTTACTCGGGCACAGGGACTTCTTCCTGAGCCCCCACCATTAGTGGGAACAAATAAACTTATTTCCAGCAAAATCACTATTTATTTATGAACAAAAATATATTTTGCACTTAATATGGGTCCTTGTGTGAGAAGAGCATCTTAGCAGGACCTTTGACTGCCATGTAATGACTGCGACTGGACATGAGAATGATGAGAGCAAGGAGCTTGCAGTGTGACCTGCAAATGCAGAAATACCATGAGATGCCTACCCAATTAGAAACAGAAGAGCGAAGATCTAATATGCCCAACAGGCAATTCATTCCTGTTCACGTGCTGTCAAATGACTAAGGAAATACCTTGAACTTTAAATAAAAGCTGTTCCTTTCCATTCTTTCTGGCTTGTTCATTCTCTGAGGTATTCTGAAAATGTAGCCTGGTGGTGATCTTCATATCATATTTGTTTTTAAGCAGGTGTTTCTGCCCTAAGCAGGTATACAAAAGCTTTTAAAAATACTGCTTCTAGAACAGTGGATTCCTACTTGCATTTCTAGCAGAGGTTTTCACTTGCATACCCCTTGGCAGCCCACTTCTATAAATTGTATCCTTCATAATGGCAAAATGTTTGTAATTAATATATTTGCTGTTATTTCAAATCTATGGTGTAACTGTAAATAGCCCAATAATGGGATTAAAAGGCAGTGAATACATATTTACATTCAAAACTCAAAGGAGTTTTCTGTAATCATTCCATTTTTTCAAATACCTCTAAATGTCCTGGCTCATACCCAGGTTGGGAATCACTGTTCTGGAACAAAGTATAAAATAGCTGAAACAGAGTAAGGGTAATCAATTCTTTGTCCATTGTATGAGAAAGATGAGGCCCCCTATAGGGCTTGCAGAGCATGAAGAGAGGTTCCTGGTGTGTTCTCTTAGGAGTAGGGGCATTTGAAGAAGGAACTGAAGGATTTATAGCCCATCCCTATACAAGCTGATGCAGTTGCACCACATTTATGCAACTGCGTAAGGCAGGAGCCTTAATCCAGTATCTGGGTTTGGAAAGGCTTGCAGGCCAGACGTGAAGGCAGACCGGTTTAGCTTGCTCCCCGGCATCTGGTATTCAGAACTGTTCTGGGACAAAGTAATTATTTGCTCGTAGGCCTATCTGCCTGAATCTTTAAAACGAACGAACGAACGAACCCAGGGAGTCGTAGTCCCTAACCTGGCGCCCTCCACAACTCTCTTAATTCCCAGCCAGTTGCCTGGAAACTAAGGAACTCACACTCCCAACACAACTGGCTAAGGAAGGCGGACCTAGAAGTTGTTTCCTGGAGTCCTCGTAATGCCTCGTGGGGGAGAGCACGCTGCGAGCCCCAGGCCTTTTGTCCGCTACCCCCATCAGTCCCGGGCGGCCCAGCCTTGCCGCCTGGACGAGGCCGGAGAGCCGAGGCGCTCGAAGACGAACCGGGTGCGTAGCTCTAGGCGTTGAAGTCTTTATGGCAGAACTCTCGCGCTTCCAACTGCCATTGGACGTCGCATGGGAAACCGTTTCCCTTTCTGGCCGGAAGTGCTGTCAGCTCTTTCCCGCCCATCGTGGGAGAGTCCCTCTTGAACCAGCCAATCAGAGCTGCGCTGTGGGCCCGGCCATTGCCCTCCCCCAATGGGCGGCTGGACCTTAAACAAGCGCGAGCGCCGGCGGGGAGCCGGAAGCGGCTGAGCGGTAGCGCTCGCCGCGATGAGCGCCAGGCAGGAGCCCGCTCGGAGGGAGCTCTGGCCTCTCGCCCTCCTCTTTCTGGGCCTCGGCTGCTGCTGGCAAGCGTGTGGAGCGGCCTCCCCGAACCAGGTACGCGGGCGAATGGACTCGGAGCCGGATGTCGTCCGTGCCTCCGTCCTTCCCACCTCTGAGGCGCAGAACGAAACTGACGCTTCCAAGATGGGCTGAGGCAACCGGTCTGGCTGGGTTTCCCCCGCCCAAGCGGAGCCGTAACAAAGCGGGTGAAAACAGCCGGTCTGGTGGCATCGAGGCATTCGATCGAGGCGCGCACGAGCTGCCTCGTTTGCTGGCATAAACTGCCTTGTTTGTTTGTGTCTCCTGTCTCTCTTTCAAAGAGTCCGAGGCAGTGTGCGGGGTCTCCCCCACTTCATCCTTTATTGCTGTGAAGTGAGCGAGCCCAGGAAAGCGTTACTGGATCAGGCTCCCCCACTGAGCTTGAAGACAGAGTGGGCGTTTGAATTTGGGTCTTCCTGTCGCTAGATTAGCACTCTACAACCAGCCTGCCCCAACCTAGTACCCTCCAGTTGTTTTGGACTGCAGCCCCAGCCAGCTAGGCCATGGGTGATGGGGATTGTCATCCAGGTGGAAGGCCTTTTCTATGAACATCCATAGACCCAAAAGGAAAAAAAAATGCGGTGAAATGCTAACGATTGATTTATTGATTATGGACTGGGTAATTGTGTTTTGCTTTTGCATTATAAACACCATGAATATATCAAACTATTGTGATGCCTTCAAGGCAACGCTGAAGTGCTGCGTTCCCCCAAACTTCTGGCTACTAAGGTTGCTTGGAATACCTTATAGGAGTGGTAGTGAACTGGTCACTCTCTTCAGTGACTTTTCCCTTAGGAAATGCTGGTGTGGTGTCTTTGTGCATATTCGATGTTGCTTGCTAAAATGCTCTCAGAACACATCTCATCAGTAGTTGACAACTGAGATCTCTACTGGCTGGCAGGCCCTGGCAGAGTGGAGAGCTCCTGGGGAATTAAATTCACCTGGCCCTCAGGCTGAACGTTCCCCACCCTGAGGTGTGTGTGTGTGTGTACCCAGACACAAGAAAGAAACAAGGTGTTGTCATTCCATTTGAAGCTGGCTTGCCTTTTGAAAGGATTCCATTGATATTTTATGTGTATGTGTTTAAGCTGCTGTAGAGGAGCTAGTAGCATCTGAGGATTGATGTAGAAAAAATAAAGAGGATTTTTTTAATGTAAGGGTGCTTATGAAAGATCACTGAAAGTGCATTACTGTTGCAGTGCCAGATGGTAAAAGAGCTGTTCTTTGCTTTCCTGTTACTTTCTCCAATCTGTTTAAAGATAAGCCTATGAGTGAAATATGGATTATTTTAATTTATGTTTGTTCTTACGAGCTTATGAGCCCACTGTTAATTTGAATGCAAAGTGCATTGTATTTACTATACTGTAAAATGTGTGTTTGTGTGGTGTTGGTAAAAAGATAGATCCATTTGGTACTGAACAGAAATGTTTATATGAATGTGGAAGAGGGAATGAGGAAAGCCAAAGTAAGAGTCTTTGCTGAGTCCCTTGGAGAAAAGGTGGCATGAAAATAGACTAAGAATAAATTATTTGATGACCCACTGTAACCATCTCAGCCTTACACCCTCCGGATATGTTGAGCTACAACCCACATCATTCTTACTAATGATAATGCAGTCCTTTTTATCTTATGTACTACTTTAAGGAACATTTTTCATTGTGGCTGCAAAATATAGGCAACATTTTGATCAACATAGAGGGGAGTGTCTTTCTTATGTGTATTGTGACGATTCTGGGAGTCCTAAACTAGAACCCCACTTGCCTGGTTCAGTATGTCCAAAAATGTTTTCAGTTTCATGCATTTTGCTCCTGGTTTTGGTCTGGTTCGGTTTTTAGAGGAGTTAAAATGCATCTTGGGACTGACCTACAGTTTTCAGAATCTTCTGGCTAGCTATGACCAATGAAGTTCCAGCATTCCTGACTATTGGAATTGCTTACAATTCCCAGAATTCCCTAGCTAGCTACACAACTGGAGAGCTCTTGTCTGAGAGAGGCTAGAATAGCCTGAAATATATCTGAAAGAGTAAGCACAAGAAAGACAAAACAAGCAACCAAGAAGACCTTTCCAAAATGGTGTCAAGGCGGCAGGACATGGTCAAAACTGTAGCTACAACTACATCAACTGAAAGATTCTCAGGCAGTGTTTTTTAAGCTATGGTCTACATACCATGTCTTGTTCAAGAGCTCCATTTAGGTGGTCTGTCAAGAGTTTACAAAACCATCAAGAATATCTGTCATAGAATAGAAAGAGTTGGAAGGGGCCAGAAAGCCACTGGGTCCAGCCCCCTGCTGCTGCAGGACACTGTGTCACTGAGACTTTCAGTGGAGGACTTTTAATAAATAAGTTACATCATCCCACTCAGATGAGTGTCCAGATGCTTTTTGTCTCCAGCAAGAGAGATCCCACAACTTCTCCGTGCAACAGGTTCCATTGTCATACTGTTCTGACAGTGAGGAAATTCTTCTTGGTGTCTAGTCTAAATCTGGTTTATTTTAATGTAAGTCCATTATTCCCTTTCCTGCACTCTGGAATGAATGAGAAAAGATCTTTTCCGCCCTGTTTGTGACACCTTTGAGGTGCTTGTGGAGTGCTTTCACAGCTCCCCTCAGGCTTCTTTCCTTGAGGCTGAACATGCCCAGTTCTCTCAATCATTCCTCACAGGGCTTTGCCTCCAGTCTCTGAATCATCCTTGTTGCCTTCCTTTCTACCCTTTCTAGCTTTTCTGTATCTTTTTAAAACTTAGGTGCCCAGAAGTGGACACGGTACTCCAGGTGAGGTCTGACTAGTGCTGAGTATAGGGGAACTAGTACAAAGCATCTGGAAATCTGCCTTCTGCGGGTCATGTACTGTAGGACTTTTAACTGAACACATCTGGAGGATACCAGGTTGAGTACAGCTGTTGTATAGCACTGTTAATTACTCTAGAATGGCTGTTCCCAATGTGGTATTCTTCAGATATTTAGGACTCCAGCATCCATCAGGCCCAGCCAGTATGACCAGTCCAGGATCATTGGAGTTCAAAGCCAAAATAACCAGAGGGCATGAGGCTAGAGAGGGCTGCCTTACACTGTGTTGTGGACATAGGGCATTCTGGTCCTTAACTATTGGTCCTGCTGACTGTAGAAGATGGAAGTCATAGAAAAAAACATCTGGAGGATACCTGATTAGAGAAGGGCAAGAGATGGAATCTAGGCGTCTCTGTGTGTTGCCATGGAGCACATCCCTTTGGAATTAAGCAGGCCTAGAAGCATGAATAGTTTCCTCTGGAGGAACAGCCTTCTGTGATGCCTCTGGAGGGGAGTTTCTTGCAGCTTGGTTTCCTTTATTTCTTGTTCTCATGCCTCTGACTCCTGTCCCAACCATGTGCCTGCTATTTTTATTTTATAAGCTGGTTTTCTGTCTGCCCTGCAGTCACAACTACTTCCTAATGCCTTTAGATAGAGGAATTAGCTGTGTTTGGAGATCTGTGCAAACAGGCCTGTCAGATTGTCTATACCCTCAGAACTGAGTTGATGGTTCACAGCGGTGCATGGACTCTTGAAATCTTAACACTTCACCTGGAACTT